TCATAATACAACCTAGGTTTCAATGTAGCTCCCAACAGTAAAAGATCTATATAATAGCTAGAGTGGGAAAAGTTGAGGGATGGAGCTGGCCTTTCACCAGAGCTGATGGAGTGAGCCTGCTTCCCAATTTTCCTAGGGCTACAACAGTAGACATTCCTCTATAGAAGAGATGTCAGATCTAAACATCCTTTGATTGTTAAGTCTTCTCTTATTTGAAATTGACAAAAGCTTACTAGTTTTAGGTAGTTTCATTACACTAAAATGAGCAAATTCTGTTCCATCAAGTGAGACTTAATAACAAAGGGAAAATACAAATATTAAAATTCATGCTGCTAAAATGTATTCATCTAATCAGGAGCTTTCACTGATGAATATATTATAAATTAAAGAGATTTCTGTTTTGCAGATTTTAAAAAGTGATCTCAGAAGTACAGTGAATTGCCACCAAGATTATCTCATTGGCTTATTAGCAGCTTAGATTTCAAGTAGTGCCAGAAGTTATGGGTTCTAATATGAATGCTTTCCTTCAACCTGTGCTATGAAATAGTTTGAAATATGAAAACAAGTGAACTGTCAAGATTACCAGATGGCAAAAGTGTTGCTAGAATATACCAAGGGAACTGATGTTTGGATATAAAGGTTATGATGGCTAAAAGCATAACTACTTATAGCCAACTTTCTTGTGAATGGATCCCATTTGCACTACAATGCAGAAATGGACAGCTTTTACCTCTGAGGGAATGCAGTAACAAGAACAAGGCATATCCAAGCCCCCCTTCTCTGTCTCCTTCTAGAAGAAAACACTAACTCAATAGGTACTGTCCCCCTGTAAAAGTGTATAATGTGGAGTTTGCATTTTTAAAAATGGGCAGAGTTGGAGTTTCATGGCTCAGCAGGAAGTAGTGTGCAAGAGATGCCATACAGAATAATTTCCTAAATATCTAAACTCCCCATCTAAACTCACAGGTAGGCAGTACCTATTTACTGTTTTCTTCTGGAAAGAGACAGAGACCTAGCTAATACATGCCCTGCGCTGTATAGAGGATGCCCTCAATTTTCATGAGTCTCTATCCTATTGGATCTGTTCTTGGGATAGAGGCCTTGGGTCAATCCCTTTTCCTCCAGCTCCTCTCACTTTGTCATCCAAGCCACAACCCAGTTGGGTGAGCCTCTGCTGGCCAGCAGTAGGGCACTGTGCTTTTGACCTGTTCAGAGACATAGCCTTGCCAACAAAGGTCCGTATAGTTAAAGCTATGGTTTTCCCAGTAGTAATGTATGGAAGTGAGAGCTGGACCATAAAGAAGGCTGATTGCCAAAGAATTGATGCTTTTGAATTATGGTGCTGGAGGAGACTCTTGAGAGCCCCATGGAATGCAAGAAGATCAAACCTATCCATTCTTAAGGAAATCAGCCCTGAGTGCTCACTGGAAGGACAGATCCTGAAGCTGACACTCCAATACTTTGGCCACCTCATGAGAAGAGAAGACTCCCTGGAAAAGACCCTGATGTTGGGAAAGACTGAGGGCACAAGGAGAAGGGGACGACAGAGGACGAGATGGTTGGATAGTGTTCTCGAAGCTACCAGCATGAGTTTGACCAAACTGCAGGAGGCAGTGGAAGACAGGAGTGCCTGGCGTGCTCTGGTACATGGGGTCACGAAGAGTCGGACACGACTAAACAACAACAAAAGCTGTCCTACCTGCATCAGCATACACAACTTGGGAGAAGCCAAGTTAGGACCAGAAATGGAAAGAGCAATAAAATCAACAAACAACAAGCATGCCATTAGACTATCTTCCATAGTCAGCCCCTCATTCATCTCAAAGGAACACGTGGAGGAGAGGTACCCAATTACCACCATCCAAATCTGGAAGCAATTCACTAGATTTGTTTTTCTGCTGGAAGCATGGTTTTGGTACCAAAGCAGGTTATGGATTCATCATTGGCTCTTGAATCCACCTATAGATTCCAAAACAGTTTGACTCCTGAAGCTTGTAAATCTATTATAATACAGAAATCCTGCAACTAAATCCTGCAAGATAAATCATACATTAAAAATGGAGTAAAAGTTTATATATATAGTAAGGCTAAGCCTCAGCATTTAAATTTTATAGTGTTTATCCTAATCTCGAGGTCCTGAGATTTGCAAAATGAAACATGATAAGATGTGGCAAGAAGCACAGCCACATTGTGTCATTGTGTGTATTTGAACAAAACAGTGAAGATTTATCATAGAGTTAGGAGGATTAGCAATAAAGCTTTGCCATGTTCTTCAAAATCAGTCATATTAACAGCAGCTTTGCGAGACATCTGTGCAGTACGCTGTAGATGAAATACAAATAAATACACATAAAGAAAGCGATTATCACTTCTATAAGACTCCCAACCTAATGCTTTATACCCACAACAGCCCTAATTAGATAATTAATGGTCTCATTTTATGGACAGGAAAATGAGGCTTAGCCAGTGACTTGTCTAGACCAGCTTTCCCCCTCCCCTACTGGTTCTGCAGGCTAGGGATAATGGAAGTTATAGTCCAACAACATCTGGAGAGGGGACCCAAGGTTGGGAAAGTCCAGTCTAGGCAACTAGAAAGTCCATGGGTGAAAGGGATTTGAACAAAAAAAAAAAAAAATCCTGTGGTGCAACATACACAATGAAACATGATTCAGGTAAGTAGCTGAATAAGTGTGCATGCACATGAAAGCTTATACCCAGAACAAACTTAGTTGGTCTCTAAGGTGCTACTGGACAATTTATTTATTTATTTATTTCAAAATGAAACACGATGTTCTCAAAAAGTGCAAGTGTGAATTAGAACACTCATATGCTTAAATATGTGTTATTAGGACACTTCTGCATTCTATCCACTGCAGTGGGAACTTTGTCATTCTAGTCCCCAGCATACTTCCATTCTGGGAAAAGTCTAGAGAGCCATAGAAGCAGACTTGAAAATGAATAGAGTGTCCTTACTCCATACAGAGCTCCTTCACTACAAACATATCTATAGGTGCCACCTGTGGAATGCTGAACAGCATAGGGCAGGATGGTCATGGCTTCCATTTAGGGGGAGATGGTTTGTCTTCCTACAGGATAACTAGCATGAGGGAGTTGTTCTGAGGTGGTTTGGCCTTTAGCAGCAGGCACAGGTTATACTTTCCTGCACTTCTGCTTGGTTTCGTGCAAGCTGCCCTTGCTATATTTTAATCAATATAAGCTTTAAACATATTCCTATGTCAAGTCTTCATTCCAGGTGCACCAACATGCCCCCTTCCCTAAAAAAAAAAAAGGGGGGGGGGGGAGAACGCAGCAAAATGGTTTCTGCTCTTTCTCAATTTAATCTTATTTCATGTGATATTGGGGGGGGGGTATTTAAAAGTGCAACACTTCTACCTTCAAAAGCAATAAGACTGCTGCATGCAGATAAGGTTTTCATTTGAGCTGGGAAGACTTCCGATGAACTATACTTTTATTATCAAACCTAATTGTCACTTGTCACCCAAAGGGTCTCCCAGCAATTCACATTTTAAAAATATACATATATATAGAACTATGTGCTATACATAGAAAGGATGGGAATAATGTAACATATTAATATTCTATACAACATATTGGAAAATCAAAAACAATTTAGGTAGATTGACCTTTGCTGCAGCCTGATAGGCTGCTTTGTATCCCCTTCCATCCAAAGTCCCACCAATGACTTGAAATACTGACTACACTACAGGCTGTCATAAACGACATCTTTAACCATGGTCTCCCATCCTGAAATAGCAAGCTAAGAGATTGCATTTTTACTGGAATTGCATTGGCAGGGCCTTTTCGTACATTTTTTTTATAAGGAGGGGGGCGGAACCAAAATGAAGCATGGTAGTAACGAGTCAGTATATACAGTGGTACCTCAGGTTAAGAACTTAATTCGTTCTGGAGGTCCGTTCTTAACCTGAAACTGTTCTTAACCTGAAGCACCACTTTAGCTAATGGAGCATCCCGCTGCCACTGCGCCGCCAGAGCACAATTTCTGTTCTCATCCTGAAGCAAAGTTCTTAACCCGAGGTACTATTTCTGAATTAGCAGAGTCTGTAACCTGAAGCGTCTGTAACCTGAAGTGTCTGTAACCCGAGGTACCACTGTAATTATAATAGGACTTAGGTTGCAATCCTACTTCCATTTACCAGGGAGTAAGTCCTATTAAATTCAATAGTGTCTGCTTCCAAGTAGACATGTTTTAAGACTGCAGTCTATGTACACTGTAGGTATATTTGACCCCAATGACATATGCCTTGCAGGAAAACATTTGGCCATTGGCTCATTATTTACAAATCACCGATAACAACCATCCATAGAAAGTGTGAAGAATTCCGTTTCCTAGCGCCAGCTTTAAACTGACTGTATACAGTACTACAATGAGTTTCAAATTGGCATCATAGCCTGGGGGGGGGGGCGGGAAGAGAGAGGTTAAAGCAACAACAGGCCAAACCAAGAACTGGTTCAGGCCACACAAAACCAGTGTGAGAAAACACCCTCGCTTTAATCCTATACTTTTTTTTTTTTAACCTGAGAGTAAACTTCAACTGAACCGATGTTACTTCGGAGGAAAAGCGCAGAGGCTTTTAGGCTGATAGTTCTCAGGGGGAGGGCGAGGGCTTGCGCGCAAATCACTTTGCGCAGCTTCGCACATGCTGCTAAAACAACAAAGCCGAATGCGGAAGAATAGATCGTCACAGTTCTCGCAATCCAAATTATGACTGGTGTAAAGGGGAAAAAGGGGGGGACCTTTCCCTGGCTTACTATTCATTTATTTGGACGCCTGCATTGGCTGGCTGCCTTCTCTCTCTTCCTCCCCTCACACGTCTTGGTCCAAACCCAGAGCATTGCCTTTAAAAAGAAAGAAAAGGGAGGGGATGACGAGAGCGCCGCTTTCTCGGCAGCGTCTGCTCCGTTACACGGAGGGGGCCGATTCAAGCCTATTGTGTGCGGGCAGCAGCATCCCCCGCCCCGCCCCCTTCCCCATTTCAGTCTGGACCAAACCATCCCGAAGTCGAGGGGGCCCCGAGAGGCAGCGGGGAAAGGAGCATGCCAGCCCCTTGGCCCAGCCGCGCTCTCCCGAGAGCTCAAGGCCGGAGCTCGAACCGGGGCTTCTGGCTGCTTTTTGGCTAGACCCTGCCAGGCCGCCCATGGAGAAAAGGCAGCCCCGGAGCAAGGCAGCTTCTTTCCCTCGACTCCCCCTCCGCGTTGGCGAGGCAGTGGGAAGGACGGAGCTCGGCGCCGCCGCCGCAGCCAGCGGCTCTAGCTGTGGCAGCAGCAGCACCAGCAGCTCGGTCGTGGGAGAGTTTCATTCAGCGCGTGGAGGGAGCCCCGCGCGCGCCGGCGGGACGGCTTAGCGGGCTGCGCTGCTCCCGCGCCCCCTCAGCGGTTCCCTTTCCACGGGAGCTGGCGTCGCCTGGCGCGGGGCTTGGTATCTCTGAGGAGAGGCGCGGCAGGTAAGGGTGCTTCTGAGAGAAACGGAGAGGGAATCCGGGCGCCTCGGGACCGGTGGCGGCGGCGGAAGAATACCGGAGGGGTGTGTGGAGAAGGGTGGCTGTCTGTCTGTCGCGCTCGTTGTCTGGCGCAGCTACAACTCCGTCTCGTCTGCCCTCCCCAACCCCCTCACATCTCGGCTGCTCTGACTGGAGCGCCTGTGCCTTGTTTTGTTGCAATGGCCATAAGCACAGGCAAGCAAGCCAGCAAGCAACGCCGCTGCCCGTTGAAATAGCAGCAGCTGAGTGCTTTGGAAAAGGGTTTGTGCATGCGCCAACCACCTGGACTGAGCCCCCCCCTCCAAAAGGGCATTGTTCTTCCAGTCTCTCGGAGATATTTGGCTTAGAAGCAGGAAGTGGGGGCAGGTTTTGGGGGGAGGTTGCTCGTGTAAACTGGGTTTGTACTGCAGAGAAGAGGGTGGGTTATCTGCGTGTGCGTAGAGGGAGGCAGGTTTGTTTCCTTGCAGATCTCCAGAGATGGAAGTAATTCCAGGAGAATAGCAAAAGGTTGGATACCCAGAGCTGCCAAGAGGATTCTGTTGGCTCTGCCTGGGAAGCGGAAGAGCTGTTGGTTGCTGAGATCCAGGTGCAGCAGCTTCTGGTTCCAAAGTCTTGCTAGTATCACTGTTGCATCCCGAGGCTGGGATCACGTGCATACTTACTCGGGGATGCCTGAACTTGGACTGAAGACAGCCAAAGTTGGGGGGGGAACTGCTTTGAACGAACATCCTCCCCGCCCCAAATAATTGCTACAGTTTGCTTGAGAGCACCAGCACCACTCTTGTGATGGTCTGTCTCTCTTCACCTTAGGTGAGATTATTTTTGAGTAAGCATGCACAGGAATAGGCTGTATGGCTCCTGAGAATATGTATGTTGTGAATAGTTTGCTTTTGGCATTGTGCATGGCAATCCTCAGAAGCCATACTCATTGGAGTTTACTCCCTAGTAAGTATTTTTAGGGTTTCAGCTTTAATGTCATTCTCTCTCTCTCTCTCTCTCTCTCTCTCTTTATAATAGTTAAGCAGTGTTTTTGGTTGCAGTCCTAGGAACATTTACTTGGGGAGTAAGTGGAACTAAGCACAGTGGGACTTGCTTCCAAGTAAACATCCATAGGGTTGCATTATTGGAGGACAACTGTGTTTTCACATTTGAGGTGCACCTGTTAGGTGGGAACTGGAGTTACAGTTGCAACTGAATAAATTGTGTTAAGGCAGTGTCCTAGACTTCTAGTAATGGCACGGATCCAGAGGAGGACTTTTCACACAGGCTTTCCTTACCTAAAACATCCATGATACTTGCCTGCCAAACTTCTTTCATCAATGTCATTTCATTTTAGTGCAGGTCCTTGTAATGGCAATATTATGATCTCAGTCTCATCCATAGATGTGGTATAGTGGCTAGGAGTATAAGTTGTGATGTGGGAAGATTCTACTTAAAATCTCATCTAATTTATGGGGGGGGACTTTCTCCCTCCCCTTTTAGAATCATGTAATTGTAGAGTTGGAAGGGACTCTGAGGGTCACCTAGTTCATAGGCAGGTGGCCCATATGGGGCTCAAACTCATGACCTTGGCATTATCAACACCATTCTCTAACCACCTGAGCTAACTGAGCCCATTTGTAGTGTGAGGATAAGAATACAGTAATGGCCTACTGCATAGGGCTGTTACAGTAACTTTTAAGAAAACATGAAATATTCAACCAGTTAGGCAATAGGTTATGTACTAGAACTGCTTAGATATGAATGGGCTTCATGAAGAGGCTATGTAAAATTCTTGCTTGTGGTGGCATTCTATACAGTAGGCTTAAAGCGATTTACTCCATGCCACCTCCCCAGTCATAGTTTTAAAACCCTTCTAGGGAATCCTGGTGTTTTTGGAGAACTTATCAGTGCATTCTTTAGTGAGAAGACCTATGATGTTAGACAAAGTTCATTACATTTAGTCCTCCATTATTGATCTTTCTTTCCTGAACAGTTTTGCCAGAAGATGTTGGGTGCATTTAAGGCACGCTTATGGGTGGACATAGGATAACAGTGGAACTCAAAATGTATGGCCAGTGCCTGATGATTGCAGTGCATGATCTCCTACAACAGAGATGGGGAACCTGTGTCTGTCCAAATATTGCTGAACTACAACTCCCATCATTCCTGACCATTGGTCATAACTGACTAGAACTGATGGAAGTTTTAGGTCAGCAGTATTTGGAGGGTCACAGGTTCCCCAACTTTGCCCTACAGTATACAAGGACTTTTTGGTCATGTGCTAATGTTTTGTAGCAAGTATGTAGTTGTATGTATTCCTGGCAGATAAGTTGATGCAGAAGAGGTTTCCTGAAGACAGAGAGTTCTAAAACCACTGGTATAAGAGACTCTTCATGCCCATTCCATGTGCAGCCTTGTTTGTAGAGCATCTCTTGCCCTCTGCAAAAACATTTTTCATTGCTATCCACATGTGGGCTGCAATATTTGAATGGACCTTTTAGTAGCTTTGTGAAAATGGAAGCAAAAATGTTTTGCATTTTAAAAAAAATCTCACTGGTATCAAGAGAAATTGCATTAATAAGCATTTGACTTCAGGATATGTTATGAGCAGCAAACTCAGTGGAAAAACTATTGAGCCAGTGCAAATATAAATCCAGGTTAGTTCTTCCTTACATCAAGAATTTGTCTTGGGCCTGTTGTATGTCTGAAATACTTTTTTTTATTTAATTCATTGAGCAATTTTGCTTCACTTAAATGGTCCTGAGTAAGCTGCTCCTTACAGGACCATTGAAAAGCTGTTAATAAAATTTAAAACTATAACAACACTGGCCTAGAAAGATTACATATTTATGACTTGATCTTGGGGTTGTCCAATGTGCTTTAATTCTTTTATGATGAATGAATAAACACAAGGTTCCTTCCTCTAACCCAGACTTCTGTCCTGTTCCAAATCTGGTACACATCTGTCACAACACTACATGAAATTAGGCTCCTATGAGGGTAACTTTTTTAAATAAAAGGTTGGTAACTGGTCAGATTTCAAAGGGATGCTCTTTCTTTTCAGAGAGGTGAACCTAGTGCGGCAAAAATGCTAAAAAGATACATAGAGACTATACTTCCTTATATATTCTCTAGCTCTTTAGAGGTTATTTTGTTAGTCAGTCAACTGAGCACTGGTTTCACAGTAGTCGGATATATGTCATGTATCCTTTTTATGGAAATGGCGATGTACCTTTTTTATCTCAATCATGATGTCTCCTGATAGGAAATACAAGGAGCTCCTTGCTGCACCCTGCCACAGTCAGCTTCAGGAATGCCAGGGTCCTAAGTCTTAACCATTTGTAAAACGATCAGACAATTGTGATGGAGGTAGCAAATAATGAAATGGGGGCGGGGAAATCTCTTGGTTGCTACAACAATGTGACGTGAAATTCCAGCGGATCAATCAAGGCAGCTTGCTCCTTCATGATAGTGGAAAGGGTGGAGACTTCCTTATGGATCAGCCATAGTTGCAGAAATTATTGTGTTGCTGCTAGTGCGGAATGGAATCGGTCAGCTGGCAGAATCAACTTTCCAAGAGCCAGAAATCAGTTTCAAGCCTTCCGTTGTCGTAAGACTGATATCCGCATATCTCAGTTTTAAGTTGTGAAGAATGCCTGATTAAGACTTGTGTCAGTGAGCAGGAGTATACAAGAGGAGGGTGGGGGATACTGATGAGAAAGGTGATGACACTGAAGCATCTGAGTTGGATAATATGAAGCAAAAATGCTTGTGTTGGCCTGACGTCTGCTTAGTGTAACCTTCACCACATTTAAAATCTGGCTTTTGCTGTGCATTCAACATGTGTGTTTCATATGTACTCTGTATTTTATTTGTTTGACTTCATTTTTTAAAATATCTCTTTGGGCTCTTCCTGAGATTCCATGATGAAAACTAAGAACTCTTTATTCTCTTCAGTATTATGTACCTTTGTATTTACAGAACATTATTGGTAATTTCCCTTAAAATAGTTAACCATTTTATTTCATCATGTCATAATAACAGTTGATGGACTTGGTTCTGTTTTGTAAGTGATGTCAGTGTCTCATGCGCACTTCTCTTAAGTTGATGATTTAAATACTTGTCTACTCTTTGATAATATTTGACTGGTCAATTGAGCAATATTCCTTTACCAATGAGTTGCCTGAAATCTTGTATTTCATTTCATAATGTTATGTTCTCAGAAGCATGATAATGATTTGCCCTATGTTGAGGTGGAAAAGTAATTGATAGATCATAGTGGTTGATTATAAGATACAGCCATTAAAATTTCAAGTAAAACTGTATTATTACCAGAGCAGACAGGTAACCCATTATTTTGTAGCTGGTCAAATGGAATCAGATATCTGTAAAAGCCTATCGAAAGAGAGATGTATTTCAGCTGACACGGAAAAGTAAACTGTTGATGCTTGGAGAGCATTCCATAGTTGGGCTGCCGCTACAGAGAAAACTGTGTCCTGTTCACTACACAATGTTACTTATGTGGTAATGGGATTGAGAAGCCACCCCGCTTAAGCTTCTTTGACAAAAAGGCAGGAGAAAAGTGCAGTAAAATAAATTAATGTATAGATTGCAAGACAACAAGTTGCAGTCATATATATATATCCATTTATGTTTTTAGAGCATTGTGATGTATTCAAGATCCCAGATTAAGAAAGTCTGTGCTGAGGTGTTTGCCATGCAGTGTCAGTACTCCAAGATCATGGCAGCAAAGGATTTTCTTCAGTCTTGAATCGTCAAACTTCAAAAAATCATGTAAAACCTTTAGGATGACTTTTGTGGAACAAGGTTGATTTTCACTCATATATGAATGCTGGCTTTTGTACTTCTATGCAGATTCAGAAGTAAGCTTTGCATAGATGAGTAGAACATGAGATTAGGACTCTATGGAAATACTTGATGTGAAAATTAATGGCCATGGTTATTGCTTTGAATCTAACCTTCAAAACCCCTATTTGCAACTCAGCTGGATGGGCAAATTCATTTTGCATTAGTTTCTGTTGGTTTCTTTGTTACACAGATCTCTTCTTGTGGTTTCTGGGCTAGTTTTGCTCTCTAGAGTAGCAACTCCCAAACTGTGTTCCACAGGCAACTACAGTGGTACCCCTGGTTAAGAACTTAATTCGTTCTGGAGGTCCGTTCTTAACCTGAAACTGTTCTTAACCTGAGGTACCACTTTCGCTAATGGGGCCGCCTGCTGCGGCCGCTGCACAATTTCTGTTCTCATCCTGAAGCAAAGTTCTTAACCTGAGGTACTATTTCTGAGTTAGTGGAGTCTGTAACCTGAAGTGTCTGTGACCTGAAGCGTCTGTAACCCGAGGTACCATGGTAGTTGTCCACAAGCTTCATTCAGGTGGTCCACAGCATATTTGTGAAGAACAGTTACAATTTGAATTCCATAAAATTTGATGGCATTCAAATTCTGTTACAATAAAATGCATTACAGTGGTACCTCGGTTTAACAGCAGCCCTGTTTATGAACTATCCCGGTTTAAGAACGCCGCAAAACTGGAAATAGTATCCTGGTTTGCGAACTTTACCTCAGTATAAGAACGGAAGCCGAACAGTGGAAGGGCACCGGCGGCAGGAGGCCTCATTAGGGAAAGCACGTCTCAGTTTAAGAACAGTTTCAGTTTAAGAACAGACTTCCGGAATAGATTAAGTTCGTAAACTGAGGTACCACTGTATAAGAAAATAAGAAGCAATAAAAATACAACTAAAGATCATATAGCATCTAGCAAAGTGCATTACAGTTGCTACAACAGGCAGAAAACAGGGTTCTGCCAGGAACCTTAGCACTTTTCAAGTGGTTCATGGCGAAAGGAAGTTTGGGAACCACTGCTCTGCAGGAGCCAACTAAAGCATGCCTGATTTCTTCTGGCTACAGCCTATTATGTAGAAAGGATTTTCCATGTGGACATCTATGCAGCTTTGTGGTCTGTTCTGTCAACGTAAATAATGTACATTCAGTTAGAAGGAAATATAATAAGCACGCAACGTATGCACATTTAACTTGTGCACATTCCGCTTTATGTGCTTGGCAAAAAACAAACAAATAAGGGGTGGAAAGGCGTCAGTGTCTGGGGGGAAAAGACTTTGGCAATCCCACCTGCCATGACCATATGCAATTTTGGCTTTAGGCATGATCCCCAGAACTATAGTGAATGTTGAGAAATCTGTGTAGTTACAAATAATGTCCCGCCCTTATCAATATTCATATTGTATTGCCATTGGTATTCCAGGTGACAACAGTTGCATACTTTCATCTGTATAGACACACTTGTGTTTACTCTTGATGCTGCATGACATTTTGATCCTAAACAGTCTTACCTCTTGTTTGCTTACTATCAAATCAACTGTGTGAGATATTAAAGATTTATATTGCAGCAAAATTAAGCATTTGCAAAAGCCTCAAAGTAATACTGATTTAAGGTAGTCTTTTAATGTCTATTCATGGCTGTTTATAGCCATAAGACTGCAAATCTATTGTTGCCTCCTTTTATTTAATTTAATTATAAGACAAGTAGATGCCATTTCTTTCTCTTCCTGCCCACAGCAAAACTATACTACTACAACAGAACTGTCTTTGTTTTTATGAATCTATGAAATTGTGTAACTCCAAGAGCAATCCTTCCTTTCAGGAAGAGACTGTTCCGTTTAGGTCAAAAGTGACAAAATTAATAACTGGTGACACAGCATTTGCTAACTCTGTAATCCCACTGTTAGTAAAATAAAATACACCCCCCCTCAAGTTCCATGAATTAAAACATAAGCTTCGTAGAAATGAGATAAAACAAAGCTCCCCCTCCTCACTTTTAATCAATGTAAAATTTAGCATGAAATTGGAGAAGATAAAAGGCTTACGTTTAAGGAGTTACCCCTTTGAGTTTAGAAGTATAGCTGAACTGCTAGCTTGACAACTTTCTACATTTTCCCTCACCGTAATGTGGTTTGGCGCTACATAATGGAAATGTTATTTATACATGCCTGGTTGCAGCCTTGCAAGTGCAAATAGTAAAGAAATCCATTTGATCCATGCCTTGCACTTACCATACTTTTCTGTGTATAACATGCCCCCATGTATAAGATGCCCCCTATTTTGGGGGACTAAAATTAAAGAAAATGGGGGAAGATTGCCGAAAATCACTCACCCAACTGACGAACGCTAACAATCGCGACACCCGCCAAATTGCCAAAGCCAATCCAAAGCAGCCCTTGCCGGATCCGCTAATAACCCACCCATTTGACAAAGCAGCAGCCAATCCAAAGCAGCCCTTGCAGCAGACTCCATTCACCCACCCAATCGCAAGGTCCTGCTTGCGGCTGCAACCAATCGCCCGTTGTCGTCCCCCCTCTGCACTTCCCATGTATAAGATCCCCCCCCCCATTTAAAACTTTATTTTTGTGTAAAAAAACCTTTGTCTTATACACGGAAAAGTATAGTATATTGAGCAAATTTTAAAAGTGGGCATGCCATTGGGTTGCAACCCTGCGCCTTGTTCCACTTGCAAGAAATCCTGCTGATTTTTTTTTTTAATGGCCACCTCCTACCATGATACTCACTGCTTGAACTGATGACAAGCTGCTGCCAATATGGGGGAGAGGCAGTCATGTGAGGAGCACCATTGTGTACAGATGTGTTTGCAGTTGCTTGATAAATGTCACTGGGCACTGAGTTCTTAGTATACTGAGAAGAATGTTCATGTATGTATATTTGTAGTAATAAAAAAAAATGTGCCATGAATTTAGCGTGGTTCCTTCATCCCTTTGATGTCCGTGTTTTTGGCATGTGTTTTCAGGAAAGAGACTTGTTCGATGAATCATAAAGGATTTCCTATCACTAATATGATAATTTACAAGGCCAGATAGGATATTTATTTGTCTGGAGCCAATGAATGTTCCTTACTCTCTTTTCACCCCGCTCCAAAAAAAAAGATTGTCTAATTCTGACTTCTTTTATTTTTCATTGAGAAACCAGTGAAACCAAATCCTTAATATATGGGACTGGTGTTTAAGGCTGCAGTCCTACAAACACATTGCGAGTTATATAATTGAACTAGTTTTTAAGATATTTTCATTGTTTTATTGTTTGTTTGCTTCCTTGGGCTCCTTTAGGAGGGAGGACAGGGTATAAACTTAATAACTAAATAAACTAGTGGCTTTACTTTTGAGTAAGTTGCATAGAATCAATTGCTGTGCTAGCTAAATATTTTTCTGCTATGGAAATGCATCTGGGTTTGTTTGGTTTTTTATCTCTTGGAATTTAGTGTACTCTTACTAGTCTTTTGGTAGCTCTGATTAGGATGGTTTCAGTTTTATGTCATTATGAAGCTAATATGTTACTTCTTTAGAGTAAAAACTACTTTAGTTTGGGAGATCTATGGATTCCCAAGGACAATAAGTTGGATAACTTCCATGTGCTGCCTTACCTGCCACACCCTCTGGGCTCATGGAGCCTTCCCACAGAGTCCCTTTGACATGCAATCTATTGCAAATTATCCATGAACTACAGTAATTCTTTTATAATACTTATCCTAGTGACTGGAATAGCAAAATTTGCTAACTGTGCAGAGAAAGACTTGCTGGTTAATATCTATTAATTTTAACATGCTTTTGTGCGAAAAGAGTTTGCTCTATCAAATGAACCTTAGAAACATCTTACAATGCATCAATATATCATATATACCTGCCTAAATGATAAGTGACAGTCTCTGAACATTACTGTTCTCTGCACCCCCAGGGCCCCGCACAAGCAAGCTGTAGTTGTAGTGGTAGAGCACATGCAAAGCAGAAAGTCCCAGGTTGAGTCCCATTATCTAAAAATCTCCAGGTAGTCGTTGCTTCCAAGTCCATGTAAATGCTGAGCTAAATACACCAGTAATGTCACTTAGCCTAAGGCAGCTTCCTAAACTATGGGAGGTAATTGCAAAAAGGGGGAAAAAGGAGGGGGATATAAGAACGCAAGTATGTGAGGACATGCTAAAGTAAAGTATCAGCTATATTTGTGTAGTTTTGCTGCTGCTCGAGGTGCTGTGTGTTGTGTGTTTGCTCTTTTCATTTAACCCCATTCTCTTTTCCAATAATCTGATAACTCCGGTACAAACTTTCTACCAGTGGGTTTCCATAAGAAGTGAGGTGGGTGGCAGCCTGGGTTCTCATGGCTGAGCAACTGGGTGAATATTTTGCCATGGACTCACTTTTCCAGCTTTAAACATGAAAGTTATCAAACCAGTTCAATTAAAATGTAATCCTCATAAGGGGAAAAGGAACCGCATTGACATAACTCGTTCCAGATGTGCTTACCAATAGGCTCTTTCTTTCTCTGGCTTGGGATTTAGCCAGGTTCATCCGCTCTGTGCCTGTTTTTGGTCAGTTCCTGGGAAATCGGGAAGAGCAGCTAGTGTGGGAAAAGGCAAATGCTGATAAAATTTTGTATTTGCGAAGTGTCAGGAAAGTGGACAACAGAGATGAGAAGCATTAATGAAAGTCTCTTATAGTAGCTATGACAGGATAGCACTCCAAATTGCTATATCGTGTTCTTGTGTTAAGATACTGTATCTTCACTGCTAGGGTCGGGAACCTTGGGTCCAGAGGCCAAATGGGCCTTTCTCTCTGGCCTTGGAACTCTCCTCAGGCAACACCTACTCACCAACTCTGCTTCCCACCCTTGTTGAGTGCTCTTCTCTGGTTGGAATGTGTCCTAGAACTGCAATAACAACTCTTTCTTATCTGGATGGAAAATAGAGGTGGATGTGTGTAGAAATTAGCCTACTGTCACTAAATGTTTCTTCCCTTGTTCCAGCCACTTTTTCCTTTGGTCCCACCCACCACTTGCATATGGGGGCTTGGAAACAGCTTCCCCACTTTTGCTTTACTTGGAGGTCTTGGAAGTGTTGGTCCAGCTGTAGTATTGTTCAACTGGCAAAGGGAACAGAGACAGAGTTGGGAGGGCTGAAGCTGATTTTCAGTTTTGGAGCCTTAGATTGTGTGCCTAGATAGCTCAGTTGGCTAGAGCATGGTGCTGATGACACCAAGGTTTCAAGTTCAATCTCCATATACGACAGCTGCATTACAGAAGGTTGGAATAGATGATCCCCAGGGTTCTTTCCAACTCTATAATTCTATGATACTAGTGAAATACTTTTCATTGTGTGCTCCCCTCGTAAGTATACAGTGTATGTGTGTGACATTAATGTTTGCACTCTCTTGTGAGTTGTATTTTTAAAACCATAATTCTAAATAGTGATGCTCAGGGTTCAACAATGTTGCTCACCCCAGGGGCTGAGTATGCTCAAAGCTTTCTCTGAAACTTGGAGCCGCAGAGGTGATAGAATAAAGCCTGTTGCCTCCCCAACCTCAAATTTCCACTGAAGCTTGTGATTTGTTTTGGTCCTACACTTGCCTAGTGTGTTCTATGTCCCCTGGAGTGAGGACTCCTAGCTCAGAGTCTGCATTAGGTAGAATGTGAGTTTTCATGCTGTGTTTCAGAGGTGTGTCATGAGGTAAGGGGTTAAGGTAGTGTGGTCATAGCAACAACTAATTATTGGTTCAAGCATCTAGAGAACAAGCTGTCTTCAGGTCAGTTCTAGTAGCTTGATGTATTGGAGTGTTCTCAGCAAGCCTTAGGAGACAACTTTTTTGTTGGACCGTTCTTCCTGGCTTGTAGTGTTATTCCATGCATACTGATGGTGCCTAATACATATTTCTATCACATTGTAGTGTAGTTTGGGTTGATACTCCCAAGTATTATTGTTATTATGGAGAGTACAGATGCTGCAACAGAATCTCAGATGCAACAGCTGTTCAGAATCTCTCCAGCTGTTATCCATGCAGCACAATATTGCCTTGCAATTTTACATGCTTATTATTTATTTATTTATTTATTTATTGAATTTAGTTATTGGATATAGTTTTGTTGCAATCTGTGAGAGTTCACTTGATAATAAGGAGTTAACATATAAAGAATCAATGCCCATTTCCCCCAAAATCAATGCCCATTTCCCCCAAAAAGCAGCTCACTTTCATCACCTGGCTGACTATGGACTTTGTGTGCACAGCGTCTCAATTTAGGTTTCAATCCACATAATAAGTTCAGGAGGAAATTGTTGTTGATTAATCATACAGCCAAATGTATATGGTTTTGTATGCTAAAAAAGGAAATTAGGAACTTTGGATACACTGTTAATTCAAAAGTGCATTCCAGTATAGATCTGTTTCTCTGATGCTGATGAATTTGGCTTTCAAAATATGTTTCAGAATAACACAATAGGAGATTTATTATATGATCATTTAAGGTTTTTTGAGGGAGAGCCACAGGTTCAACATCTCCCTTAGAAGGCCTTTTCAATTTAGATTCTATTACTTTGGGGTGGTTTTTTTAAAAAGCCCTGAATTTTTGTGTTAGCTTTGTTTCTGGGTTTGTTTGTTTTTTAATCATTATAAAAATAAATGAGATTATGAGAATGCAAACTATTTTTGATAGCCTAACGTTTAATCTGTTGCACAGATAATATATATTAATATCAAAGCTGTTATAAATAAAACAAAAATCCAGCAAGCATCTCTCTTGGAAGTTAAATCTAGATATACTACTGTGCTGGGGATGCCTACATGTAAACATTTAATTAAACAACAGTAAGAGAAAGAAGAAATCAAATAAGTTTGAAAATAAATCTTTAACCCTAGTCCAAATAAACCGGATTTTGACCCAAAGTACAAGCACTCTTTCAATTATATGCAATCCAGCAGAGTGTAGATATTCTTTTAGTTTTACTTGTTCATATCTGTCTAATATAATTCAGTATGTGGTATAATATGTTGCTTCTTCTTCTTTTTAAAATGCAGTCTCTTTCCTTCTTGTAGCTAGGGAAAAAAATCTAGGTCAAAGAGATGCTGTCTTATTAATAACTTAGGGCTCCGTTCAACAGAAATTATCTTCAGTGGCTTCCTAGCTTCTCTGTTCCATATCCATTGTTCTGAGACCCTTGCTTCTGACCTTTTCCTCATCTACAGCCTTCTAAGTTTCATACAGCCAAAGGTTGTGTGACTGTGTGTGCTTATGATTGATTTCTTTGGATTTTTTTCAGCTTTTGTTTCTGCATTTACATTGCTGTTCCTCCAACAGAAATACTTGCTAGCATGACTCAGTGGCTAAACATATTTTACTCAGAAGCAAGTCCTTTTGATTTAAGTGAGAATAAGGTCTACTTCACGTGCACATTACTATATGTTGGCACTGTGACTATTCCACTGTGGGGTGCCACGGGGTACCATTCTGTCTCTGAAGCGGTTTAACAGTGCTTAGGGGATTTGGCGTACTGTATCATCAAGATGCAAGTGACACACAGCTCTGTCACAACTGAATAATGTGCAGATGTGCAAGTTCTGAGCCCAGTGCCTGGATACATTGGTGGTCTGCATGAGGACCACAAGCTGAAGCTGAATGCTGACAAAGCTGAGACCCTGGCTGTGAGTGGTGGTGCCCAGTTCTGGGAGTTAGTCTCCCTGTTTTGGACTGAGGTGGCTCTCCCAATTAGGGAGCAGGTGTGTGCCCTGGGGGAACTCACCTTTAACACTGGAGCCCCAAGTGCCTGGCTAGGAACATTTTTTACAGCTTCATTTGGTGTGCTATCTACTTTTGTATCTGGACAAGGATAGGTTGGCAACAGTGATCCATGCACAGGTAACCTCATGATTAGATGATTGCAATGTGCTCTCTGTGGCGCTGCCCTTGACATTGGTCTAGAATTATATAGTTGGAAGGGAACCTGAGGCTCATCTTGTCCAATGCCCCGCAATGCAGGAATCCTGCCCACAATCATCCCTGGGTGGGCTTGAACCATTAACCTTGTTAACAGCCATATGCACCAACCCTTTACGCCACGAGGCTTCTGCAGCTGTGCAAAATGCAGTGGTAATGCTGCTAGCTGGAGCAACCTACTATGGTCATGTAACACCATTGCTGAAAGAGCAGCAATGGCTGTCAGTTTGCTACCAGGCCAAGTTTAAGGTTTTGTTGTCTTACAAAGCCTTAAGCAGTTTGGAACCTGAAGGAATGTGTTCACCCATATAGACTGGCTATCAAGATATTAGGATATGGCCTGTTCAGTTGTTCACAACATGCAGAAGAGCATTTGGCAGGAATCAGGGTGAGGGCTCTCCCCCCCCCTCTTGTGGCACCTGGTCCATGGAAATAAGATGGACACCAATTCTGTTGAGTTTTTGGCACCTCCTGAAAACACGACAAAATTGCTGTCCATCTTATTTCCATGGACCAGGTGCCACAAGAGGGGGGGAAAGCCCTCACCCTGATTCCTGCCAAATGCTCTTCTGCATGTTGTGAACAACCGAATGGGCCATATCCTTTTATGGATCACTGGTGCAAGGCATTGACTGGTAATGATGAATTTAGTGTGTTTGTTTATTGTGATTTTACTTTGTTTTCCTGTATTGTTTTGTTAAGTTGTATTTTACTGTTGTAAACTACTTTGGGATTTGTATGAAGGCTGCTATAAAATATATATTAAATAATTGCTCTCATGTTCTCACTCTATATATGTCCTTACAGCTGTAGCTTTCCAAATTAGCTGCTAGTTCAGAATGGGAGGCATGTGTTTGAAGGGTACTATATTTCCCAGTAATAATGCCTAGGGTTGGAACCCTGAACTTCTTGTTGGGAAGTATACTTTATCTATTGTTTTTGGTCAGCATTTAGGAAGGCTGTCCCAGGAGAAGTTTTCTGCAATGATGAGGGTTAATATGTTGAGATTATTTCTGGATGAGGGGAAGGTTTTAGAGAAAACTCATGAAAGCCCATCACTACATCTTAGATGGAGGGAAATCCTTATGCATTTAACTAATATTTTGTAAGAGGCTGGGGGGCATTTGCAGAAATTGGCTACACAAAAGAAGTTGCATCTTTTTGTGATGTAAATGCATGGGTTTGCATAAGCCTGAGATGTGAAAGGAAGAAGTTAATCTAGAGGAATTACTCCCAGCACAACTACTTCCAAGGTGAACCAAAATCTTACTAGGTAGCTCACCTGCAGCATCAATTTTTGGTACCCAGACAGTAATAGAAGGTTCTCCACAGGAGGGTCATCATCATAGGGGAAGGCCTGTTTTCCAGGTCTAAGAAGGCTGTCTTCTGTGATTGTATCTGGGGCAAGAGGTGCCTTTCACTCACAACCCAATATGGCTTCTTGCTTCTACAAGTAGATGACCATATAAGGAGTTAAATGCAAAACTCGTATATCAACATTTATTAGATTGTTTAGATTATGTACAATAAGTTAAATGAAAACAGCTTTAAAATGTAACAATGAAAAAAAATTGTACTGAAAGTCAAACCAGCACTAAATAATAAAACAATGTCAAACACAATTCATTTTATACACCAGAAACCTAAAATTATATTGAAATGTAAAAAAGGCCCACCCACATCAAACAGCATAGACAATACTAAATTAAGAAATGATACTGGTATTTGGCCCACTGTGTGAACTACTGCAGTTAATTTGGCCCCAAAATTCATCCCCCTTTGAAATAAGGCCTACTTGTATTAATGTCTTTTTCTGGTTTTGATTTGTAGCATTGCCTTGTTGAGTTGCAAACTCTGTCATAGTGACTAGTTGGACTGCAGGCTTTAATATGATGTTCTTTTAAGTTGCTAAATAAATAATAATCCAGTTTGGAGGTGCTAAGTACAAAGAATTGGTGCACTGTTATAACATTCAATATTTTGTTTACTAGAACAGCTGAGCCCACACCTTGTTAATAAATCATTTCCAAAAATAAAACATTTGTTGCATTTTATGCTAGTCAGACTTAAAAGAGGTGTGTGAATTTTGAGGGAAAGCAGGTTAATAAGCAGAGGCAGGACATGCACTTTCTAAATCGTGTTTGCATGTTAAAACAACTAAGGGTGTAATCTAACAGGGAGGGAAGAAACAGGTGGATGAACGGCCTAATCCAGGAGTCAGCAAACGTTTTCAGCAGGGGGCCAATCCACTGTCCCCTCAGACCTTGTGGGGGGGCCGGATTATGTTCTTTTTGGGGGGGGGATGAACAAATTCCTATGCCCCATAAATAACCCAGAGATGCATTTTTTTAAAAAAGGACACATTCTACTCATGTAAAAACACGCTGATTCCCGGACCGTCCGTGGGCTGGATTTAGAAGGCGATTGAGCCGGATCCTGGGCCTTAGTTTGCCTACCCATGGCCTAATCCAATGCCCTGTTGGGCTTATGCCATCAGAGGAAAGTGTGGGTGGAGTAGTGTGTCAGGGGAATGGGAGGATTCTCCCAGAATGACCATGGAGAACCACCTGATGTATCCTCTTTGTTGGAGAAGAACCTATAATGGACTTTCCCAGATCCTTACAGAAGGGACTTGCAACATTGTATATTTCTCTGCAATGGTGGACTTTTCTCTCTGCCACTAGAGAGGGAGATTTGACACATCCAGTGGCCCCTGGGATGGGGGCCCTCTCCCCCAGTACTGTAGGGTTGTTAACTTTCAAGGTTAACACATTTATTACGTCATACGCTTTCGTGGACTCTGGTCCAGGAAAGTAAGTGTCCATAAGACTCACCTAGTTTTTAGAGGGGGAAAACAAGAAAAAAAATATTCTGAATCAAATGTTGTACTAAACTATTTAATAAACTACCGGTATATCAGAATAATATTTTAACCATGTAAGGTGAACAGCAGTCAACAGTGGCATTAACAAATGAAGAGAGACTTTAAGGTTTGAGTACTCTTCTAGTCTTCTGTGAACCCCAAGAACTCATCAGTGCTATAGTCAGAATTTATGAAGCTCAGTTGCTCACAATCACTGACATCACTTTCTTCGCTATCTTCATACAAGATACCATCTTCGTTTCCATCCAAAGCATTGCTAATGCCACATTTTTTCAATGACTGTACAACAGTTTCCTCCTTCACCGAGTGTTTTCACCCATTCACAAACTTGAGTGATAGTGGACCTCTTCATTTGTCCAGTAGGTGTGAGATCATGATTATCAGCAGCCATCCATTTGTTCCACTCTTCTCACATAAAGACCTTAAATGGCTTTTTGATGGAAACGTTGAGAGGTTGCAACCGGCTGGTAAGACCTCCAGGAATTATAGCTAGATGAGTCTTCACTTCTTTAAAGCACTTTTTTGTAGTTTCGCTAATATGTGCTCTAAACTGGTCAAGTACTAATAAGGCAGGTTTTTTCAAAAGCCCTCCAGGACGTTTGGACCACACTTTTTCAACCCATACTCTCATTCCATTTTCGTCCATCCATCCTTTCTCATGAACATGTACAACAACTCCTCTTGGAATCACTTCTTTTGAAAATGTTTTCCTTTTGAAAATTAACATGGGTGGCAATTTGGTGCTGTCTGCACAGCAAGACAACACAACCGTGTAACGGGTTTTCTCATGTCTGGAGGTTTTCACAACGATAGTTTTGGCACCTTTCAGATCAACAGTCCTATTAGATGGCACATCAAAGGTTAGCGGGACTTCATCCATATTCCCAATCTGGCCAATTTCAAACTCATTTCTCTTCCTAGCATCACTTACAAATTTATGAAAAGACAGAATCTTAGATTCATATTCTTCTGGCATTTTTTGTGCAATTCTAGTTTTGGTGTGCATAGCAAGGCCACATGGCCTCATAAATCTGTAGCACCACAATGGTGATCCAGTAAAATCGTGAATGCCTTTCTCTACAGCAATGCTTTTGGCTTCATATATTATCATTTTTGTAGAGACTGAGAAGCCATTATTCCAGTGATTTGTGATCCATTATTTCATGGCCACGTCCAACTGTGGCCACTTTGCAGCATTTCCATGAAAAGTGTGCTTTTATCTGCTTTTTGCAGCTGATCCTCCTGTTTCCTCCACTCTCTTACCATTTTTTCAGTTGGAGGTGGCCCAAAATGTCTCTCCGCTGCTCTATTTCCATGCTCCTTAGCATATTTTACAACCTCTAGTTTAAAAGGAATCTTATATGCTAGTCTTGTATGTAGAATCCCTCCACCCATGCAAGCATCATCCCAAGGGAGTTGCACGAGCGCGCCCACCCATCCCAATGGGGTGGCTGAACACGGGGGCGGAGGGATTACATGGCTCCTGCTATGCTTGCTTTACACCCGTGTAAGTGGCTCCTTTCCTGCTCTGCTGCTTTAAAGCAAGCCATGGAGGAGGGATGGACAGGAACCATGGCTCCAGTCCGTCCTTCCTCTGCGCAGCATTCACTTCATAAGACACACAGATATTTCCCCTTACTTTTTAGGAGAAAAAAAGTGCATCTTATGGAGTGAAAAATACGGTAACTTCATAGCACAATCACTAAGATGGATGGCACTGTATTTCACAACAAGCCCCTTCCCTTGAATTATGTAGCTTTTTAAATTTTATTTTATTTGTTAGTGGTAATAGTGCAGACATGGTGCATCTGTATGACCTGAATATAATCTGACCTAGTCACCCAAATTCTGTCTCTTCCTGTATGTTGGATTGACTTTTCCCCCCAGCTCCCCTGCTTGCACCTGTAAATTCCTACCTTAGTGCAGGAAGTATTTCTAAATAGTTATGTTTCTGCTTCCATCCGCTTTCAAGTGTGTTCTATCCCTTTTCTGCATTAATCGGTGAATTTTGAAAACCAAGTGGGATTAAAATTTCCATTTAAATATGTTTTTAAATAGGCATTTCTAAATGCATTTTCTATCAAAATAAGGATTTTAGAATATGTAGTTTGATTCTGCACCCCCCCCCCCGAAAATCACTATGTCACAGTGTGAATTCCAGGTGATGGCTGCATTCCAACCTGTGCATTAATCTAGGAGATGCAGAATAATTCAGTTTGTACTGGAAACTGCGAAAAACTCCACATTCCCCCAGTAGCCTCATCTATCGCTAATAAACTAGTGTTTGCCAGTGTGACAGGTCCCTGGCATTGGTATCAAATGCCATTTTCTTTCCGTTTGTTTGTTTGTTTGTTTGTTTGTTTAAAAAAACACCTTTGCTTGTTGCCTACATAACATATTTAGATGTATCTGAAATAACAGAATTCTTTTCCATGAACATCATTTTTGCTTGCATGAGTGTCCTTTAAATTATGCATTTCCCTGGGCATAAGCTGAATATCTTGAACGTCCTTAAAGTCACTAGCATATCAGAGGCATTATCATAAAACAAAAAATAAATACATTTTCTGTCATTCTGTTTATTCTAGCTTCTGATTTCATCACATCTTACGCATAAAGGATGGAAAGCACTGGGCTCAAAAGGGAAAATTAGGGCACCAGGAAACCTAAAATCTAACTTACTCATGAATATTGCATTGTGTGTCCTTCTCTAACCCACACAAAAAGAACTAATATCTCTGCCTTTTATCCAATTGCATATTTTTTGCAGTGCTGTAGAACATAGATGTGGGCAGGGAGGAAAATGAAGAAACCCTTTTGTTTAAAATATCATTTTAATTAGCAGCTAGTTGCAGCAAGCCTTTAAAAAGTTGAGAAAACTGTCTCCTTGCCTAGGACTGTGTTCTATTTAAAACATTTTTGGATGACTTCATAGATGTTGAAACTTTGGTTTCTACCCCCTCCCTCATTTGGCATACTGTTTGAATTCTCATATTGCATACATTTCTTTCCAGAGTTCTCAGTTGTATTTCTGTGTGTTTGTATGGTCATACATTGCTGTCTTAATTCAGTTCTATTTTGTTACATTTGAGGATTTTCGTGGAGTTTTGCACTATGTCTTGCCATGGTCTCAGATATCCATGGGAAGTCTACAGAGTGTCTTGGATATCCTTGCTTTTCCAAGCAATTCTTCCAGTGTTCTGCCCTCCCTCTGAAAGAGCAGTTGCACAAACTGATGCACATTTATAGTGGCAGGCGAGATGTATTTATCTTAGCTGGTTTGGGATGGGGATTTGCATTTGAATGTTCATCCCCACTGCAATCCTTCGTCCATTTTACTCTGTACCAAAGGGTTTTATTCGGTTAACGTTTACTCAGGGTAGACCCATTGAGATTAAGGTCTATGACTTATTTAGGCCTAGTAATTTCAATGGGTCTACTCTGAGTAAAGGTTAGTTGAATACCACCCAAGACTTTGCACATCCAACAGCCAACTCTTCCCTCTCAGACAAAAAAATAAATTGGATAGAACTGGTCATAAATTTCAGTCACCATCAGAACAACAAATATTTGCATTGGAAATACAACATTACCAGTTACTTACCATGATAGTCCATTTATGGCTAGGGAAGGAGAAATTAAAGGCTTTGGTGTTAGACGCCTCTCTAAAGACGTGCAAAATGTTATTAAATAGTTAATAATAATATTTTCATTAAAAGTAATCAGAGTGGTGAGTTTCACTGGAGCCTAGGTCTATAAGGGAACTTGTGTTCTTTATTTTCACAGCTTCTGCTATGAATACCCCCCCCCTTTCCTTTGCTTATGATGGAACTCTTTCATGTGTACTGGTTAATAGTGTGCACCACATGAGCACTGTCTGTGTTCACACATCGCCCCTCTACTTTCTCAATTCTTCTCTTTGCCACATTTGTATAGTAGCACCAAACAGCTTCCTTGGAGTTTCTGTGGAAGAATGATGGGAAAACTTTCTCCATCTGCTGTTTCAGAACTTCTCGTATAAAATCTGTTTCCTATTAAGTGAAACTGTAGAAGACACAAGCTTTCCAAGAGGGCTGGATGTCAAATGCACTCTCATAAGTAAGAAGTACAAAAATACTAAACATAGAATAATGGCTACAAGGTGACTAAACATGTGATGTGCACTTCTTTTGTATACATGTCATTTCCTTCTGTTCTAATATTTCAAGGTTGTCAGAAGGCTACTGAAAGGTGATAGTGGTGAGCTGAAATGCCAAAGCAATTGGGCTGATATTCTTGTGTGCTGATATAACAACTTGTAGCTGATTAGTTTCAGCATAACATGGATAGGGATGTGCTTTCATTCAGTAATACAGTATGGAATGGTGGATCGACATATTTATTTGGCTATATGGTTGTCCATCCATAGTATATTGCTTTAAATGGGATGTGCATTGGAATGTGCATTCCCCCATTCATGTTCTGCAATTTGTCACTCTTAACTAAGTGAAACTAGAGCTTTCTCAGGGCAAAAGCCTTGCTACACCATGCTGCCATGCAGTGAAACTGAGCCTCAGCAACATGAACACATTCCTTCCTCTTCAAATGAGCCCTAAAATGGTGTTGAAGCAGCAGTAACTGAGGACTACAACTTGCAGCAAAAAAAAACTTTTCCAAGAGGGTTGTTGTTTTTCTTTCTGCATCTCTTGAAAGCCCACTTTGTCCCTTGGAAATGCTTGAGTGAACATTTTGACACAGAATTTCCTTTCAGTAGAAAGCTACAGAAAGGTGAACTCAAAAAGCTAGGTGCCCATCAGGATTTCTGTTGCATTAGGGGAATAATAGTGCTGAATAATGAAGGCAGAGGGCAAGGTACCAATAATTAAATCCCACTGTACTGCAGCCCATTTTCATTTTGGGGTTTGTCACAACTTCTTGGCTTCCAGAATGAGGATATGGCAGTCAGCACGGAGAGACCATGGTGTTGTGGTTTCCACTTTGGAGGGGGGGAAAAGGATTGGGCATCGGATATTCTAGGAGATGCTTGTTCTAACTCTGAGTATATATTTTGCTTGCTTTAGTGAGCATCTATTCAATCCTGCTCATATATGTCGACACGAAAAATATTGCAGGCACACAGATTCATGGAAACTATGAGATGTTGAATGACAAAGGACTTTCTATTGTGCAACAGAACTTCACCACTTCCCCCATGTGTACTCCTGAAATATGCTCTGGGTTTCCCCTGACTCCCCAGAGCAGATTTGAGGAGAGTGCAGGGCATGCATACAGAGAGGAGAAGGGAAGTTGCACTACACAAGCAAAAATCATTGTGCTGGCAGAAACAATTGGATATTGTCCAGCGTCTGCACCATACATAAACATAGATTTCTCATTAGTGTAAGGTTGGATCATGTTCAGACATTTATTTGAAAGTGTGTAGGGAGAGGGGAGCAAGATTGTGTGTGCTGACTTCATACCTGCCCTACATGTATTCAGTGTGATATCAGAAAGATATTTGTATTGCACGCCTATGCAAACTCTCTGCACTTAGGCTCTGTCTTTGCAATCAGATCTCATAAATAAGTAGCAGTTGAATATTAAGTGGTAAAGAAACACAGTGGTACCTTGGTTGTCGAACGTAATCCGTTCTGGAAGACAGTTCAACTTCCAAAACATTCAACACCCAAGGCACAGAGGGGGGTTGGCAAAGTCAGTGGAGAAAAAAGAAGAAAACGCAGCAGAAGCCGTTTGATTTCTGAGGAACATTTGAAAATGGAAGCAATTACTTCTGGGTTTTTGGCGTTTAGGTTCTAAAATGTTCGGCTTCCGAGATGCTCGAAAACTGAGGTACAGTGGTACCTCGGGTTAAGAATTTAATTCGTTTTGGAGGTCCGTTCTTAACCTGAAACTGTTCTTAACCTGAGGTACCACTTTAGCTAATGGGGCCTCCCGCTGCTGTCGCGCCGCCAGAGCATGATTTCTGTTCTCATCCCGAAGCAAAGTTCTTAACCCGAGGTACTATTTCTGGGTTAGCAGAGTCTGTAACCTGAAGCGTCTGTAACCCGAGGTACCACTGTACTTGAAATAAACTGTACGAGTAATGACTCTTGTGTTGGTGTACATTAAAAGTTTATATATAAGATGTCATAAGGTGTTTTAATTTTAAAATATTTCATATGCAAATAGGCTTATTGCAAGATGCATGTTTTGGTTAAATGATTATTTTTTAGCTGAATCCTTGCCTATGTATGATTATTTCAATTTTATTTGTCCTTTCTGTTAAAGTGATACACATTTTTGTTAATGCTGTGGGGCCTTTTAAAGTTTGACATAGCTTAGGGGCTCCTCAGGCCTTAGCCTGACCCTCGTTGTAGTCCATCAATGTTTAGGGGCCCACAGGTTCCCCAGCGCTGTGCTGAAGAGGTCTATTAAGGCACATGTTATGGACAAACTATAAACAGATGTTATACATAATTCATTTTATGTAGTATGGGTGGCTTGAGTCGCTGTGGAACATGTTGCATAGTTTGTCTTCTGCATTTTTCATTTCCGAATCTTATCATTGATTTTATGCAGGTGGCTTGATGTGGGAGTGGCCAAAGTGTTTGTTTGGTGTCTTAATGCCACTGTGGAAGTTGTTTGATTCTATTTATTTCCTTAAACAGAAATGCACTTCTCAGATTATATGGGGTGCAATAACTTTTAAAGGTTTCCTGTTGCGACCTCATTTGGGCTTCAGTTATTCCTGTAAAGTGTGTGTGTGTGTGTGTGTGTGTGTGTGTGTGTGTGTGTTTTAAAAAATAGTGACTCAGCCTGCCTGTCTCCTTGAATTGAGAGTATTCTTTTTACAGACTGATTCTCTTTGTCATAATGTCCACTGGCAAAGATCTTCTGTTTCCAATTAGATGCAAGGCCAGGATCTCCCACACCTTTTCTGTTTTGTCAAATCACTTCTCTTGTTCCAAGAATAGAACTATCTTTCCTAGTTCAGTTGCAGAGCAGAAGGTGCTCTTTTGGAAGAGACTGTCATGCTTCAACTGAATAGTCACAGAATCCTGTAGCTGTCTAGTCAGTTAAAATTGGCATAATTCTTTCTCTTTCATTAGTATGTTAATTTTCTTTATAGTGTTAAAGTGCTATATCAGTAGCTTCTGTATGTTCCTGTTAAGTATCAAAATTGGCATTGCTTATCATCTTTAAGACTGAGCAATGGATTAAAACATCCTTTCGTAGATTTGAATACATGTAGTGGCTCTTCAGGGAATGTTAGTCAACCCAGCTTCATAAATTTGTCCCAAACTAACCTTGGCTTGTTTTGAGAACATAGTACTGTATACTTTCACAGGCACTGGAATGTAATCAACAAGAGTAAAGAGAGGTCAGGCGATGTCAGATGAGCAAATTGTATCTAATATAAACAGAACTGATATCCTAAAATGACAAGATTAGGGCAATAGGCTCAACAGTTGTGGATTATTGAATTTCCAGACTGAAACATGGGGCAGATTAGCATACTCAGAATAAATCGGAGTTTTTGTGTTAGAAGCTAAAAAGAAGAGACTGTTACATTTAATAGGCATGTAAAGAGGATCTTGCAGAGTTCTGTGGTATCAATTTGATTTACCTCTGGCAGGACTCAAGGTGGCATACAGATATTAAATAAGAACTGCTAAAATTCAACTTAAAAGTATGGATTTGCACATTCTTGCTGAAAAATATGTATGTTTGTATGTGTGGAAGATCTCACCCTGATAATCCCAGGTAGAAAAGGTCCATGTATATTCTGAGCCCAGGATTGCAGTTTACCTGGCATGGCCAAACAGGCTTTAGTCTGCCCTGTGCTGCATAAATTCCCAGGATAGTGACACACATGGTATGTTTGGGGAGTGTTCGTTTGTGGTAGTATGTGGCTTACCCACACTTTATTTTGGGGAGCAGTGAGCCTAATCTGCAACCCAAAGGGACACAACGTGCCCTGGATGTGACAGATCTGGCAGTTCTCACATCATTGTACATAGTGCAGTACATTTTGTCATTTTGTTTGCTGAAATTCTAAAATACCAGTATTGTATTGAGAATAACGCTAACCATCTTCAGCTTTAGACAGAGTTCAAAGTGGTTTGCAAACCACAGTTAACACTAACTCTTATGAGTTTAAACATATTTTCTGCAAATAACTTTTTAAATCGCGTATGTGTGTTTCATATAGGGATGGCACCTGGAAGGGACAGAACAGCACCCATGTGTTTATTTCACCCAGGGTCTTAACAGGAGATCAGAAAATGTTACATCTGCCTTGGGCCTCATAAGGAAGATCTCACTTTTTAGGTGTAGTAGTAGTAGTAGTAGTAGTAGTAGTTGTTGTTGTTGTTGTTGTTGTGTTATTGCTGAAGCATGCACTACATTATCATTTGTCTTCAGTTTGAAATGCCAGGTCTTCAGAGGTTACCATATATGGGAGTAAGAGGACAAGTGAATTACTCTGCTTACTTTCACTTGTACGTTTATATTGTAGCTTTCCTCCAAGGAGCTCAGGGTGGCATATATAGTTATTCCCCCTCCTGATTTAATCCCCACAACTATGTTGAGAGTAGATTAGGTTAAGAAACCGTGACTGGTCCAAGGTGACCCAGTAAACTTTGTGGTTGAGTGGGGATTTGAACCCTTCTCTCCCAGGTTCTAGTCCAGCACTCTAACCACCATGGCACATTGACTCTTGAAATTACTTCACAAGGAGAGTTCAAATTCTTCACTATAAACAACTCCATATTCTGAGAATGACTTTGTTTAAAATGGGCATTTTAAAAGCTGTTTTTGGGCTACGTCCCAATCATCCCTGACCACTAGTCCTGCTGGCTAGGGATGATGGAAGTTGTTGTCTAAAAACAGCTGGAGACCCAAATTTGAGAAACTCTGATTTATGCCCTCTCTACTGACAACGGTCATCAACCTGAGTGGCCAAAGTAGTTTTGGTTCCATATCCGGGCCTCAAATCAGATTGAAATGGGTTTAGATAATCCACTTCTTCCAAGCATGTTTGCAGGTGGGCTGTGAGTACTAAAGTAAGGTGTATGCTCTCTTTCAAGTGTGCAGAGAAGTTTCTAATGCCATTTATCTTTATGTAAGTGGTGAGACGCTGTTGCTTATTCTGTTGTAGCTGAACAGAATATGGCCTGTAAGCACTTATCATTGTGAATGTGACTTGGTTTTCTGACAGTCTGTAGAGGTGCAATCCTTAGGGCTAGAGCTGTTTATTTAAAAGAGAGCTTAGTTTTGACTGCAAATATTACCAAACCACAATTTTGAAAAAAAGCTATTCTAGCTTGAAATTGCTGTGGTTCATGTATCTTAGTAACTTCCCTCACGCAGCAGCTGCATTCTGCATTTTGTGGTAAAGGCACATATCCATCAATAGCTCCTTTCTCTTGGCACAAGGCTGTAGGAAGTTGTCAATAGCTTATTCAGCACTTGTTCCCTTGCTTGTGAAAAGAGATTCTGTAACACTTAAGTAGTTCTCGAGACAAACAACTTGATTGCATTTTTAGCTAAATATTATGTGCTTGTATACAAGACTGTTGTTAATGTATCTGCTTTACACTTCCATTTAATCAGTTGGACTTAAAGGGATATAATACTGGGTAGGTTGTTCTTCCTATTGAATAGGTATCATTCTTCTGGATTTTTATTTATTTATTTATTTTGCATTGTAGTCCCGTCCATCCCCCCTTCTTTTGAAAATGATGACCCAGTTACCCTGATAAACTAGGTCTTTGTGTCTGATATTTGTATGATATTATAAAAATGAATCAATATATGTTTATTCAGCCCACTTAAAAAACAACCCTATTCACAGTGAGTTGTGAATTTTTAGAAACTAAATTAAATAATCAGCATCATTGTTCTTAGTCTTCCACTCAGAGGTAATATTTACTATTGAAAATCAGTCCAAAGAATTTCCTAACACCTCAAGTTGTACTCATTAATTTGTAGGGCGTTTAACATATATTTTCTTGTCAGTGCAAGTTGTTTTGACAGCTACTTTGACAAGTGCTTGGATAAATGTTATGGCTTTACAAAAACGTGGCTTCCGAGACTGTGGACCCACCAACCTGACTATCTTCTGCTGTTACTTGCTCTAGGCGCTGCAAAAAAAATATCCTGAAAGTGCTTGTAGAGGAGTTTGGCCTTGGAGAGCTACTAACACCCCTGCTCCCCAAAAAAATTCAAATCTGAAACAACACCTTACATCAAGAAACTACCTGTGGTCCAGACGAGCATAACAAAAATTCTGAAAACACACTAGCTGGTGAGATGCTTTTTATACATTTATTCTGACAAAATGATTGATAGAGTGCAGCATTCAGTTCTTCCCCTGGTATGGAATTTCTGTGTACCATCTCTTTGCTTGCTTCAGCTATCTTAATTTTTCATCCTAATATGGTATGGGTTTATTTACCTTGGAAGGACTTTCAAAATATGTGGAGAATCTTGGCTGATTAAACTGCATTCAGCTCATAGGACCAGTTAAAGGTGAAGGCTGCAAGGAACAGGACTGGTTTTGTGCAATTACTTTTCTGCTCCTCCTCCCAGACTTTAGTACTTATATGGGGGGAGCAGAGTTCATCATTCCCTTGAAGTAGTGGTTTTCACGTTGGGGTTTCCTGAAGCTTACTAATTTTCCCCAAGAACAGAAAGGTACTGCAAAAGTTGATTCTCGTTGCCTTAAAGTTTATTACAACCAAAGGCTTCAAGCTGGCTTTATAGTTCTCTGAAATACAGTGGTACCTCTGGTTACAAACTTAATTCATTCCAGAGGTCTGTTCTTAACCTGAAACCGTTCTTAACCTGAGGTACCACTTTAGCTAATGGGGTCTCCCACTGCCACTATGCCACCAGCGCTATTTCAGTTCTCATCCTTAGGTAAAGTTCTTAACCTGAGGTACTACTTCCAGGTTAGCGGAGTCTGTAACCCGAAGTGTTTGTAACCCAAGGTGTTTGTAACCCGAGGTACCACTGTAGGGAAATAGGCAGTAAAAGCAACTGCTCCATGCATTTGTGTATCGTTTCTGCTTTGTCTTGAGGAAGAGGAAAACATGAATGGGAACCTGTCTACCTGTGTGCTTTCATGGCTTCTAATGCTCAACTCATCCTTCATCGTGGAGTCATTCACTCTGGTGGAACCTAACTGGGAGCTCTTGGTGGTAGAAGAGTTTCAAACAGCTGTTCAGTTCATTCAGCTACGTATTGGTCCACTGACTGACTTGGTCTACCAACAACATACAGAGAGGAAGCACTTGTATCAAAGCCAATTTTGTAACATTTTGGCTTGCAGCCTGACACATTTATTTGACTGGCACTAGGAACAATTGGAGTGACCCACAGTAACACAGTTCATCAAAGTTAAATGCAGGCTATTTTAAAAGGCTGTTGCCAACTTAGCACTTAGAAAATGAATAATTGAATAAATAAGTTTCACTCTTCTGAATGGAGCTCTTTCAAAAGAAGCGTCATCAATTAAAAATATCCTTTGAATAGCGAAAGGCAGCTTTGTGCTTAGCTGTTCTTAAAACTGTGGGGTGTTTATCATTCAGGCAGTAGGTAATCAGAACTAGATTTCTTATACTGAGAAATGCAAGTAATATTAGACACTTCTCTTGATCAAAAGAATAAGCAGCAGCTTTGGAAGTGTGCTGAAGCCCTTCATCATCTTTCCCCCGTGTTCTTTAGTTTTTACCCTGCCAGCCGTCTTTAGAAGTTTGCATTGAGATTTTGTTGGTTTCTGCTAAACACTCTTGAACAAGGCACAAGAAAAGGTGTGAACCATCAGCAGATTGGTGGAGCTATTTTAATAACTGCATCACTGGAAGGGCATAGCAGAAACAATGTCCACAATACATGATTACACTAAGTAAATTTCCTCTGGCACCAGGAAGCTGGAGTAATGTTACCTTGGATTCTCTTTTTAATTGTACTGATATCTAAATAGAGCCTAAAATAAAATAAGAATGGAATGATTTTGTCAAACTTGGTAGAAAATGGAAAGTACGTTTTCCTTATGAAAAATTAAAATTATTTAATATCCAACACAATTTGCATCTCAACTCAGAAATTTATTCCATTGATTTCAGTGAACTAAACTCTTTAGTCAATGTACTTAAGATGGTGCTTTAGGCTGCTATGAGAGTAGAAAATTTAATGGCAGCTCAATGTGAGACAGAGCCTTTTCTGTAGCAGCACCCATGTTGTGGAATTCCCTGCTAGGAAGTGGTGAGACAAGCCATGTCCATGATTGTATTTAGGGAGGCAGTGAATATATACTTATTCTCTTTGGTTTTTAATACATGGTTGAAGATTTAGCTTTATTTTTTGTTGATTAAGTAGCAAAAATTAAAACTAAATCTCAGTGCTAGTCAACACATTTCGGAAGTTAGGTTTTGTTTTTCTAGCTATATTGGTTTGCAGGGCTGAAAAACAATATAAATATGTGTGTGTGTGTGTGTGTGTGTGTGTGTATGGGGAATAGTAGGAGATACAGGATGGAACACTTGTCTTGGACACCCTTCTTCTTTGCAGTACATTGGTGTGTTGCTTCTCCTTCCCCTAAAATGTGGGTGGAATGAAGGTACTAATAGGAAATATTTGAAATACTACCATTGCAATATGTTCAAGGAAAATGGAAGGTTCTCTTTAAAGTTGTCAAGGTGATGTTTGTCCTACTTTATTTCTCCTCACTGAAGCAAGTTTAACTGTTGCAGATTGTATGAATAATTGAACAAGGATACCTCACTCATTACCCAAAGTAATATTCTGCTCACTTGCTGCTCAGAGCTGTGCTTCACTCTTTATTATGGCACAGAGCTTCTTAGATGTTTGTGATGTTTCATTCCCCAGTGTGAGTGCTGGCTTTTGCTTCAATTCCCTCCATGATTTAAATAAAACCTAACATTAGAAATCAACATTAGTATTGAAACAAACATCTGCCTGCCCCCCTTTCCTCCCTCCTCCAAAAAAAAAAAAAAAAATCACAGACCTAGAAGAGATGTTTCCTCACAAGTCTGGATTTGCTGTCTTTACGGATATTAAACATGAGGGGTTTGCCACATAGTATTTTGTAAGGGGAGACTCCAAAAGAAATGAAAACAGAGCTCTGTGTATCTGTTTTGCTGTTTCTAGCGGAAGACATTTAATTTGCCTTCTAAAGCCAACCTCGAAAATGATGCAATTCAGCTGAAGTAGATTTATGGTGCCTTTTCCTCTGGAAATCAATACAGCTTGGAGGGGCTGTCATGGGAACTGGCTGACTGAGATGCAGCTGTGTTCAAATATAAACTTCTGTACCGCAAACCCAAAGTAATGACTCTTGGTTTTTGTTTTTTAGTCAGCACTTTAGCTCTGAGACATTATGGGGTAAGCTTTAATTGACTGCTTTGTTTCCATTAGGAAGTTATTGAAACTTTGCTATAGCAAATTCAGCAAGTTGATGTGATGTTCTAAAAGCCATTGCTATTCTTACTTGCCCTTGTGTATTTTGTGGTTTGTAAGGACCTGGAAATGTGTTGTGGGGCAAGGCAGCATTTGTATACTGCAAGAGATGGAACCACTTCTCTCTCTAGTTTTATAAGCTTTGTAGTTGCTTGGCCTGTAAACAAGGGCTCAGATAAAGCAATTTCTTCTTACTGATTGTAGGGATCAGCCTTCTTCATACTGAGTACATCAGCGACATGTTTGCTGATGTCATCAGCAAGTTCTATTTTATGCTGCTGGAAACTGGATTTTTCAAATCATATTTGTCGCAATACCTCGATCTTTCAATTTTTAAAATATAATTGATAGTACCATTGCCTTCAGAAGCTCAGGGTGATGGTGATGATTTGGGAGAGGGAATTCTCTCCCCTGAGTTGCACTTGGCACCTTCATCATATGCTGAAGAAATACCTTTTTACTCTGACCTCTGACACTTGGAATGAGTCCTTTTAGGGCTTGTCCTATTTTTCTGACCATAATTTGTTTGAAACTATTTTTCTTTTGTTTTAAATTGATGTGACCCACCCTGGGACCTTAGGGTAAAGAGCATATAATAAATCAAATATATTGTTATGGTTGCTATTATTAACAGCAACAATGGTGATGTTTACACCACAGATAAGATACAAATTCCATCTAGACTTAAAGGGATACCCAGCAGCAACCACCTTCTCTCCTCATTTGACAGATGCTCCAAAGCCAGTCATAGAAAGAGCCATCCAAGAAATGTCGTCTTAAGACAGGTTTAGTCAGCTATTGTTGGACTACAACTCCCATCAGCTCCAGCCAGTATGGGTTTGCTGGTATTTGGAGTTCAGCAACATCTGGAGAGCACCATGTTAGCTATCCCTGAGAAAACTGAAGAGCTGGAACAGAATTTGTACAGGCCTGGGAAAGCATCCATGACATAAGAGAGTGCATCAGCTTTAGTATACCAAAAAGTACAATAATAACCTGAAGCAAATCTTCTTTTGAAAACAGTGTTTCTCAGAACTTGGCAAGCCTGCTTTTTCCCTATTTGAATGGAATATAGAAGTATACCATGTCATGGACTGCTGTTAAAATCAATATTCTGTTTTGATTTAAAACTTGTAAAATGTTGGGTTGTAGCCGAAGGTTCTGTTCCTCTCAAAAGAAGGAGTTGTCCTCCCATGGAAGAATGGGCTCTTTGGATCCAGCCCATTAAAAGCTGGATTTGGGTACATAATAAACAGGGAATTGGCCACATCAAGTCATAATATTGTATTTGGAACAACAAGCTGGATATAATTGCTTCAGAATCAGATCTCATAATTTAAAAGCTTAAAATCTGATTTAAACATATGGTATTAAAGGAGAAAAAAAACTTTATAAAAATGAAATCTGAATTCAGTACCAACCACCATCTACATTTAGGGTGTGGTATTCTGTTGCTTTCTCACTCTTCTTATAAAGAAAAACAACAATGCAGTTTTAAAGTAGAGAAATGCCCAGCAGTTTGCTGGTTTTGGGGAGGAAACAGCATCATGGGCAATTTTATGTAATGCTGAAAGATTTGCAGAATTTTTTCTGATGTGAAAATAACAAGCTTAGTATTTGTGACCTAGATTACTATTTCTTTGTTGCAGTTATGAGCGAATGTACTTATGAGTGGGGTGTTTTTTGTTTGTTTGTTTGTTTGTTTTGTTTTTAAAGCAGCTCATTGGCAAATGTAGCCACAGGCTGCAAAGGGTTCAGTCAAGAAATCAATGCTCTTTTTCCATCTGACTGCCTTGAAGACTATGTAAATTAAATGTACTTAACCATAAAACCTGTCTACATTGCTAGAGGTACAGTTGGCAGTTACAAACTACCACCAACTCCATTTTGGGAAATGGATCGATTTATATATTTGAAAACAGTCATAGCTAGGATTCCTTGGAATTTCTCATAGTGACTTTCTAATAAATATGTAACTTGAACTAATAAGGTTTTATTCCTTATGAAATAAATCAGAGGGCCAATTATCTTCCCATTTTGCATCTTTGTTAGGCTGGCATTCTAAAGTATGAGAGCAAATACCTTAACATGCATATGACCATATTTATCATAAATTTAAATAGCAAGAAAAATGCTCCAGGTTTCAGCTACTTAGATTTCCAGATGATTGAGGACTTGACTGAAAGGCACATAAGGGCTGCTTTCCAGAATTGTATGGAGTGCATTTCAGTAATGATGGTGATGTTATTATTATGTGCATGAGTTTGAAAAGAACTAAATAGGTTGCATTGTTTAAATGGGCTAATTAGATTTAAGGGAAATAGGATGAACTGAGATGTTTACTGCTTATAATAAAATACTTAAACCAGTACATTTTGTTTGCTCAGTCCCAGTTTGTATTCAGGTAGCTCCAGATTGCTAGCCTGCTGCATGTTCCTCCAAATAGTTTCAGACAATTCACATATCTAAAGGTACCATGCTGTGACTGTACTGATTTGCAAGAATGGATGGAGCATATTTTAAACTATTGCAGGTAGCAGGATATGACTATCCTCCATATTGCCCAGGAACTTGTATGATAGTCTGGAGCAATTGCCACTGTGCGGTGAAATTCAGCATGCATATGAGCGTAACATTGCCCCAAAAGTCTTTCATAGTCCAACACACTTTCAAAAAGGGAAACTTGTTAAACATGAAGAAAAAAGGTAAAATGAAGTAGAATTAAGGGTTTGGGTATGGAGAGATTAACTCAGTCGGTGGACTGCAGCTGAGAAATAAATCTGACACATGCCTATTACTGGTAGCCACAGCTACTATGGCAGGGGAGGCTGGTTTTGTTCCATTGGCATAATCCCAGAGAGACCCAAAGGGAACCCTTGTCTGTGTAGCTCTACCAGGTTGTGTTTCTTTGTAGTGTGTGGCAAAAGAGACAAAGCATGCAACTCTTTTCCTTTTATAGACAAAAGATCCTACCAAGTGAATTCCATGGCCTTCTAACAAGTATATTCTAACAGTATATATGAGTGTCTTATGAGAAAGGAAGGAGATTATTTGAAAATGGCATTCTGTTCCCTTACGTTCACTACAGGCTTATGGGAGTGCTGCTCTTGCTTCTACTTCCTGGAAGCTTTCACCCCTCTATTTATTGTGATGTAGGTGTGTCAGAACCAAGAGCTCATTCTGCACTAGGAATACTCATCCTAGCTTGACTTCCTATGGCAAAGCAATCCAAAGATTTGCCTGAGGTAGAAATTGCAAAAGTTGCTGAAGAGAGCACTAACAAGATTCCAAAATGCCCTTGTGGCATATGTTTAGATATCTTAGAAAGGGGTGCAGGATGCTATTTAACATAAGGGATAAAATTCAGAAGTAGTACTCCTCTCTTAATGCAAAGTAGCATTCTGAAATCCAGAAGAGCTTAATGGTTACTGTTCTAGTTGTGCAACACCGATATTCTAAATAAAGCAGGGGAGGCTGGTTCCTTGGGTAACTGGGGTACAGTACTTACTGAGGATGACCAACCTCTGTCATTTTCAGTCAATCTGCAGTCTTCCAAGCAATTGTGGGTGGCCCTGCATGTCATTGTCTCTGGCTCCACCTGCTCCTCTCCTCCCTGCCTTCCACCCTAGCAGTCCCAATGAACAGCCACCAGCACAGCACATAATATAACTTCAGCAGTTAATCCCACTTGTTTATTTTTTGTTTGCAAGCAAGCCCTTAATATCTCGTCCACGTTTCTTATGCAGCTTCCTGCTTGCCTGAGAGATAGAAGGGGACTGCAAATGCTCTTCTCAGTTTTTTTTAGGAAGTGAAACTCTCTTAGACTGCAATCCTATGGATGTTTAGTTGGGAGTCAGCTTTGCTGAACTTATTGGCTCTTACCTCTGAGTAAATCTTTGTAGGAACAGTCTGGGAATCTTAAATTCTGGAAGAGTAATTGTATTAATCTGTGCTAGAAAAAGCAACAAAAGCTTGCAGCACCTTAGTTTTAAGATATTACAAGCCATTTTTTAGTCTAGAAAAATACAATAAGAGTTTTCATTAATTTATAGAATGGGGAATAAATTTATGAATGGAAACTAGATATGTTGGCTGTGTTTTCATTACTGGCATTTTCTCAAGGCAATCAAGATGCACATTTTTGCTCTCCTTTCATTTTAAACTTGTTAAAGTTTTCTGCAAAATGTGAACGTGGGCAGTGAGACATTCCATCTTTTTACATTCCAATTAAATTCCTAGGCATGCTCAGTTTGGGAGATTTGTTTATTGAAATTGAATGTTTGAGCAGCATGTCAGCCTTGCATGTTAAATTTTCTTCTTCTTCACCAGTTCAGTAAAATAATTTGCAGATATGTCAATAACACTTTTTATCAACTAATTTGGATTAATGTTGGAAAAGCTTTAATTATGTTGGTTATTGCACAGGAATTGCAAGCTTAATTTTGCTACCATGGTATGTCTGATGCAACAGAAAGATAAAAGTCATAATCCAATACAGAAGGAAAGTACCTCATAACTTGCATTATTAATAATAAGAAATCAGGAAAAAAAATATGCAGTACAGTCCCACAGATGTCTTTTGACAAGTATACTCATTTGAGTTCAGTGGAATTTACTCCCACAGTAAGTGTCCATAGGTGTTAAACTTGACATGAATTTCAGGTTGACATGAATTTAGCACACATAACATCTGGATGTTAAATTCATGGCTACTTATTAAATAAATCTGGGCCATTATGCTAAAACTTCAGAGTGGGATAAAGGGTCTTTCCTCAATTCATATAATGTGCAAAGACGGATGTACATGTTGATGGCAAGATACTAGAGTGTGACAAATAGTGGCTTGTCAGTGAATGACCTGTAATTTAACTTCACTCAATTTATTGCCATATTCAAGAAATTCAGTAATGTTTTTGTGTAAAAACAAAAGTCCACAAAGGCCTGTTTTCACCCTAATAATTACTGGTGGTTTCCACTGATTATGTATACAAAAAGATTTGTTGGGAAGGGCTTGATCATGTTTCATTTACAGAAGGAAGGACAAGCCTAAATAGCATAGATTTTGTGAATCTCCAGATGAAGCATCTTCATAATATGAGAATCATTAGAGAATGTGGGTGTCAAATAAAATACAGTTATGGACCTAACAAGTTCAATCTGGTTTTTGTTCTTTTTTTAAGTGTGCTTAAGTACTACTGGAGTAAATTGGGACAGATACGGTTGATGTCTATGTTTCATTCAGTGAGTTTAAGCACATGCATTTTTAGCAAAGTTTAAAAATACTTCGCAACATATAATATATAGCTGCATAAACAGTTTAAAGTTTTTATTCCTGGGTTGAATTAGTGTATTCATTATTCAGATGGTAATTTTTACTACCGACCAGATTGGGTCAAGAGAAGGAAAGAAAATGAGAACTGGGAGGCTAGCTTCAAGCCCTGCCTCTAGCACTGATTTGTTTTGCTGGCTTTCCCTTAATTGTAGGTTGTTGAAATAAGCATTATTACTTTGCCCTGTTTTAGCTATTTGACCACCCTAAATCAGGATTCCATAAATTTTATCTTGGCTAGTCATTATTTGTGCTTGCCATCATAGCCACTGCCCACTTTACTCTATAGGTTGCTTGGCGTATGCAATTACTGTAGAGGATGGGGCAGATAATTCATGTCATTTCACATTGTTGTAATGGGGTGTGACTTGTCTTGTCATGCTCCCCAAATCAAGTAACCTAAACCCCAGCCACATACCTGCCTTCCAGGCTAACTACCCCACTCCTTTCTCACTACATGACACCACCTGAATGGAAGCGGGAACAAGCCTGGTGTGGAGGAACAGGAGGAGCAGTGGCCTAGATCCACTGCCAACTTTCCTAGTTCTCCTGACTGCTGAGACTTGATATTGTTGCACATCTTACACTTGTTCCTCTCAATATGCCATCAAGAAAATGATTAGTGGGCATCCTCTGCCGATCCTAATATCCTGTACGTACCTGCTGCACACAAAAGAAGGTTCTTTGCATACAAAAAACTTGGAAGAGGACAGAGCTGGTCTGTTGTGCCCAACACATAATGCTTCTTTCTTCCAGAGGTCCCTGCCAAGTGCAGATAATGCATGGAAAGGAATCTTTGTACTGGGCAGGGATGCTCACTGATAGAGAAGAACATTTGCTTCTGGGGAACTAGTGAGGGTATGTAGACCCCTGAATTGTTTTTGGAAACACAGATATAGAGTCACAATTCAGCAAAATACTCAAGCATATTCTTTACAAGTTTCAGCAGCTCCACTATAACTTTGCTTTGAGAAGCTATGTGCCAAACGTTTATATGCATCCTCATTACACTAGCACAATAAACCAGAATTGGAATTACTCATCCTTCTCTACTGCCAGTCTGTGATATGTCAAGGAAAATGATCGTATTTCATGCAAATGCAACAATTTTGCATATAAAAAGTGAAACACTATATTGTAGCATAACCTATGAAGGAAACTGGCTTTGAAATTGATGAATGCTGCTTCGTGGTTTCAGATCTCATGAGGGAGTATTGAAATAAGCTGAATGTGTGAATTTGATTTTTTGCAATTAAAGAAATAGCACATGTACACACACACTCATACACATACAATTAGACATTCCTAGAATACCTGCCTTGGGGGGGGGGTGTTTTATTTTCTTGATCATGTGCCGTTTTTCATAGTACTGTGCTAGCAAACTGCTATAATTAGATTAACAGCCTGCTAAACAGCAGTGACAGTATCCAAGTCTCAGAGAGCATGTGCTAGATTCTGCATGCGCCTTTCTCCGATTGGCTGCTGGCGTTTGCTGCTTGCCAATTTGATAGGTTTCCACAGTAATCTTTATGCTGCATTAGAGACATAGATACAGAGGTACAGTGTTCATGCAACGGTGGAGGAAGTCTGCCTCTTCTGTGTAGAATAAAAGAAAAGCCTACAGACGATAGAGGCATTGCTCTTTGTTATAAACCCATCAGCATTTAACAACTGCTGGCTGCAAGCAGAGGTCAGTGAAGGAGTTTCAGTTAATGGTAATTACTTTCAGGTCTTTATCTCCCCCCCATAAAACACATCCATGCATGAAATGAATACAGTTAATCATGTCATCTGTTTAATTTGATCTTGCTTTCATTAATATTGTGTGTACTCCAGCGAGATGGTCATCACATTATAAAACACATCATTATACTAAGAATTTAGCAGAGAAGTATAATGTGTACTGCATGAAGAAATAGCTCTCATATGAAATCTGGAGCGTGGCATGTACCTTTTTTGTTATTCTAAGAGCAGTGTTGGTGGTTATTTGAAGGGGGGTGGCTGAACATTTGAATTAGAGCATATATGATTTTGCCTTTCATGGAGACGGAGATATTTCTAAGCAACGAGCAGATAACAGGGAATAATGTCAGGATGTATGCTTTAATGTGATCGGTGCAATAACTGCCTGCCGATTTATGCATAGGGAAAGGAATTCGGATTAATATGCTCCATTGTCTGTCTGTCACCTTACGTTGTTTGGGTGAATTCTTTGTTTGATCCTTTGAATTTTTAAAGCAGCCTTTCAAAAACAGCCACTATAGTGCAGTGAATCCATCTCTGCACACTCATTGTTCCCAAAGGCCAAACAGTGAGATCAAGCGTGTGTGTGTGTGTGTGTGTGTGTTTAGGGACCTTGCCCTGAATGTAGTGAAAGAGGTATATATTGCTGCAGTGATATATCTGACAAGCTTGGGTGGGTTTTTTGGTTTTTGTTTTTTTGGTGGGGCGGGGGGGGGGGGCTGTTCAGGAAAAAAACATTTCCGAAATTTGATTCATCTTGTATTGTCCTGTTTTTTCATTTGGGATTTGTGTGGTGACCGATCCAAACTTATTCAAAACTATGCTGATTGCGAGGGTTTATTAAAAGAGCAGCCAAAGAGAGCTCTTTCTCCATGTAGTCTCAGAGTGCGCTGTGACTTACTGTGTTCAAATCCCATTCAAATGCATGGGACCTTGCACATGATGACGATGGTTTCAGTGGGTTTCTGCAGGAGAGGTTCTTTGAGGATGTTCCCTTGGTTTGTTTTGACTGCTGATAGCCCATAAATGTGCATTAGGTCACCAGTTGTCCAGCTGGCACTTCGCCACCATGCGTCTGGGTAACAGGAGATTTGCCTCAAGTGAGCACAAGCTATGGACTTTCACTACTTTGCTTTCACTTCTTATCTCTCCCACTAATCTCTGGCTCCCTCCCTCCCCCCCTCTCAGTGAAGTTTTGCACTGCATTGCAAAGCAAAACTAGGTGAGTCATAGCTGTCGGTCTTTTGCCCATAAAAGCAGGGTTTTTTTGTCATTTGTTGTCAGCTTTGTGCATTTTACATTTGAACACAGAGAGGATGGAAAGAAACACAAGAAAGTAGTCGTTCATCAAATATTTTACTGAGTTTAACCTTCAGCCTAGATTGCTTTAATATGGTGCATAATGTTGATAGTTTGTTTTGTTCTATTTGTAGAACAAGAGTTAAACTAGTGGTTATGACTGACACCCCAAATTTGGTTCATCACACTTTTGAATCTGAGCCCAGCTATGAACTGGTTGGTGGCTTTTGGCAACCCTCTCAACCTCAACCTTCCTCTCCCAGCTTTAAAATATTAATAATACTCATCATATTACAGGATTAAATTGATAATATATGCAAAGAACTTTGAACATGAATGTGGGGGTGGAACTGTAGATTTTTTTTTTATTTAATTTACTTGTTTATTGCCTTAAAGAAACTTCAGTACCAGTGTTTTCTGAACTCTGTATTCCCAGAAATTATAGAATAGCCCTTTTGCATAGCAACAGTTAAGTCTAGGACAATAATGAATAGAGAGAGTGGGTGCACACATACAACCTGTGTGTTACTGTCTGCTAGCCCCTCTCTGTGCTATATTGCCAATTATAATTGTCCTGTGTTTTCTTTTTCAAAAGAGACCTACTGCCTCCTGTAATTATCTATGTGGGTGGAAAATAAAATGTTGCAGTCTTTTTATGGCATGGCACGATGCTGCCAGTGCCTTGCAGATGTTGACAGCAGCTCATGTGACAGTTCTAGACAGTTTTAATTCAAAATGAGAAGTACCTGTCTTTTCTGTGCCAGCAACTACCGGTATATAGGACAAGCTCCAGTTTTCTGAAAACATGGATGTAACTCCTTAATTTGTGGCAGGTTTTATATACATCTCTTAATAACCATTTCATGCATGTGGTATCTTCCATACTGAAAGCTGTTTCTGACACAGTAACCCTGTCAGCCTTTCCCAACCTGGTGCCCTCCAGAAGATATTATTGGACTACACTTCCCATCGGTTTCAGACAGTATGGGAAATGGTCATAAAATGATGGGCGGTGTAATCCAACAATATCTGGAAGACATCAGGTTGGAGAAAACTGATCTAGTCCCTTATCAGTACTGTGCTAGCAAGATGACATGAAAGCTTGGTGGTTTCTAACAATGTTAAAGAATGGAATGAAGAAGGTGTTCCTACAATACACCCTCATTTTGTTGTGATAATAGAATTGTAGTGTTTGAAGGTACCCTGAGGGTCGTCTAGTCCAACCCCTGCTATGCATTGTTCTCAACTAAATCTTACAGGACAGATGGCCATCCAACCTGTGCTTAAAAACCTACAAGGAGAGTCCACCACCCTCCTGGAGAATCCATTCCATTGTCGAACAGCTCTTACTTGTCAGAAAGTTCTTCCTGGTGTTTATCTGACAAATACATGCTTCTGAGTTTTTCTGACCATCTTCCAAACATTTGTGCCTGATTTGTTTCCTAACAGCTTCCCTTCCCCATAATTTATTTATTTTTAATGCAAGTGAGGAAAAGCAATGTCAAAGGCAGTCTAGTAATGCATATGGTATCTGTCCTGCTTTTCATGTTAAGAGACCTTGTAAACATAAGAACGAATGTGATATTGCATCACATTAAGATATTGCTGAGAAATAAGATGGTTTATGTTTTGTTTTGCAAAGGTGTATTGGACTCCTAACTCCCATCAGCCACAGCCATAGAGCCAATGGTCAGAGACAGTGGGAGCTATAATCTAACAGCATCCAGAGGGTACCAGGTTGGAGAATGCTATAAAATTTCCTGGGAGAGGGCTAAGAGAAAGAGGGATACCAGATTTGTTTGTTTTTTCTTATCATGCTGGGTCACCTTCCATTTTTTCCAAGAAGCTCCCTGTGTGTGACAGTAGTACTTTTCCAAGGGTGGAAACAGTTGTTGAGAAGAGCACTACTGCCACCAGTTTGCATTCATTGTAGATCCCACGGGATGCTTTCTTCCAGTGGATTGTGCCAACAATCTGCCCTCAGATGTTTGGGACCACTCTTAAGAGACTGCATGTTTCTATCTTAACCAGGTTCTTCGGAAACTTCTTTGTGAGATAACCGATGAATAGTTAAATACCAAACAAAAGAATACCAGTAAACACCAGTATGCATTAGAACAAACAGTTTCATGATGAATGTAGCAGTATGGTTTTATAAAAGGAAGAACTCTGGATTCTGGCCAACCAACACTACCACAAAAATAAACAACCACATAACATATTAGGAGAATGTCAGATATAGCTGTGTTCATAGATTACGTGGACTCTTGGTCCTAGACTCTCTGCTTTATCACAGTATTTTAAAAGTTCAGAAATCATGGTCACTCTGTGCATGAGGATGTTACACACAGTGAATTATGTACTGGGGGCTTTTTCTATATCCAGCAGTCAGATAACATTTCCACCCCCACTCATGTTCCTCAGTCATTTGTATCAATGTACAAATAGAACTTCAATTGCCAGCAATCTATATGGGATGGCCGCCTTTCCTGGAATGAAAAAAAGGAACTATGGTTATTACAAATGGAGGACCTCCTGTTGGGCCCAGTAATAAGAGCCATTAGGCTGACAAGCATCAGAGACAGGGCCTTTTCAGTAGTGGCCCCACATTTTTGGGGAATCCCTCCCCAAGGGCGTCACTGTTGCTATTGTCCTGGAGACACCTGGTTTGGTTGTCTTAGGGGATTTTAACATCCACGCCGACCTTACAAGGGGCTGCTCGGGACTTTGTGGGAAGCATAAAGCATGGCCTCCATGGGGCTGTCCCTGAATAAGTCTGGCCCAACTCATAGCCGCGGACATGCCTTAGACCTGGTGTTCACCTCTATGGATGTTGGTGATTTGACACTAAGTAAAAGCAAAACTAAAGAAGTGCCATGGTCAGATCACTTCCTGGTGCAACTGGACTTCTCCGCAACCCTTCCCCTCTGCAGGGAGGTGGGACCGATTCGGATGGTCCGCCCCCACCACTTAATGGATCCAAATGGTTTCCAGAGAGTGGTAGGGGATGTTTTATCCCATGTTGATGACCTTTCAGCTGATTCCCGGGTGTCCCACTGGAATGTGGAGTTAACCAGGGCTACTGACTGTTTGGCTCTGAAATGCCCTCTCTGATTGCATGGAGCCCAGACAGCCCCGTGGTTTTCCTTGGATCTGAGGGCAATGAAACAATCGCTGAGATGGCTAGAGTGCCGGTGGCGGATAACTCATTCTGCATCTGACTGGACAAGGGTTAGAGCTCAGTGTCGAGCCTACCAAGTGGCGATAGCAACGGTGAAGAAGACCTTCTTCACCTGTATTGCATCTGTGGAAAACAGCAGCAGGAGACTCTTTCAGGTGGTTCACAATTTAGCGGAACAACCTGCTGCATCGGGGCCCAGTACAGGCCACATGATCTCCTGCAATGATTTTGCAAAGTTTTTTGCAGATAAAGTCGCTCAGATTCAGGAAGAGGTGGACTCCACCATGGGAGCAGGGCTGGAGCGGGAGAGTGCTAGAGTCCTGTCTAGTCAAGTTGCGTGGGATTAATTCCAATCTGTTACCTTTGAGGATGTGGACAGGCTGCTTGGACGAGTGAAACCAACCACCTGTCTCCTTGATTCTTGCCCATCCTGGCTTATAAAAGCTAGCCGGGAAGGGCTTGGCGATGGGCTTCACGGGGTGGTGAATGCTTCTCTTTGTGAGGGAGCCTTCCCAGACCCACTGAAAGAGGCGGTTATCAAACCGCTTCTTAAAAAACCATCTTTAGATGCGGCCAGTATGGCCAACTATCACCCAGTCTTAAATCTTCCATTCTGGGGCAAGGTGATTGAGCGAGTGGTTGCTGAACAATTCCAGGCACGCCTGGAAGAAGCAGACCATTTGGATCCCTTCCAGTCGGGATTCAGGCCTCATCATGAGACTGAAACTGCCTTGGTCACACTGATTGATGATCTCCAGCGGGCTAGGGACAAAGGTGAGAGCTGTTTCCTAGTTCTGCAGGATCTCTCAGCGGCGTTTGATACCATCGACCATAACATCCTTCTGGACGGTCTAGAGGGACTGGGGGCACTGTTATACAGTGGTTCCGCTCCTTCCTCCTGGGCCGTGTTCAGAAAGGGGGGGATGAGTGTTCAGACCCCTGGGCTCTCACCTGTGGAGTGCCTCAGGGTTCTGTCCTCTCCCCCATGCTTTTCAACATCTACATGCAGCCACTGGAAGAGATCATCAGGGGGTTTGGGCTGGGTGTCCATCAATATGCGGATGATAGCCAGCTCTACCTCTCTTTCAAATCAGAACCAGTGAAGGTCCTGTGTGAGTGTCTGGAGGCAGTTAGAGGATGGATGGAGGCTAACAGATAGAGGTTGAATCCTGACAAGACAGAAGTACTGTTTTGGGGGGACAGGAGGTGGGTGTGGAGGACTTCCCGGTCCTGAATGGGGTAACTGTGCCCCTGAAGGACCAGGTGTGCAGCCTGGGAGTCATTTTGGACTCACAGCTGTCCATGGAGGCGCAGGTCAATTCTGTGTCCAGGGCAGCTGTTTACCAGCTCCATCTGGTACACAGGCTGAGACCCTATCTGCCCATATACTGCCTCGCCAGAGTGGTGCATGCTCTGGTTATCTCTTGCTTGGACTACTGCAATGCGCTCTATGTGGGGCTACCTTTGAAGGTGACCCGAAAACTACAACTAATGCGGCAGCTAGACTGGTGCCTGGGAGTGGCCGCCAAGACCACATAACACCGGTCTTGAAAGACCTACATTGGCTCCCAGTACGTTTCTGAGCAGAATTCAAAGTGTTGGTGCTGACCTTTAAAGCCCTAAACGGCCTAAGTCCAGTATATCTGAAGGAGCGTCTCCACCCCTATCGTTCTACCCAGACACTGAGGTCCAGCGCTGAGGGCCTTCTGGCAGTTCCCTCACTGTGAGAAGCCAAGTTACAGGGAACCAGGCAGAGGGCCTTCTCGGTAGTGGCACCCACCCTGTGGAATGCCCTCCCACCAGTTGCCAAAGAGAACAAGAACTACCAGACTTTTAGAAGACATCTGAAGGCAGTCCTGTTTAGGGAAGCTTTCAATGTTTGATGCATTACTGTATTTTTATATTTTGTTAGAACCCGCCCAGAGTGGCTGGGGAAGCCCAGCCAGATGGGCAGGGTATAAATAATATATTATTATTATTATTATTATTATTATTATTATTATTTTATTTATTTATTTATTTATTTATTTATTTATTTATTTATTTAAGTTTGGAATATATATTTTTTATTTCCAGGCTGTTTAACTAATTTTGGAAATTTTAATTGCTGCTGGCTTTTAATTTTAACATTGTACTTCTTGTAGCTTGGTGTAAAATATATGTTTACATATGTTAAAATGTTTTGGCAAGCCACCTTGGGAGGGCAGTGTGTATGCTTTAAATAAGTAAATACAGCAAGGTGAAACAATATTTTGACCAAGAGTTATAAATAAGTATTTTTTTTTCTTTTACCTGGTTAAACATCAGTTTTCCCAGCTGATAGAAATGCACTTCAACTTTATAATACACTCTCATAAAAAATTCATAACTCCTACTTTGTCAGAGAAATCTGATTTTCCTTGGATACATAAATATTGCCTTTGACAAGAGAATGTCCTCCTGACAGGCAGTGAAAATGTGCTGTAAAACTTTAATATTTCAAGGCAGGCAATCAAACCAGTTGCAAAGAGGCTACAGTAAAAACTTCCACACATGGCTAGTTTCACTCAAGAAAAAGTTGGATTTTTAAGGGAATGCATGATATGAAATAATTTGCTCACACTTTGTTTTAGCAGACAAAACATTCACCCATAGCTAAAACTGCTTGATTTCTGCTCTGTTTCACCAATTGACAAGCCACCTATTAAGCTATTAATCCAGTAGATATGAGAAAATGCGGCATTCAACTCTTATTTTCCAACTATCTTGGTCTGCCTGTTACAGCTCCGTTAATTTTTGTAGTTGAAATGGTGCTTGTATCATTATCTCTCAATATGAAAATATGATACACTAGCCAACAGTATTATTATCTCATAAAAGTGCAGGGACATGTTATCTTTCAAAGACATTAATTTGCATTTAAAATGGTTCTGATATATTGTCATTCTCACTGAAAGCAAAGTTGTTTACACTGTGTCCGCTTGCCATAAACCCAAGTTCTCTGACATCAAGGAATCAAGGATATGTCCATGGTTGGGGTTCTCTCCCCCGCTTCTTTTGGGGAGTGGGGTGGGCTAGTGACATCTCCAGTGTCTTAACTACCAGCATCTCTTTTCAATGTCACCACCTCCTCAGTCCCCTTTCTCTGTGCATACACACTACTTCAAGCAATGGAAAAGGGATGAAATGACAATAAAGAGGAATGGGATAGACTACAGCTGATTCTTTCTTTGGCTCCTTTTGGACCTTCTAGCCCTGATCTTCTTTGAAGCAAGTTCAGTGCTGGTGGGATTTTATTTGCTCCACTGGAGAATGGGAAGTCATTCCGGAGCCCCTGCATCATCCACAGCAGTAGCGGATTTAGTAGAACATGACACTCTTTCATGCTGTTTTCCCCTGCCAGCGCCAGCCTTCTGCTTCAAATCTGTTTCCTTTTCCTTAGCATCTCTGATTGGGACTTTGCCAGTTGGTGATACTGAACTTGGGTGCATAGTACATAGCTACAGAGGCAACAAATTGCTTGTAAACTCTTCTTTGAAATCCTGAAGCTTTTGTTTCTGCTTCTTTTCCCTCCCTTTTTAATATAGCAGAAAAATGTTGTATAGTGGCATGGTAATGTGAAAGGTTTAGAAGATGTGTAAAAAGAAAAGGAGTGAAAGTGGTCTGTTTTCCAAGTGCTATAGTTTTGATTAGTGATGTGAAGTGAATATTCTCCACATCTATATTTTTCTGAAGAAAACTTTCCATTTCTAAACATTGGTTTACCAACATTAATTAGGAACATAATGAGGGCATGGGTAACTTTCTTCTGGGCTTTCAATGAATAAGTTTGTTTTGAAGGTATGTGCTGTAAAGAGAGATTTCTGTTGGGAAGAGATGACTGGAGCAGCATTTTTCATTGACTGTGGAAGTAGTTTTTCTATAGCCAGATTCTAAAAAGGAAGACCTTTAAAGACCTTTATCTTTCAAAAACAATGCAAGCTATTTGGATTTTTTTCTTTTCTTTTCTTTTTAATGAAATAGGTGCCCTGTAAAACACATTTTCAGATGTCTTGACAGAAATGAAACCTTTTCTATCAGGTGGTTTAATTATTCTATATTATCCTAGAGTAATAAAGGATTATTCTAGCATAATCCTGACTCTAATAAGAAATATTATACTTAGTGGATAACAAGACATCCAACTTCTGGTGCTGTCTGCACACTGGCAAAGTTTGTGATGTGAGATAACTACATGAAAAAAATAGGGCGAACATGTTTTTAACATCTGATGTTATTTGTACCGGTAATTTTCATGTGTATTTTACATAAACCACCTAGAGTTTTTGATGCTTAAGCAATATATTAATTCAGTTAAATCAACAATTTATCAAATCAAATAATCAAATAAAAATTAACATAAATGTGTTGTTATTATCCATGACGCATTGTGCCAAGTCATTTATAGGGTGAAATTTCACTGGTCTGCTGATGGCACACTGCCCCATTTCTCCTTTTCATAACAGTGTGCTATTGTGATGCCTTCCCTGAATGATCTGCCTGAGTTCAAGCATAGACTAGATGATAATGAAAAAGCTTAAATTGAACTGAGACAAGAGAAGATGAGATGGTAACAGTTTGGTTCAGTTAAAGACGGCATTCTGTGTGCCTCTTTCTCCTGATTTCAACAGTAATGTTTCATTCAAAAACAATTTTTTTCAAAATGCCTCTTTCTCTCAAAATAATGTTTGCTATCTGCAAATAGCAGTAATTTCAAACCAAGTGAAAATCACAAATGAACTTCTGCTGCCTATGGCAGTTGCTCTTGCAGAACTGTTACCCACCTGATTTTATCGTAGTGATACAGAAATTATATTTTCTTTCTACAAGTTGCTAGGTTTGCTTCCTTTGCAAATGTGTGAAATAATTGTTCTTTGTTAACAAATGTGTTACCATGGAAACCCTCCAGGCTTCTTTACAAATATTATTGCTATGCATGTATACAAATAAGATATTATAGATCCAGTGTCTTAAATAACTGTTAAATGTTTGACTACAGAAATATGTACACATCAAAGTTCACCATAAAAACTTTATGGCTAAAAAGTGTGCTTGAGTAGATGCAGGATGGTTCTTTTAGGATTTTTTTTTGGGGGGGGGTGAATTTTGGGGGATCCTCCATGCTCTTGAATTTTTGCTGGAGACAACGCCAGCAGAGTCCTACTTGCACCTGCTGCAAAATATATCTTCTAAGGGCAAGTACACTTCCTCCCTGAGTTCCCTGAAAAAAAGCAAGTATTTTGGGAGGAAAGGGTGAGTAGCAACACAAGCAATGGTTTTGCCTAATAAGGCAAGCTGAAATTTGTTGTTGACAACTTGATTACACTAGGACAGAGTTGCTCGAATTGAGCACTAAAGTTTAACATGATTAGTAGACCTTGGGCAGGGAGCTCAGTTTGCTGGACTTGCAAATAAGCATACTGATGATGGTACAAGAAGTAAGGCAGTGGAGCCTGGCAGCAGGGCTGTAGCTAGGGGGTGGTGAGGTGGGCCCCTGCCAGGGGCGCAGGAAAGGGGGGGGGCTAAAAATATGTCCATAAATATTTCTATAAATAAAAATACAGTGGTACCTCGGGTTAAGAACTTAATTTGTTCTGGAAGTCTGTTCTTAACCTGAAACTGTTCTTAACCTGAGGTACCACTTTAGCTAATGGGGCCTCCCGCTGCCGCTGCACCGCGATTTCTGTTCTCATCCTGAAGCAAAGTTCTTAACCCGAGGTACTATTTCTGAGTTAGCGGAGTCTGTAACCTGAAGCGTATGTAACCTGAAATGTCTGTAACCTGAGGTACCACTGTATTGATTATTGCCTCATAATAGAAGGTTTTAAATAGAGGGTGAATTGAATGGGGGGGGGTGTTGGAGGAGAGGTGGAAAGAAGAACTAATTTGTCAGTGGCTAGGGGATGCAATCTGAACAATTCTGCCAGGGGCGCAAGATCACCTAGTTATGGCTCTGCCTGGCAGCCAGTATATACTGCAACTAACAGGTAACTCACATAAAGCCAATATTGTGTATTGTCAAGGCAGCCCTGAAACCACCCCCATGTGTGCATCCCTATCTTTCCAAAGCTGGTGCATTGAGGAGGCATTTTTGCCATCGCCCAACCACCACCAAACAAGGTGGGGAGCTTTTAAGCCATCCAAGTTCTTGCAAGGGCTTGATAAGCAAGGTGGAGAGTTTAAAAGCTTTTTCCAAGGCGGAAAGAGCTTTTAACCTCTCCTCCTCGTGCAAATTTGTGTGATTTGAGCTGGCTGGCCGACAAGCATGTAAATCTGAAACCATGCAAGTTAAATGTGTGTAAGTTGTGAGTTACCTGTACTTTGCCCTATACGACTAAACCTCTTCTTAGTATATTTCTTTCACATAGCCAACAAGTTTTTGAGCTGGTGTGCGGGATGAATATAGCAGGGCTTACCAACTTTTGATGACAGGGAATTTAAAGGCCAGCTAATGAGTAATCAAGTGTATTAAGAGACATTGAGCAGGCTTATCAGATCATAATCTCAGGTTCATACTCTGTCATGCTGATTTCTCCAACTATTGTCTACTGCCTAACTTATAGTTGTTTTCTCAATGCTGTAGGTCAAATCCTACACATGTTGCTTAAGTCTTGGACAAATCTACTTTAAAAAAAAAATCAAATCTGATAATTCAAGGTTGTTTTCTCAGGGATTCTGACATCATGCTTCTATTTGCAACATCATGTAGCTGCCTGGTATGAAACCATCCACTTTTTTCTTTTTTACTTTTTTTGGTTCTCTATATTCCAGTTTCAAAAAACATATTTTAGGAATGGACCACTCTGTAGCCTGCTGCAATATCCATAGTGTAATGGTTCTAGGGGTTGCTCGTGCGTAAACCGGTGCTTATCTCCCCGGCTGGGTGCAAACACCTGGCTGGGTTGCCAAAGTGAACCTTTTCTGTCCGGACAGCCACTCACCCGTGGCTGACTCAATCGCTGCCAGAATCCGTCAGTGGGCGTTTCTTAAACTTCTTCCAGCAAAGAAGCTCTTTGACGCCTAGACTCCTCCTACTCTCTCTGCGTGAAAGCCTTCTGCGCAAGGAGGGCGTGGGCAACGGAGGACCCCTACTCTCCCCGCTGGTCCCAGGCAAGGAGTCATGGGACCGCCTCGCCGCTTCCCCCATCTGCCCCCCTTCTCCACTGGTCCTACGCTGATTCTCTTCCCCAGAAGATGGGCTGCTTCTCCCGATCCCTGGACGCTCTCTGGAATCCCTCTGGCTTTTGCTCTCTCCCTCTGGCACTGATGGCAGTTCCCTGACACATAGCATATACAATAAACCTATTGTTAGAGTAGGCTGATGTGGATATGACTTTGCTACCAATGGTGATAATGGCAAAATCAGGATTTGTCCTTATTTTCAAAGAAACTCTTTTCCATTAAACTAATGTTTCAAGATCTGACATGACGACTGTATATTCCTACATCACAAGAGATGTACCTTTTGAAATATCCCAACAGTTTTCCACATTGAGATGTCAGAAAACTCCAATCTGTTGTGGGTTTTGAAAAAATTGATACACTTGAATCACAACAGCTGATGTATTTTAAGGCCACAGTCAGACAGCAATTTTGTCCTTTTGTCCTGACATTTATGTAGCTGATAATTTTCACATTTTATGTAACCTTTCACATATGAAAGCCACTTGTGGATATTTACCATAATCAGGTTGGAAGTTTAGGCATATCTGCGATAGCTCAACCAGGAGAGCATGAGACTCTTAATCTCAGGGTTGTGGGTTTAAGCCCCACGTTGGGCAAGATTCCTGCATTGCAGGAGGTTGTACTAGATGACCCTTGGGGTCCCTTCCAACTCTACAATTCTAGGCTTCTAGGCTTCCTTGATAATTGCATCAAGAAATGAACTCCTTTGCAGCCCTGTTAGAAAACCTGATTTTTTCTTGTGGTTTTCATGGATAATGTCATCTCTGCTCACATGACAAAATGTGGGGCAGTGCTTTCCCACCATTTTCATGGGTGAATAATGAGGAAACAGAAGCGCACATGAACATAAAGGGTGATGACATGTCCAGTGACATCCAGTGTTGTGCTACACGGTGTCCATTGGCATGAATCAAATTTAGCATGACATGGCAGTATATCAATCAAAAGGCCACAATTCCATAATGCAACAACTAATACAGTGTAAAATGAATATTAGAAATCAAGACAGAAGTACTAGCATAATGACCAGAAAAACTAGAGCAATAATCTCCATGTCTGAATGCACCTGGAATCTGCATCTGGAAACTTTTACCAGGTCAGTCGTGTTCCTGTTCTCCACGCCAAATTGGTCATATTGTTCAGCATTCTTATAATTTTCCTTATATTTCTAAATAGTAATAGGTTCCATGATCTTTGTTGTCCTTTAAGTACCGGGCAAGAATCAACAGATCTCCTAGAATTTTGGGGGGTGGGGAAGGGGTTTCCAACTACCAAGATTCATCAGGTTCTTGAAATGCTGACAAGTATTTGTCTAAAGCAAATCACCACTGAAGAATCTGCTAGAAGTGTTGCTACACTGTTTATTTTACCTACATAAGCTGATTCTATTTTATTAGACTTTCTGAGGAGGGAATTGTTGCTATTTCTATCTTAGTTTTTCATTTCTTGAAACAAGTGAAGTGTAAATGAAAGAGTTGTTTTAACCTCTTTTCTTCTCCAGATGCTATGTTTACTTAAAATCTAATCACTAAAGTGTTTGCAGGTCATCAGTTTATTTAACACTGAAGGTTGTATGCACAGTCAATATGTGCAATATGCTGTGTTCAAAATTTTCAATTATATCATGGATCTATTACATAAGCAACAGGAATTCAACTTGGTTAGAAGTTTATGCATCTTGGCATTAGTGTACAAACTAATTTATTTTTCATATTATATCATATTATATACTAATTGAACTTGTTCTGCAATATACTAACTTGATGTTAATCCATATGATCATACTGTTTGTTATCTGTGTACAATTTTGGTTTAAGTATCTGTGATTTGAATTAGGTGGCCAGACTGTTTGCATGTTGAAGGTATATAAAACAGCCTACACCTCCCATTGTATACACTAAATTACTTTTGTAAAGCGCAAAAGGGAGCCTTCTATCTTCTGTTATCTTGTTCAGCTGGCTATATCTCAAGCTGGCTGACCAGCTATCACTTGCCCATTCATGGGCTTTTGAAACTTTTAACTATTTATCTACATTTTCCAAAAAGTTTATCCGTATTTTCACTTTCAACTTTTTGCCACCTACATTTTTTAAGCATAGCAGTGTTCAGTACAAGACTGCTTGGCAGCATCAACCCACACAAATATAATTACATTTGGTGGCAGGAAAATTTAAGCAGAGTGAGTCATAGATAATATTTTGGTGAATATGGTTGTAGACTCTGCTGTGTAGCCTTATTTTTTCTTTTTATTTCCTATAAATCTGCTGAAACACAGGTCATCTGTCTGTAGATGTGATTTCTTTTGCAGCCAACCCGCTGCTGACACACACATGCTCACATATATTTTTTACCTTCTCACATTAAAACAAATATTGTGATTCTGAAGGCTTATTAGAAACAATGCTATCCCAAACAGAGATAAATTAGCCAAAAGAAACTTATGTATGATCAGCAAGAGCTTTTGAGGCCAGAAGTGAAGGAATTGTTTGGTGGTGGTACTATGGTATGCCATAGGAGGTATTCTACTGATACACCCCAAATTTAACTATTTCTGTGTGTCTTGTGTTCTGTGTCTCTATAATAAGTGGGGATCGGGCAGAATAGGGCAAATTTTGGAAGGAGTCTGTTACTGGCTTGAAAATGTTTGCCTGTGCAAAGACACCAAAAACAATGGCGCTTGCATTGAATGGTCACATGATATCACTTTGTAGATTACTCGGGCTAAAACGTTTAATGCCATCATCACACTTATTACATGATGCGTGAGTGATTAGGATAATGTTCTTACTGTTGTAAAAGGATGCAGTTGCTTATCAGGTACTTAGCAGCCTTTGAAGAGCAGAGAAAGGTATTAGCAGACAGGTGGGAGGCAGTTTTGTCCATTGAAAATGCTGCCTTTTGTGCAAAAAAATATGCATGTGAATATTTGTATAACCAATGGCTGACATATTAATTGCTTGATGTTCCTATTCAGTTAACTCTGTAGACCCCCTGTAGTGTCCCCAAGATAGAACCCTGGCCGTCTTAAGCATGATGTCTATGGCATACAAAAGGAATAAACAACGCTTGGGATTTATAGCAGCTGATATTCTAACTTGGTTCTGTGCTCTTCTTCCCTCTGCGCTTCATAAAAGTTTTATTCTAAAAGAATTTGAAGAGCTCTTTAGGCTGGAGTTGCAAGCCTCATTGCCCCAAGCATTAGATAAGGTGGTATACCTGTGTCTGGGTATCACTGCAAACTGCCATGGTAGGCATGAATGAATTACGTATAGGAATACATAATCAAATGTCATTTTTCTAGCCAAGTTTCTCCCATGCCCCCAACTTACTAATTTTCCGGGTGGAGGAATATTCTTTTCCTTCCCTCATACAAGTTCACACCTCAAAACTAAATCAAGGCACTGATTTATTACCTCAAACTGCTGGATTTTTTGGTAGCTTGGCTTGGCTCTTCTGACCTATTTTGGAATTCATATCTCTCCTTCCAGGAGAACTAAAAATGTAGTCTAGCAGGACAGTTTGCTGGTATATTGAAGCAATTATTTCTACATAATAATGCATAGATAATATGCAACGGTGTTGCTTTCAAATCTGTGTTGCTTGATCTTTTAGGTGTAAATTCCAAGAGATACATTGTATTATTAGGGAGTCGTTTGAAGGTAGACATGCTGGCCCATAAGAAAAATAGCAAAATCTGCATTAGGGGATTACCTTCATTAGGTCAACCAAATTTTATGCTGAATATAGGATGCAGCTACAGCAGACGTCAGCTGCATCAAAGGTACAGTCCAGAGAGTGCATATCAACCCCACCCCCTTCATGATACGCATGTGTACTGTTGTGTGCTAGTGCTGCGCTGGTGATGACAAATGAGAGTTAGATAGCACCTCATAATATCAGTTTAAACTTTTTCAGAGTTTTCATATTTAGCCTGTGGAATGCTAATGATGCTGTGCTTCAAGAGTAATCACAGAATATAACTGGCCTCTTGCCTGATAACTATTCAGTCACTTGAAAAATATGTTGATTTATTTCTACTCTCTTAGAGTATTTTTTTTTCTTTTTTGGTAGGACTGAAATTACTGCAACACTGACTTGTAATTTTCATCCTAGGTTATCTGTGCCAAGAACAAATACTACTTACACTTCTGCAACACAAAAATAATGTGCTGCAGAAGAAGAAATAGAAATGGTTTAATTTAAGCACAAGCTGAGCAAGTTCCTTATTCACTGAACTAACGTTTTGTTGGAAACAAGATTTTTTCCCCCCAACAATGTTTTTAATTTTAATGTGCTATATAAACAGCAACTTGTTTTTGGAAGAGGCTGCATGATAGAATTTGAAGTACTTCAACTGGGTTTAATTTCCACTGCATTGAAGCTAGTGACTAAGCTTCCATTGAAATTGAACAAAAGAGATAAATAGAGTCAAGGATGTGCACAGATGAACATTAGGGGGTGATATTTATTTTTATTTGTTCTCGTCTTGTTTATTTATTTTCTTTGATTTATCTCTCTCCTGATCCAGATGTTAATGGAGAAGTATAGCTGCAGTCACCAGCATACTGATGCCACTATGTTCCAAAACTCCCAATAACCACTCCCAGTGGCTTCATATATTATTATTATTATTATTACTACTATTATTAATAGTATTTATTTATTAAATTTCTACAGCACCTTCACCCAAGGATCACAAGGATTACAATATAAAAACACAAAGATGCATAACTAAAACAATAACCACACACACACACATTGTTTAAAAGGCCATAGATTGTTTAATTAGCCAAAGCCATAGCATATAGATGTTAAATAGCATTGGAAAGAAAATAGTGCCCCAGGGAACCCCATAGCACAGGTGCCAGGTAATCTTAAGAACACTCCCCCAATGCTACTCTTTGGACTTGATGATGTAGGTAGGAATGGAACCCCTATAGTATAGTGCCTCTGATATCCACCCTACACAGCCAGTTTAGAAGGATACCATTGTCAATAGTATCAAAAGCTGCTGAGATATCAAGTAGTAGCAACAGGATTGAACTTCCCAACCCTTTCCCATTACAGATGACTGTCCCCCAAAGATCCTGTGCAGAAGAAATACATAGAAAATTGTTAGATTCACTCTCAAGTGTGCCTTTCTATGTACTAACATAAAGGAGAATGTTAAAGGTGGTATTGTGCCTATTTCTCAGTTTTAAGCAAAAACTCTTAAGGTACAATAAGTCTTATCCCCTCCACGGATTGTGTCATAGACTGGCTGGATGCCAAGGAGTGATGGGAGGCACCAGCTGAGGAACCCCCAAGGGAATAAGACTCAGGGCCTGAGGATTGGTGGTGGGATGATGATAATGAATGGTCAGAGGGAGAAGACTGGGAGGAGGAGGTGTCGGAAGCTGAAGAGGTAACAGGGTTTAGTGAGCAGAAGAGAGCAGTCCAGAAGCAGAGGCCAAAGAGGAGGGGGATCAAGAAGCAGGGATATGAGTCAATCTGGTGATGAAGCCAGGGTGTCTTCCCCTCCTGCTGTGACCAGTTCCCCTCCCATTCTGGTCTCCTAGAGGAGGTATGAAGATGGAGGAGCAAAGACAGGCACGGCGATGGAGTCTCCGATTGCTTGGGAAGGGCCCAAGGGAAGACTTAGGACAACTGTAGAGAGGTGGGGTCCTTCAGTCCCCACAACTGCCTCATAGGAGCAGGATCTACCAGGATGAGTTGCTATGCTCAGTAGGCCTGGCCTCCTGAGCCGAAATTTCCCCCTTGAATAAAAAGTTAACTGCACTGACGCTATGTGATTGATTGCTGACCTACTCCTGAAATCCGCTCCTGAAAGATTGTTTTCTGCTGCAAGTTTCTTGAAGATAAAATATATGGAGTGGTTGCAGAAGCACTCTGTCTAACCCTAACTATTGGAGGGGATCACTGTTTCCTTTAAGAGGTTTTACAGATGAGCTGTATAGGCTGGTGCCTTTACTCCATTTTCCTCCTCCAAACTTACTACTTTAGAGCATAGGTAGGAATTCAGTGGTCCTCCAGATGTTGCTGGACTACAACTCCCATCATCCTTGACCATTGACCATGCTGGCTAGGGCTGGTTGTAATTGGTGCCCAACAACATCTGGAGAATCACAGATTTCCTCTCCATATATCTTCCTTGTTCCTTCCTAAATACCTTCTGACATTTAACAGCTATTTGTTATTTTTTAATTATACCATTGCCCCTTTTAAAATAACTTTGAATTATTTGTGGTTCATGCATATATTTTCCACTTGCATCTAATAAGTTTTAATATTCAAACATTTTTTCATTAACTTTCTTTACTGCTGCTTGTGCCATAAAGCTTTTCATCTGTCTTTTGAAGAAAATCGGGTTTGATTGCAAAGATATCACCATTGCACACAGCTTGCTCTCTGTGTATATCTTTTAGCTTGTGTTGGGACTATTGGAATATTCAGTCTTTCCACCCATAAGCCATAAAATTATCCATATGGGTATCATAGAATCATAGAATCATAGAGTTGGAAGAGACCACAAGGGCCATCGAGTCCAACCCCCTGCCAAGCAGGAAACACCATCAGAGCACTCCTGACATATGGTTGTCAAGCCTCTGCTTAAAGACCTCCAAAGAAGGAGACTCCACCACACTCCTTGGCAGCAAATTCCACTGTCGAACAGCTCTTACTGTCAGGAAGTTCTTCCTAATGTTTAGGTGGAATCTTCTTTCTTGTAGTTTGGATCCATTGCTCCGTGTCCGCTTCTCTGGAGCAGCAGAAAACAACCTTTCTCCCTCCTCTATGTGACATCCTTTTATATATTTGAACATGGCTATCATATCACCCCTTAACCTCCTCTTCTCCAGGCTAAACATGCCCAGCTCCCTTAGCCGTTCCTCATAAGGCATCGTTTCCAGGCCTTTGACCATTTTGGTTGCCCTCCTATGGACACGTTCCAGTTTGTCAGTGTCCTTCTTGAACTGTGGTGCCCAGAACTGGACACAGTACTCCAGGTGAGGTCTGATCAGAGCAGAATACAGTGGCACTATTACTTCCCTTGATCTAGATGCTATACTCCTATTGATGCAGCCCAGAATTGCATTGGCTTTTTAGCTGCCGCGTCACACTGTTGGCTCATGTCAAGTTTGTGGTCAACCAAGACTCCTAGATCCTTTTCACATGTACTGCTCTCAAGCCAGGTGTCACCCATCTTGTATTTGTGCCTCTCTCTCTTTTTGCCCAAGTGCAATACTTTACATTTCTCCCTGTTAAAATTAATCTTGTTTGTTTTGGCCCAGTTCTCTAATCTGTCAAGGTCGTTTTGAAGTGTGATCCTGTCCTCTGGGGTGTTAGCCACCCCTCCCAGTTTGGTGTCATCTGCAAATTTGATCAGGATGCCCTTGAGTCCATCATCCAAGTCGTTGATAAAGATGTTGAATAAGACCGGGCCCAAGACAGAACCCTGTGGCACCCCACTAGTCACTCTTCTCCAGGATAAAGAGGAACCATTGATGAGCACCCTTTGGGTTTGGTCAGTCAGCCAGTTACAAATCCACTGAGTGGTAGCATAGTCAAGACCACATTTTACTAGCTTCTTTACAAGAATATCATGGGGCACCTTGTCAAATGCCTTGCTGAAATCAAGGTAGGCTACATCCACTGCGTTCCCTTCATCTACCAGGCTTGTAATTCTGTCAAAAATGAGATCAGGTTAGTCTGACATGACTTATTTTTCAGAAATCCATGCTGACTATTGGTGATCACAGCATTCCTTTCTAGGTGCTCACAGACTGTTTGCTTAATGATCTGCTCCAGAATCTTCCCTGGTATTGATGTCAGACTGACTGGGCGGTAATTATTTGGGTCCTCTCTTTTCCCCTTTTTGAAAATAGGGACAACATTTGCCCTCCTCCAGTCTGCCGGGACTTCGCCTTTTCTCCAGGAATTCTCAAAGATGACTGCCAGTGGTTCTGAGATCACATCTGCCAGTTCTTTTAATACTCTTGGATGCAGTTCATCTGGCCCTGGAGACTTGAATACATCTAAACTAGCCAAGTATTCTTGTACTATCTCCTTAGTTATTCTGGGCTGTGTTTCCTTTGCTGAATCATTTGCTGCAAATTCTTCAGGTCGGGCATTGTTTTCTTTATCGGAGAAGACTGAGGCAAAGAAGGCATTGAGGAGTTCAGCCCTTTCTGTGTCCCCTGTTTGCATTTCACCATCTTCTCCTCTGAGTGACCCCACTGTTTCTTTGTTCTTCCTTTTGCTACGAACATACCCATAAAAGCCTTTTTTGTTGCTTTTAACCTCTCTAGCAAGCCTGAGTTCATTCTGTGCTTTAGCTTTTCTGACTTTGTGTCTACACGTGCTGGCTATTTGTTTGAATTCTTCTTTGGTGGTTTCCCCCCTTTTCCATTTTTTGTACACATCCTATTTTAATCTTAACTCAGTTAAAAGTTCTTTAGATAGCCACCCTGGCTTCTTTAGGCACCTTCCATGTTTCCGTCTCATTGGTATTGCCTGACGTTGTACTTTTACTATCTCCCTCTTAACAAACTCCCAGCCATCATGAACTCCCTTTCCTTTTAGTATTACTGTCCATGGGATCTCACCCAGCACTTCCCTAAGTTTTATGAAGTCGGCTTTCTTAAAGTCAAGAAATTGAGTCCTACTATGCTTGGCTGCTCCTTTCCGCTGTATAGTAAACTTCAGAAGAGCATGATCACTCGCGCCTAATGATCCTTCTACCCCACTAACCAGGTCATCAACATTCGTTAGGACCAGATCTAAAATGGCTGTTCCTCTTGTTGCTTCTCCCACTTTCTGGACAATGAAGTTGTCTGCAAGGCCAGTGAGGAATCTGTTTGACCTTATGCTCTTGGCTGAGTTTGACATCCAACAAATATCCGGGTAATTGAAGTCCCCCATTACTACTATCTCCCTTCCTTTTGCATGCTTGGCCATCTGTTCCAGGAAGGCATCATCTATGTCCTCCGTTTGGCTTGGGGATCTATAGTAAACTCCCACAATGAGGTCACTGTTATTCTTCTCTCCCTACATCTACACTTGGAGAGGTTTAATGATATCATATTAAATATTCCCAAGCTTTCTTGTCATGTTTTCAGTCCTGTATTATTGGAGGGAGAAGATGGAATGAGAGAGAGGTTTGGTCTGAAAACCATTGTCCATTTTAGTGCATGTTCAGCATATATTCTACAAGTAATGTTTGCATAGTTTAAAGTTTGATCAGAATGTCCAGATTTTTAAAAATGATATATATTGAATTTTGTTATTTCTTTAAAAGCAAACAAGTCCTCCCCCCTTCTACTATTACCGGTACATACTTCCTTATTTAAAAAATGTATTGGCTACTTCCACTTACTTTGATCTTTCTTTCTTTCTTTCTTTCTTTCTTTCTTTCTTTCTTTCTTGTGTTAAATAAATTTTTATTGTTTTCCACAATTTAATTCCACATTAACACCAATAAAAAAAGAACATTTTTACACACACACCCAATCCCCATGTGTAGCAATATCTTTTCAAAACCTTTTCTTCAAGATTCCAAGAATCTCTGGACTTCCCTCCATCCCCTCTTCTGGTTCTTTATATAAACAAAATTCTCTTATATTTCCATATCCATTTACCCAATTTTCTAATAATTACACATAGTTAATCAAAACTTAGTAACACTTCAAATCATTTACCATTATTTAACACACACGTCATTTAAGCGTCTAGAATATCATTTAACACAACTTTATGCATTCCACATCTGTACTAACTATTATTTTTTCTTCTAATTTTATCCCCATCTCTATTAATTGCAAGCGTTTAATCAGAGCCTGCTCACTTACTTTGATTTTGTTGTGTCTCTGTAATAAATCAAACCAACAAGCACATCTATGATGATCTGGGTTTCAAATTCATTTTTGTTTGTAAGCCAAGTGGACACAGAGAGGGTGGGTGTCAAGATAATTGGTATTCCCACAATTGTTGGACAGATTTTATAACAAGAATAGTGTCTGCCTTAAGAACAGGAATGTTGTCACATCAGCCAGGCAACTGGAAAGAAACCAATTGAATGGAAGTAAGGAATTGTATTAATGGATTGGATTTGTGAGGAACAATGACAAGTTTTGCACTCTCTTCTGTCTAAACTGTTCGGTGGGTCACTGAAATGGTGACATCTCACTAGTCAAAATGGCATGAATTAGGATAGTCATATATATGTTTCTCTGGTATAGTGAATTATTTGTATTGGGGCTCTGAAATGATTCACAGATCTGTTTTACTATAGTGCTACATTGTTGGACTAGGTCTCAGAGAATATTCAGCTCTGATTCACAGGGTGACCTTGGGCCAGTCACCATCACTCAGCCTAACCTACCTCACAAGGTTGTATGGAAGACAAAATGGGGAGGACAAAACAATGTACTGTATATCACATTGAGCTCCTTGGAGAAAAGTTGAGATATAATTGCAGTGCTTTGGGAGGACCCGGTGGGGGTGTAAAAAATGAAGTGCCAGTGCTCATATCTTGATAAAACTGCCTTGGGTGCCAACACAGAGTGGTGCCATAAGCAGCAAAACAAGATGGTGGTACTCTATAAACTGTACAGGTCTAGTTAAATAAATGTGTTGGCCTTGGAGTACTTTCTCTGCAACATTGGTAGATATCTCTGGCAGATAGGTTGCCTCTGTGTGTGATGTCCAAGATAATTCAGGGAAAGGATCTCTGCCCCCAGCCTCGGGGTTCCAGGGCTGTTCTACTGCTGTAGAAGTGCCTGGATCCAGTTCATGGCAAAAAATGAAGTATCAAGGGTTACACCAGCAATTATCAAACAAGCTGTATAGATAAGACAGTTGAATTCAATTGTGAGTTAGCACTGTGTATTCTAATTGGCTCTATTACATTTTGATTGATTGGTCTATGCTTCTGTATCCTATACATCTCTAGTACTAAAACTGAGCTTATAAACTATGATTGCATTTGACAGAGGTTATGCAGTTTGCTACTTGCTCAGTGTTTTCAATCACAAGCATTGAGATAAAAGTTTGAAAGAGCAAGTCAGCTGAGGATTGGGCATTTAGTATCACTAGCTGTGCTGTGCCAAATTTACTCAGATCAGGAGAACAAGCTATTGTGATTGTTATTCTCCATATAAAAGCATGATGGAGCATCTAAATATAGAAACCCAGCATACTCTTCCCAGAATACAATTACTGATATATATTTATTGCATAGGCCTTGTAAATATTTTTGTGCAAATTTGTCTTGGAATATCTAAGGCAAAAAATAAAAATGAGGGGATGTTTCAAAGAATTATCTTAAGTGTTTCCAGCATTTGATGCTGTAACCCACTTCGCCTTAAAACATAATTATTGTAACTTAGATATCAGTTTACTAATTTAATTGTTTTCCTGATGTCTTCAGTAATTCTTTCCTCCATCAGTCTACATCTAAATATAAAGTTTAATAACTTGCACTTTAGGTCATTTTACTTTATTTATTGGAAATTCACTGAAGAAACAGAAACAGTGGTGAAATCAAGGTTTGGACTTTGAGTTTCCTTAAGGATAACTGTGATAAAATTTGTTGAACAGTGCATATCATTTTGTTTTCTTTTTAAAAAGCAAATATCAATGTTTATCAATTATGCTGGGCTTTAGCGCCCCATTGCAACCCATTGTTTCAGGTAGCATGCACCCCTCCTCTTGCCACCACCTCTCTCTCCCCCACCTGTCCAGGCACAAACACCTACCCATCCCCTGACATCAGTGAAGTGCATGCAGCTGTGAAAAAACTTAATGTGCTGATGATTATGTGAGGCTTAATGCGTTGTGAGCTAGAATTGCTGGAGAGGGTGGAACTCTTTGTTCACCTTCAGCAGAAAGGATTTGCATTTCATCTGCATTTGACTAAGAGCTACACATTAGTTTACACTTAATCACTGTTGTATTATATTCAGAATCACTCCCTGTAAATTGTAAACACTACCGTGCATGAAAGCAGTTTTCTTGGAATGTGCCTGGATCTGAGTCATGCCAAACTCCGAATTTGTGTCCATAGAGAGGAAACAAATTGCCCCGTGGAAAGCAGTTTATTGAAACCAATTAAAAAACAAACAAACCCAAAGATGACTGCTTGAGCTACTACAGATGGATTTTTGATAAATTCAGAGTTTTGCAAGTAAATTTGATACTCCCTTGCTGCTGTTCTGCCAGATTTGCTCTCAAAGACTGACTGAATGCTAAAATAGATAAGTGCTTAGAAGTTACTACTTTGCAAAAATATATTATTCTGCAGGAGTTGTGCTACAGGACTTCAAATGTGGTGAAAATAGTTGGATACATATCTTCCCTATTGTTATTTGAGACACTTGATTTTCTCTTCATGGACACCTTGAAAAACTATTTTGCCTTGCAGAGTTAATCAAGGGAATTCCCACAACTCAAAGTGTCCCTATTTGAAATGCAGCACAGATCCCTCGGCTTGTAAAGCGAGATGAGCACTGCAACCCCAGAGTCGTCTGCGAGTGGACTTATCTGTCAGGGATCCTTTACCTTTACAGATCCATGCACCAGATATATCCTGCTGTGGGTTTCTTTTTTTAAGTTAGCACTTTAAATCAAAGCAGAAGAGAAAATGTCTCTCCAGACTTGTGTTCATTGCAAATATGTAAAAAGTAGTCCATGCATTTTGCAGTTGCATACATGCAGTTTTGCAGGATGCAATTGCATTTGGAGGTTTGAGTCTTTAGATAGGTGCAAGGCAGGGCTTTCTGTTGTGCATTCACCTTATTTGTAGCCTGCTGTGATTACTGAGTTCTTTTTGCACAGTTAGACAAATAAAGGTTGTTGGTGAGCATTTTTTGTTTGTTTGTTTTTTTACAAGTGTTGTGAATAAAGTTTGTAGAGAAAATGGTAGGTGAAATGAGTGGAATTACTGAGAATTGCTGTTTTCTTAGGGAATAGCTATGTTCATGAGACAGATTGAGGGAAGGTTGTGTGACTGTGTGGGGGTCTCGCCCCACCCACTACTCCTGGAATGTGCTCCCTGACATATTATCTTCTTCTTTGGCGATTACTCATAGCCGAGTAAGATTGTCTTCCATAAACACAGGTTTTTTTTGGAAGACGCCTGTGTGTGAATTTGTTTTATGTGTGTAGGTCAGTGCACGCTGACCAACACACAGTCTTCGCAGTAAGGCTCTGTTCCGATGGCATGAGTAGTCACGACGACCAGTTGATTCTTATCTGCTGCAGCCTTCATCTGCCTTCACAGCTGTTGTAACATACCGCTTGTTATCATCAGCCTGTTCTGCTGTAGAGGACTTCTTGGAACATTCTTTGTCTAGTTCCTTCCCTTTGACCATACCGCCTTGGGTGACCCTGCTGGGCGTACGAGATTCCTGACGGCTTTGCTCACAAGGGTCATAGGAACGTGCAAGCCCACTCACCATGACAAGGTGATGATCTAGCGAGTGAGGACATATTATAGGGGTCATGTGGCTCTCATCTCCAAAAAGTTTCCCCCCACCCCTGCTGTAGAGAGGGTTCTTATGGGGAAGAGGCAGTGCAGGGGCATGTATTTGGAGGAAGAATAGAATTGGAGATGCCTCTGCTCTTAACAAGAACAACAACAACACACCCTGAATATATATCTTGGTTGTATTGTGTTAATTTTGTAGGTTGTCCTTAACAGAAAGAGAATGGGAAGTTTGCTTTTATTGAAATTCAGTAGCAGACATCTATGCTAAGTTGGGTGATGGAAAATATGGAGGGATACCAAATTTGACAATAAAATGTTAAACATGGACCTGCAGCAAAATCTTGCTGTGTGCAGTACTCTTGTTCAGTGTGCCAGCCAGCCATGTCTTCTTTCAGGGCACTCCCTTCCACCACAGTCAGTTTTCTCATGCCCAATTTATACTCACCATATTGTGGTGACTGAGAATGCTTGGTCATCATTGAACTGTTTGGTAGGTGCACAGCTGCTCCCTTAGAATTGTTTCCTAAATGGTGGTTTATACAGGCAATCTGCGCTTTGTGCACATTCAAAGAATGCGCAACCATGCATGCACAGGCCATTTTTTGACCCAGAAGAAGATGGAGTGGTGTAGGGTTGTAATGGACTTATGCACTCTTCACCGACTTGTGCAATAACCTGGAATTCAGCCATCATACCAATTGGGGCTTGCCTAAACTTTTGAAATGGGGCTCCCTGAAGCATGCTGATATCTTGCTCAATACCTCTGTTTTGCCTGCTTAGTCTTCCTAACTTGGTACCTGAATCTGTTACTGGATTTCCTTTATATTTTAGTCCCTGTTGTTGTTTAGTCGTTTAGTTGTGTCCGACTCTTCGTGACCCCATGGACCAGAGCACGCCAGGCACTCCTGTCTTCTACTGCCTCTCGCAGTTTGGTCAGACTCATGTTTGTAGCTTCGAGAACACTGTCCAACCATTTTAGTCCCTACTCTCACTCTAAAACTCATCTTCAGGTTTCTCCTAAAATGCCATTGATTCTACCTGCAATCAATCAATCAATCAATCAATAAATGCAATTATCAATGAAAGGAACATCTAAGTAAATCACAGTACTTTAACAGACACTGCCTAAGCTGTACTAATCCATAACGCCCCTATCCCATTTGTTTTCCTTTATTTCATAGTTGCCTCTGTTATTCAAACTTTTATATCCATGGATCACAAATGTGTCTTTTCTGGAATGTTTTTCTCCATATCCGAAGCTGCTGTCTTGATCTAGAGCACTAAAAAGATCAATATTGGATCCAAATTATCTAAATTTCTCTTACTATCTTAAAGTGAGGTTGTCCTTCATCTCAGCACTGTAGCTGATTCCAGACTCTGCACAGACCGTGAAATTTTTGCAATATTCTAAGAACACTTGGAATTCCAAGCCATATAGGTGGAATCTACACACATATTAAAAAACTCTGTGAAAATGTTTTTTTAAGAAATGTTTTGAAAAATACATTGAATTTTGCATAGCTCACTGGCGCCATCTAGTGTCACATCTGTATATTGCACATCTAAAACATTTTATTTGCAGCTGTGTAGCTGAGTCCATATTAGGCACGTGGGTGGTGCTGTGGTCCATGCCGATCAGAAGGTCGGCAGTTCGAATGCCTGCGATGCGGTGAGCTCCCATTGCTCTGTCCCAGCTCCTGCCAACCTAGCACTTCGAAAGCACGTTAAAGTGCAAGTAGATAAATAGGTACTGCTCCAGCGGGAAGGTAAACAGCATTTCCGTGTGCTGTTCTGATTTCACCAGAAGTGGCTCAGTCATGCTGGCCACATGACCCGGAAAAACTGTCTGAGGACAAATGTCGGCTCCCTTGGCCAGTAAAGCGAGATGAGCGCCGCAACCCCAGAGTCATTCACGACTGGACTTAACTGTCAGGGGTCCTTTACCTTTTATCTGAGTCCATAGTCAGCTTGCAAGAAATCTGGCTCACTGCCCTAATCTGCTTCTAAAAAACCTCTCTCTCCCCAACCCCCTTTGCATGAGCCATGGTGTCTATTTGGGAAGATATCTGATGTTTTCTTCTTAAGAGTTAAATGACCAATTTCCTCAGAACACTTTCACTTTGACTCTTCTGGCATCCAGCATGTCACACTTCACAAATGCTAGCGTAGAAGCCATTCTTCCCCACTGACATGCTCCCCAACACAGAGGAGGAAAAAGCTGTGCCCACAGTTTTCCACCTTTGCTTCCGCTGTACGTATAATTCACACTAATATTACTCGGCATTCTACCTTAGATATAAGACTGGATTTTAAATCAGACCGCTAAGTTTGAGTCCAGCAGCACCCTGTAGGATCCCAGAGTAGCCACGATGGCTATGTTGCAGCTCCTCTGTCAGAGGCAGCGTGCTGGGGATTACAGGTGATGGGGTCTTGTTGCATTCGTGTCTTCCTTGCAGGTTTCCCAGAGGCATCTGGTTGGCCACTGTGAGAACAGGATGCTTTCCTAGATGGGCCATTGGCCTGATCCAGCCGGCTCTTCTTACGTTCTTATTTAACAGATTGCTTTTCAACTAGGGTCACTGGAGCCTCATTTTCAGAGAGATAACCCCTCCACCACCACCTTTGCCTACATCCAGTGCAACTGTACCATAGAAAACAACATTTTGTACCTGCTTCATTTTTTTCTGTTTCACAGCTCCTAAGGCAGTGGAAAATTTGCCTTTCATCTTGCTAGTTTAAAACCAAAATAAAAACCCTAAGATGCACAAGAAGTGCAATAACTTCCTGTAACTAATACCTGACTATCAGAGACTTAAGTGTGTCTTTGCTCTGATGGATCCTATACCAAAGGTTCATCTAATGCAACATTTTGTTCTTCATAGCCAGGCAGATACTTGAGAAGCTCAGAAGGAGAACATGAGTTCAACAGTATACTCAGCACTTATGCAACCCAGCCACTAGCGTTCAGAGGCATACTGGTGACCTTGGAAGGTAGAGCATAGCCATCATGGCTAGTAGCCAGCTTGCCTAATCCCTTTTCTTCTTGGACAAGAAAAATCCTAAACGATGGTTCTTGAATTCTCATCTCTTAAGATTTCTGGTATTCACCACAGGACAGTCATTAAATCTCAGCCAGCCTTTCTTTATTTGAGGCTGCATACACAACATATATTTAAAGCTCTCTTAAAGCACCTGGACCAAGAATCCTGGGAACTGTAGCTTTTACCCCGCCATTGAACTACATTTCCCAGCACCTTTTACAAACTACCGTTCCCTGGCTTCTTATGAGTGGAGAAATATGCTCTGAATGTATGTTGTGCAGAGACTGATTTTCTCTCACATCCAGTACTACGACTGCTTGTTTTATGGGCTTTTTAAAATATCCAAAATCTGCCATTTTTTCCTTGTCAGGCTTGAGCAAAAGGGCAAGGAAGAAAACAGTTGCAAAGAAGTAAGCTAGTTTCTAAGCACACATTTTTTTATAAAGCACTAGGTTTTTGTTTGCTCTGTTCATATTTGCTAGTAATGTCAAAATAGGCTGTGGACACTCTCCATTTTGCTTGTTATCCAGTGTGCTCCCATGGCTGGTTTGGAAAGCCATGTACACAAGAGGTTAACCACAATCTACCCTATCCTGTGATTTCTTAAGAAATACTGCATTTTGATTCATTTTCCCCACAAACCTGCTTCGATCCGAATTGAGAAAAAGAATGACCTAGCTGTGTTTTAAGCCAGTAATGTGCACACTGCCTTAGATTGCAACAAGAGTAATCATGGTTTTTTTCCAGGGTGCTTTGAAAGCTAGCATAGTAGCCCTAAGATAAAAGGCTAATAGCAGAACACAAAGGGATTGCTTAAATTGAGAGTTCCAAAGAGTTTCCATTATTAATGATGTATAAGAGAGGGGAAGGATGGAAGCCAATAAATAGTAACCTTTACAGTGCCGTTATTGCAGAGAAGGCTGTTTTTAAGTAGTAGTCAAAAGGTAATAGGGTATAGTGCTATAAAGTTTTATGAATCACTATCCAGAAAACAAGATGATGGTTCAGCAGGGTATTCTGAACTCTTAACTGATTTGTTAACGTTAGAGACTATATGAGGTCAGATTTTGAAGTGCATATTTTAGCTCTACTTTCTAGAGATATTCAGTTCAACATCTACATGCCATTGAAGAGATGGCCAGCATGTGCGCAGCACAACAACTGTCTGATTTAAGTTTGCTTTCTAAAATTAAGTTCTGAGTCATGTGTCTCCTTGAAATACAGTGGTACCTCAGGTTACATATGCTTCAGGTTACATACGCTTCAGGTTACAGGCTCCGCTAACCCAGAAATAGTGCTTCAGGTTAAGAACTTTGCTTCAGGGTGAGAACAGAAATCATGCTCCAGCGGCGTGGCGGCAGCAGGAGACCCCATTAGCTAAAGTGGAGATTCAGGTTAAGAACAGTTTCAGGTTAAGAACAGACCTCCGGAATGAATTAAGTACTTAACCAGAGGTACCACTGTAAACAAATCTCCCTTTCCACAAGACATAGCTAAGGGATAAAAGTTGGCACACAATGTTGCTTAAAAACTTACAACACCCTTTTGAAGGACACTTCTACCTAGTGAGAAACCAGTAAGTCTATTCATAATCCAGATGCAAGGCGATGCAAGGCTTTTTGTGTTTGGCAACCTTTTAAAGAGAATAATTTGCATTTGATAGCATATGAGTTACACATGTGCCAGGTTTTAACCCATTTTTTTTTACATGCTACTGTATTTACATTTTAGAAACTGAATTTAGATCCTCATTTACTGAAATAACACTGCAGTTCTGCAGCATAAAGAGAGATACAGCGATGCAAGGCATGCCATATCACAGCTGATATGTTTATGGTGTCAGTGTATCAGGACAGTGATTGTCAATTGCAGCAACTTCCAGGAACTGATTAGCAGCTTGTGCAAGAAACTTAGAATTCACTGCAGATTTAGTATGGAGTCACAAAAGCAATAAAAAGGGCAAGAATATAGTAACAGGAACCAGGACATTCCTTGGTGCTTGTTTTATTACTAGTATCTGCTGATTATATGGAACAATAAAGAACAATAACAACAACAACAACAAACTTTGAGTAGGGTGGGGGGAATCTAACTTAAAATATGAAACTAACAGGTTTTGTGATAGGAACATCTCTTGTGAAAGCGGAGCTTGAGCTTTGATCGATAAATGACATCCATTGACATTGAGCTTAGACTTCTGATACAGAAAGGGCACAAGTTAGTCCTGCATTGTCTGTACTGTAAATAAATGCAACAACAGTTTACTTGCTGTGCTGTTCTTCCTTTTCCCTTCCACCACCACCTCAGACTTTTGGGGGATATGTGTGTGACAGAGCACTGTAGGGAGGACAGGGGGCTAGAGGGAAATAGGGAGAGAGAAAATTTCCCCTCTTTCACAAGTGGATACCTTGCATCAATGGAGGGGGCAATGGAGGTTAATTACCAGCCAGTGTTTGTATGGCTGGAACACTTGCTTACCACACTCTTTAAACATCTTAGGTTTTGCAGTATTGCATATACTTTCTGGTTGGATATTCAATATAGCTTTGTTGCATAATTTGCTGCCTTTTTGTAGCCTTAGTGTTCCATAGTTTCCCTGGTAATGCCTATTAAAGAACTCATGCCGTATTCTTAATATCACTAAATGATGTATAATTCTGTCTTTATTGCTATGTTTATTTCAGCAGTTACTGAGGAAGTATGACAAACCTTTCCTGCTCTATGAAGCTTTAAAGAACTTTTACTGAGTTGGATACAAATAAGTAGATTAAGAGATCTTAAGAATTAATAATATATGTGAATTACTGGTGTCATAATTTCATAGCAAGAAATAATAATAAATATTTTTATACCCATGTAACATCTCTGAAAAAGAAAGAAGATAATGTTCTGTTTGGAGTGCATTAACAAAATGTTACCAAATTGTGTTTTTATTTAATGCCCATGCTGGTAACATAATTTGCTTATTAAAAGGAAGACCTATAAAAACGCTTTTGGATCCCTCACTCAGTCCCAGTGCAAGGGCGTGGGGAGCACTTTCACACCCCTGGTGCAGAGCTACCCTCTATTCATTTGATTTATGTCCACTTCAAAATGAGATGTTTTCATACAAGCTGCCATATTGGATTAAACTAGTTTTCTGTCTAACTCATTATTTTGCCTGCTGACTGTGACCAGTCAGATACTATTGTGTGATTCTTGTGGAAGGCATGATGGTCATATCTTGGTCTGTCGCTCCCCAGCATTAGATAATCACAGGTATAGGTATAGGAATGGTGCTTCATGGCTTGTAGGCACTAAGTACCCTTTGATGGTAGATTAATTTGCTTGCAATTCAATTAGGTCGTTGTGGTTTTCACCCTGCATTATCAGCCATTCAATTCATCATTTACCACCAGTAAGTAGCAGCTGTGTTGATGGCAGATACATTAATTCATTCTCTGACCAGCAGGTGCTGCCACTACATTCTTTTTCCTTCCCCTTTTGTTGCTGGTGCTTCTACTTGAAGAAATACCATAACATCAGCAGTAGTAACTAGCAGAGGAAAGGCAATAAGCATAGCTGAAGGGAAAGAGTATTAGGTAAAGAAGTAGTGAGTGAGCAAGAGTAACAACAATAGGGTGGAAGGACTGGGGCATGAGTAGGCAGAGCAAGTAGAGGAGACAGGAGTCCCCCTTTGAGAGGTAAGGTTTGCAAGACTGATTTATTTTTGTAACTGATTTTGGCATGTGATCATATGAGATCAAAAGGGTTCTGTACACAGCATTTGGAACATGTTGCTTCCCTCAAAGAATTCTGGGCACTCTAGTTTACCACTCACAGGGTTTCAATTCCTTCACTCTGGAACAAACTGCAGCACCCAGAATTCTTTAAGAAAAATGTGCTCTGGATGTGCTTTAAAGGTATAGCGAGTACAGAGACAAATGATGAAGTAACCCTAAGACCAGAAGGAGATGTTTGTCTTAGACATTTATAGCATTTGTCTTAAACATTCCAGAGGGGGAGCCATGATAATCTGTTGCAGCAGCAATAACAAAATGTGTTAGTCTTTTCAAGGTGCCACAAAACTCCTTGTCGTTTAAACATTCACAGCAGAGACAAACATTAAGAGAGAAGGGAGCTATTGCTGTTTTTAACTCTGCATAAACTGTTCAGTATAAAATGCATGAATTAAGATCATCTAGGCAAAACGTCAACAGCTGCAGTTCTGGTTTTCTTTTGTGACAATAGATATAGCAGGAGGGATTATTAAATTTTCCCTCCCGGTTGGTCCTTTTCAATCAGCCTCTTTACCATGTTTCAAATGACAGGCAGAAATATAGGGACAGCCTTGAAAATTCAAGAGACCACATAAAATGTCTAAGCAAGAATATGATTTACCGTATAAGCCTGCAGCTTTGTCGCTGTAACTTATTTTTTAAAAAAACAACAGCATTTGAACCCCAGGCTTAGATTACAAATAACTAACATCTTTAAAAGATGCATAAATATACCTACATAGAAGTGCATTAATCCCAGTTTGTTAATCCCATATTAATAAGGCGCATGCCATTAGTCGAAAGTATGATGGAATGTTTTAGCTTGAACAGTCCACAGCTGTAGCTTAGCCAACAAATGAAGGGGTGTGGAGAGAGATCTCTGTTGCTATAGCTGTGATATCATACACGTTACTAACATGTGGTTGGTTATTTTGCGTTTCAGATCACTGCTTGTAGTGGAGCACAAAGGAACCGCAGAGACTTCCACGTCCTTCATTGAGAAGAAAGAAGCCAGCAGAGCAGGATTAATACAGGCTTGTTTCTGGTGGTCTTCTTATACAAAGGCTGCCTTCGAGGGTGGGGGAAGAAGGAAGAAAGAAACACCGTGCTTATTTAATGAGCTGTGAAATGAAGCGCTGCTGCTGCTACTACTGCTGCTGCTAACCTCCCAATTCCTAGATTCATCTGCTATTCATTGTGCTTAATATACATGTTTCTGCACTGTGCATTTAGAAGATCCCAGAAAGGAATTCAAAACGGCTGCCGGGGAAAGACCACCAAACATGCCTACAGAAACACTACAGACAGGTAGCATGGTGAAACCTGTCAGCCCCGCCATCACTTTCACTTCAGCCGTTCCACTCCGCATTCTAAACAAAGGACCTGACTATTTTCGCAGGCAAGCAGAGCCTAACCCAAAAAGACTTAGTGCTGTGGAGAGGCTGGAAGCTGACAAGGCAAAATACGTCAAGAGCCAAGAGGTCATCAACGCCAAACAAGAGCCTGTGAAACCAGCAGTGCTTCCCAAGCCGCCAGTGTGTCCTGCAGCCAAGCGGGCTTTGGGCAGCCCTACCTTGAAAGTGTTTAGCAACAATGCAAAGACTGAGAGTGGTGTCCAAAGGGAGAATCTGAAGCTAGAGATTTTGAAAAACATAATCAATAGCTCAGAGGGCTCTAGTTCAGGTTCGGGTCACAAACATAGTTCACGAAACTGGCCTCCCCACAAATCCGATTCAGGAGACCTTAACCGGCATTCGTTTGCAGAATCCTTAAAGGTTTACCCCACCCAAGGCCGTAGCAGTCCTCAAGAAAGCAACTCCAATGTGGGTAGAAGGCTATTGGGACAGTCGCCAGAGTCATTCTTGCACGTTTCCCATAGCTCATCAGACATTAGGAAAGTATCTAGTGGCAAAACCTTAAAAGCAATACCGTGCAGTAGTTCAGCTCCACCTCTCCCTCCCAAACCCAAAATTGCTGCCATCACCACGCTGAAATCGCCAGAGATGGACACAGTAGAATCCAGCTGTGGAGTCAGTAGACGACCTTCTCTACAGCGCTCGAAGTCAGACTTAAGTGACAGATACTTTCGAGTTGATGCAGATGTTGAAAGATTCTTTAACTACTGTGGACTGGATCCTGAAGAACTTGAAAATCTTGGGATGGAAAATTTTGCAAGGGCTAACTCTGATATTATCTCTCTCAATTTTCGCAGTGCAAGTATGATAAGTTCAGACTGTGAACAGTCTCAGGACAGCAACAGTGACCTTAGAAACGATGATAGTGCCAATGACCGCGTGCCATATGGCATTTCTGCAATCGAAAGAAATGCCAGAATCATCAAGTGGTTATACAGCATCAAGCAAGCTAGAGAGTCACAGAAAGTGTCCCATGTGTGAGTTGGATCCGCAGGGGGGCAAAGAGGGACTGTATCTTTGTGAATATTGTGAAGGGTTGTGAAGTCTACTTGAAGTCTTAATACACTTCTCAGATCTCTTTTTGTGTTGCTTGTTGTGCAATGTTTTCAAGTTGCATGCCTGTCAACATGTGAACTGACCTGGCTTCCACTTGAACAATAACTAGCTACAGAGCCTGGCTAAGCATACACACATTATCTGCCAAAAGTTTAAGACCAGAATCTAAATAGGGCTTTGTTTATGAACAAATTGTTTACATTAAATGGTTATATGGCTTCTTTTTTCTAGATCTGTAGGTCCCTTGTGGTTGTTTTGGGGTTTTGTTTTGTACATTTTTGTGTGTGTCTTGAGCACAGGTATAGTTAAGACACAGGACAGAAATTGCCAACCTAAGATTGTTATAGCACCGTGCATTAGAACGGCATAGTAGTCTGTGGAATGAATGGGTCAGTACCAATAATAATAATAATAATAATAATAATAATAATAACAACAACAATAATTTTTATTATTTATACCCCGCCCATCTGGCTGGGTTTCCCCAGCTACTCTGAGCAGCTTCCAGCACATATAAAAATATAAAAAAAAGTCAAACATTACAAATTTCCCTATACAGGGCTGCCTTCAGATGTCTTCATCTGTGAACAGCAGTAAAAGGCAGCAGTATAGGGCTGAGCTTGCAGGGAGGACGGGGGCTGGCCTGTCCATGAACTACATTGTATAATGCAATTATTTTTCTTTCTTTTTTTTAAAAAAGGTTGTTTACCTTTCAAAGAAAGGATACACAGGTTTTCTGTCGTAATCTTCTAACTGAATCCCCCCTGCACACCCACCCACACGCCTGGTGCCCCCATATACAGCCTTTTTACAAGCAGTGGTCTGGAAAGCTATAAACTATTTTTTTGATGTAGCAAGAGCGGTAATGGTTTGGTTTCACCAATCTAGGGGTATTTTGAAAAGAGGCTGGGAAAATGAAAAGGATGGGTGGCATTTTAAAGGAAACTTCCTTGTCTTAAACTTTTGACAGGAATGGTTAGATCCTGTTTGCTGATCTTTGAATGCCTTTAAACTAGACAAAGCACATCATGATCACAAGCTCCTGCTGCTGACTACTTTTTTTGTAGACCTGTTTGAGCAGTTCATGAACAGAAAATGGAAGTACACAGCCATATCAGTATAATAAGAGCCTCTTACCCAGAAGTTTAAACACACTCAATATAGCTGAACTATATCTGAGAAATTGTGATTATGTTGTCTTAAATATGTTATATCTTAAGGCTGTGGAAGTTTGTTACAGCTCTAGGAAACTGTAGAAACATGACAGTATGTAGCTTCTTCTTTTTTGTACCCTTCTCTTCCTCCTTGCACCGTACAATGTTTAGTGCTGCACGTCAATCTGTTACACTTTTTTTTATTTTGACAATCTTGTGTCTTCCCAATGGTTTAACTGTCATGTCAAAGTGGCAGTTGTGGTGCATAGCGGAGAGTTGAAAGTGCAGTGGTCTGCTTCATTATTATTATCATTATTATTATTATTCATGCTTTGAAGTACTTTGCAGCACTCTTATACTTCATCAGCTAATAGGAAACTTTTTCTTGTGTAAATGCTGTAAGACTTTGTACATATTTCAGTTCTTACGAGATCTTTAAAAAAAAGTGTTATGCTAATAAATAGCTCTTGGTGCAGCTACTGGTCACGAGTTTCTCTGTTTGTACTCATTACGCTAAAGTGGGCACAGGAAAAAGATTGAATGTAATGAGTGTGAAAGCAACTCCTGGTTAAATGTATAATGGAAATAGTCCCCATCCCCTAACTCAACCCTTTTACTGCTAGACTAGGCATAATCAGGGTTGCTGTTATTGTTAAAATTTGTAGTCTTAGCCTTCAACCCCAAGGTTCCCAGGGCAGTGCATAACAATACGTTTGTTCATCAATTCAATAAGTTTATTGTGCTAGCCAAAGGCCATAACAGTTCATAACAAAATCAACACAAATGTCATAAAGCAAATATCAAACCAATATATCAAGAAATCAGAATCAGACAACGCAGCAGCAATCTATCTGTTACATCAGCCCGGATCATATTCTTTTGTTTTTGTATAATTATGTATTTTGTACTCTTATTCGCTATTTTTCTGTTGTGAACCACCCTGGGATCTTCAGATGAAGGGCAATATACAAATTTGAATATAATAATAGTAATAATAATAATAATAATAATATGCCTGTAGAAATTAATGCATCTGAATCTGACACCTAAAAACAGTGTAGGTGACAGGTGGATCTCGATGGGGAGAGAATTCCACAACCAGAATGCTACAACAAAGATCCTAATCCACATCATTACATCACGAGATATCAGCAGAACTAAGAACAAGGCCTCTCTTGGAAATCTTAAGGCACGGGATACCAGGTAATAGGGGAGGCATTGTTTTAAATACTTTGGCTTAGGCTATACAGTGGTGCCTCGCAAGACGAAATTAATCCGTTCCGCAAGAGTCTTCGTCTAGCGGTTTTTTCGTCTTGCGAAGCAAGCCCATTGACGGATTAGCGCTATTAGCGCTATCAGCTGTTTAGCGGCTATTAAAGGCTTAAAGGCTTAGGGATTAGCTGCTAAAAGGCTATTAAAGGCTATTAAAGGCTTAGCAGATTAGATAAAGGGGAAGCGAAAAAAATCTCAAGACTCGCAAGGTATTTTCGTCTTGCGAAGCAGGCCCATAGGGGAATTCGTCCTGCGAAGCAACTTCAAAACGGAAAACCCTTTCGTCTAGCGGTTTTTCCGTCTTGCGAGGCATTCGTCTTGCGGGGCACCACTGTATAGATGCCATAGGCCAAAGTCAGTATCATAAATTGGGCCCAGTAGAAAACAGGCAGCCATTAGATACCCTTAAGGCTAGGTGTTACAAATGTAGAGAGGTGTGTTATACCAGAGTCAGACTGTTGGTTCAACTACCACACCATTGCCTATTTTGACTGGCAGTGGCTCTCCCAACCGCACCTGGAGATGCAAACTTGCCTTCTAAGGCTAAAAGAAGAGGGGGTGATTTTCATGAGGGCCACATCTGGGCGGAAGGATTAAAACTCCTCACATACTGTCTCTTCTTTAGAGGCCATTCCTGAAAAAAGTGGTTCAGGTATAAGTAGAGATGAAAGGAGGTGAAGAAGCTAACTTTTATCAATTAGTACCAGAATTTTAACAGATCACTGGGGCTCAGTGGCATGTGCTCAAGAGTTTTTAAATAATGCGGATATAAATTTGTTATACCTTTATCCAACTTGTCACCAAGATCCATCCTGAAAAACAGCCAATGCAATGCCAGTTCTTAAAAAGGGATCTAAGGGAAAGTCACAACAATTAGCTAGTTACTCTTTGTCCTAGGTAAATTGGTAGAATTATTAAAGCTAGAATTATTATTTGTATTTTATTTTACTGGAGTACAAGTGCATATATTGCCACACAGAAAACCACAAATGTGAATAAGGGCATATAATGAATATGAATGAAGTCATAGCCCAAAGGACTAATAAGTTAGATTACAACATGATAACCATAATGTCAAATAAGTGAATCTTTCAAAAAGGATGAATTAAGTGGGGGATGAGTACTTGACACCCCTTTGTTGATGTGATTAAGGGAAATCACATTTCAAAGAAGTCTTATTTAGCTGCATCACTTGCCAGTCTACTTTGACATGTTATCTTTCAGGCACTGCCCAAAAAAACATAATTCTGGACTAATTCTGAACTGAATATCTAGAGAAGCATTTCCAGTTATATCTGCCTCCATTCTAACTGCTATAGGAAGAATACAATGAGGTCCTTCTGGAGAAGCTGTTATTGATGCTCTTCATATACACACACATACATGCAAAATGGTAACTTGGGGCAATGCAGTATGTTTAGACATACAATGTCTGATATATTCCTTAAACCCTTTCCCAGAATGTCTTAACCACTTGACCAGCCCACCCCATGCAGATCATTCCCCCCCTTTTCCTTGCATCTCCTCCAGCACATGTGAGAGACATTGTTCCATCGATGTTGCAAAAATGGTTGGGGGTAAGATAGTACATATGCATGAGTTTCAAGGAAACCACACATACTGAAGCTGAGGTGGACTTTGCAGAGCACTTTGGTCCGCATGAATGACAAGCAAAGCTCCAGAATAAAGGTTCCTGCATCCATTCCTCATAGAATTCTTAAAACTTCATTGTTATCAGAAGACTGAAAATGAATTCATTGCAAATGGTGGATACTACATGTTCAGGAACTGAGGTAACATGTGCCTTTTCAAACTGTAAGAGTGTTGCCTGCTGAATATTTAGAAGCTTAGATGCAAATGAGCTTATTTGATGGTGTAGCAGCTAGTTAAACTGATACCTTGAAGCTTTTCAGCAAGTTGTGCTTTGCCATCTAAAGAAGTCTGGTATTCTGTTCAGTCTGCATTTTCCACAACCAATGCATTTCTTACCGTATTTTTTGCTCCATAAGACGCACCTGACCATAAGATGCACCTAGTTTTTAGAGGGGGAATGCAAGAAAAAAAATATTATTTAAAGGGAGCGCGGAGCTCCCTTTCACAAGCTGCGCGGAGTGTGTGTGCGGCGCTTGCAGGCTTTTCTCCGAGGAGTGCCACACACACACACTCCACGCGGCTCTTTAAAGGGAGCGCGGTTCTTGGGGGCTTTTGTGGGAGGTGGGGGAAGTGAGAGAGCCTTGCTCTGTCCCTTCCCCCACCTCCCGCAAAAGCCAGGGATAGCCGCGTGAAGCCTCCGCAGGGCAGCGGGATGAGGCTTCGCTAAGGCAGAAGCTAGAACTGCTCGAAGGAGCGCTGCGGAGGCTTTAGGGGCTACCCCAGAGCTGCTCAGGAGCGTGGGGCATCTGCGTGCAGCCTGCCCGCTGCTCCCAGCCCTGGCGGGGGAAGCCTGGGTTCCCCCCTCCTCCAGCCCCAGGGACCACACATTCGCTCCATAAGACACACAGACATTTCCCCTTAGTTTTTAAGAGGAAACAAGTGCATCTTATGGAGTGAAAAATACGGTATATATCCCCATGTCTGTGAAACGGGTGATCCAAGAATCCAAATATATGTAACGTTAGCATTTTAGCCCAGGATTTCCACAGTGCCCTTAAAAAGATACTGTGTATTTCTATCATGGTTAAGAGAGGACTGCCCTTAATGATGGCGAATGAAGCAGAAGTTCCCAGGGAAGACTCATTCTTGATAACATGGATCAGTTGTTTGAATTTAAATGGGTCATAATATATTTTTAGAGTTGGAAAGCCAAATGCTCCTGCAGTGGTCTGTCCTTTATGTACCCTAGCTACAATAAAACATGTAGCTCCTGTATTGGTCTCTACCCCCACCGCAGGCATTGTAACTCTCCAAAGGAGTTAGCTACAGTACTTGGATTATGTATCTGCTTTGGAGAGAGCCAAGGCTGAACTCCTGTGGACTTAGTTGGATGTTGGCCCACCTTAGTTGGCCCACCTCCAAAGCAAAGCAAATATTGTCTGAAGCAAAGCTGTCCCCTATTGGAAGCACTAAAGCAGGTTCCAAAATGAATTCTTTTTCTCTGCACACTCCTGTTAGCAACTATAGTACAAGCATTTGCTACTTCGTTGTTAATACAAATAGGAGTTGCATGTCTATGTACTCCCATTAGCAGGAATTCAGATTTGTCATAAAGCATTGTACTTTCAAGGGTATGTATGTGTCATTCTCAACTCTGTTTCAAAAATGTAGAACAATGAATTAATAACTTCCTGCATATGCCCAAAAGGGAGAGTCACGAGAAAGTTAAAATGCAGCTGTTCTGTTACTACTTCATATTTTGCAATTATATTCTGGTAGGAAAATAGGGACAAATGATGATGAAAAGTTTCAGATAGAAATTATGCATTTCAGTCTTGTGCTATAGAATGCTGTGTTTGTTTGCAAAAGAAATCTAACATCTGATGATCAAGGGCTTTTGAAGGGCAAACACAGAAGGAATAATGTGTTTGGCAGGAATTCAACAGTCAAAAGACACATTTAGAAAATGCAGCCAATCAGCATTGCTGACTTTCTCTTTCTTTTTTTCCTGCTGCAGCTTCATCCATCCATGGAGGCTGCACATATTTGATTCAAGTCTCTCTGCTCATTCAGTGAGAAACAAAGTGCTTAATGGAGCTCTGGGAAAGGGAGTTGAATAAACTCCCCGCAGAAGTCTATCACCCGGAAAGTGCCAAATATCAGCAGCTGGAGCAGACTTTTCCCTTGCCTGCATGTAATGCTATAATTCTTGGCTTCAGACAAAATAACTTATTTATTTTCTTTCTATTTTTTTCAAGTTCACAGGTAGCATAAACGTCAACATGAAAGAGATTAAAAGGGGACGATGCCTCAATAAATGGAATTGATCGGTGACAGAGGCTTTGACGATTACAGCTCAGGAGCCTATACTGCAGTTTATTAGAGGGTTTTCTCAGGGGCAATGAATTCACTGAGAGTGAGGCATTTTGGAGTTTTCATGAACATTCCAACTTCTCAGGAATGAAATGGTGAACTAGAGAGTCTCAGTCACTGATTGGGCTTCTCTCTCTTCTTTCTTCCCTCATGGCCTGCAGATCTTAAGTCGCCTCAGAGAATGTGAGTAAAGAGGTGTCTCAACAGTTCTCTTAAGTCCTTTCAGGAGCAGTTCATACCTGACCATGGCATCTTCTATAATCAGTTGAGCTGATTTAATATGAAAGGTCGATGGGAGGGAAGGTCATCTCACAAACAGGCGAAGAAATAGAATGAAGCCGGGAGGGAAAATAAGAGGCCAAGCACACATTACACACAAACACATGAAACAACACCAATGCTACTTAAAAATAAAATGAAAGATATACCAGGACCATGGGGGAGAAGGTGGTTTAACCATTTACACAAGCGATTCCAATCAATATTAGTGGGACTTAGTTTCAGTTAGAGATGTTGGAGAATTCCAATTAAAACAGGAACAGCAGTGGAAATTACCAGTGTTCACTTATTCATCCAATGTCCAGAGAGAAAACAATCCAGTAAATATGTTCGGTATTTACTGTTGATTTCAAATGATACATAGTTGATTACATCCCCCCCCAATGCATTGTGTTTGCTTTGCATTAGTGGGGTGGTGGTGGAACAACGTAATGGCAATGTAATTTATGCAATTAATAGTGCAAGTTACGCAATTTCATCTCAACAGATAGTGAGACGAATAATGTGATTTTTGGAAGAAGACGAACTGCAGCACAACACTAACACTGCTGCATGTAAGAAATACAGAACACAATGGAAAACAAGGCTTCTTAATCCCTCCACTCAGGTAGGAGGTACAGAATTGAAACTGAGCACTTCCATTTTCAGGGTGTATAACAGGGTTCAGCAAACCTTTTCAGCAGAGGGCCAGTCCACTGTCCCTCAGACCTTGTGGGGGGCCAAACTGTATATTTTTTTGGGGGGGTGAACGATTTCCTGTGCCCCACAAATAACCCAGAGATGCATTTTAAACAAAAGCACACATTCTACTCATGTAAAAACATGCTGATTCCCAGACCATCCGCGGGCCGGATTTAGAAGGCAATTGGGCCGGATCCAGCTCCCGGGCCTTAGTTTGCCTACCCATGGTGTATAAGAGGAGTTACAGGGCTGTTATTACACTACACCAAAGGTGGAGAACTTGTAGTTCTCTGGATGCTGTTAGACTACAGTTCTCATCAGCTCAAAACAGAATAGCCAATGATTAGGGATTATGGGAGTTGTAGTCAATAACATGGGGGGCACAGGTCCCACACCCCTGTTCCACACCTGGAAGTAAGCCCCATTAAACTAACATCTGAGAATGCATATCTAGGATAGCACCGCTAGTGAACCAAAACAAAATGGATTCAGCTGCCTTAAAAAATGATTTAGCCTGATTAGAAGCTGGCACTCTTCTTGTGAGTACATGTTCTGGTCTGTTATTGAGAAAGTAATGGCCAATTGCCTCTAGTGTGTGAAAGACCAGTTTTGACTGTTGACACATCTACTCTGTCAGCGGTGAGCAGGTAAAGTCATTAAGAAAGTGTTAACAGCTTCCAAAAGATTCAGAAGCAGAAAAAACGACAGTTCCTGATACTTCCCAGTGGCTTTATGCTAACAGGATAACTAGCATCTTAAAATGAAGAAAATTTTGGCATGAGAGCAGAAAAGATTGTATGAGGGCATTTTGGGTAATTCCGAATCATGACAGGAGGAAAATTGGGATGGGGGAAGGAATTGCTTATATAAATATAGGTTAGAAGAGAATAGCTTGGTGCTTTTAAAAGTGTGCTAAAATGTGTGACCTGCTTTTCAAGCATATTATTATTTTATAGCTAATCTTGCTTTTGTGAGGCAATTGAATAGTGCTAGGGTTTCTCTCTCCCTCCCTCCCTCCCTCCCTCTCTTTCTCTCTCTCTCTCTCTCTCTCTCTCTCTCTCTCTCTCTCACTGCAGATAATATTCCAGAGTACAAAAGAGAGTTTTCCTCCTCCACCCCCCCATTTTAAATTATGGGATATAACACTGCTTTATCTGCAGTGTTTCAGTGTAGACCAATTTCCACATATCTTCTCCATTAACTCTGACCTGCAAATGACTTGGGAATGTGTGCTTTGCTAATGTGCCTCGCTGCATGAAAATTATAGTATTAAATCTCAATAAATGCTTAATTTGCTCTATCCATGTTATGCATATCGGCAAGCAGATCAGCTTACCATTATCTGGCACAAAATGAACTTCTCCTGAAAACCCTTCCTGTGAGCTTATGGATTTGGACTCCCATCTGCTGATGTGTCTGTTGTATAAAGCATTTGTGAAGAAAGAAAGCAGTCATAACACTCCCAGGTTTCCCAAGGTTCTCATTTTTTGCACTTTCTCCAGCTGTTAAACGCAAAATGGCAATTCAGATGAATTGTCTGTGTCCTATATGTTAACATGTGCATATTCTGGAGAATATGGCAAGCAAGTAAATAAAAAAAAACAAAAAAGCACTGTTATCTAAATTGTAATATTCCTAGCATGCAGTGATATACAAGCAGAGTGGAGTTATACAGGCAAGCCTGATGAGTTTATAACCTTCATGTGTTGGGAAGAGATTGGAATACCTCTCTCTAATTTTCATTATAAAGTGTACTTTCGGCAAAATCTGGTGCTTTGTTTTTGGTGTCAGCTCAGATCATCCTTAGTTAAAGCATTCTTGCTCAGGTAGATCCTCTGTTGTATGCTGAGAATGGGCTTCAGCAGTGGAACAGTGGTTGTAGATTCTCCTTTCTCCTTGGAGGTTTTTAAGCAGAGGTTGGATGGCCATTGGTCATGGATCCTTTAGTTGAGATTCCTGCACTGCCAAGGGTTAGACTCGGTGACCCTCAGGTGTCCCTTCCAACTCTATGGTTCTGACCAAACCTCTTTCCGATTTCTTGGCACTTGGAAGGGTCTTTTTCCCAGATGGGCTGTTATATGCTATATGAGGAAAGATGAAACACAGAAGGCTTTGCCACACACAAGGCACAAATACTTGTTTCACCAGATCATTCTAGCTTAACAGGTATCACCTGTGAGTTATAGAGGACTGATGAGGTTCAGTGAGGTTCTCACATTGTATAGTAAGCAGTTGGTACTTTTAAAAACAAATTTGACTTTTTAAAACAAATTTTCCAAGAGAACCTTCTAAAGTTGAAACTGTGATAAAGTAAAGCAGAAACATTACAGCTGCAATCGTAAACTTGCTTAGGCAGCAGCAGGACATAAAGCAGCCGAGTTACCATTGCATTGCATTATAGAGCCAGGGAGGAAGAACTGGGAGAGGAGGAAGAGAAATGCTTTGTATTTTTGCCATGCCAGCTCCCAGGCTGGTGCAAGAAACAGTTGTGGCTTAGTATGCAGTAATGTTAGGCACACTAGTGAACAGTGTATGAACTTGAAAGGTGCTGCATTGCATCCTCTGTCACATTGTGAGAAAGTCTGGGAGGCACATCTCAGATCCTGGCATGCAAAAACAAGTGAGGTGAAGGCCATACAATTTTTGCATTGCTAATAAAAACTCATAGCATAAAGTCATCCTGCTTTTGGGCTGGTCTGTGATTGATTTTCTGTTTTGAAAATACCAGATAATCCATAAAAATAATCTGTAGAAACTGCAAGCCACAACTCCTACTTGCATTTCCTTTTCTTTTTTAAAGGAACCCAGTTTGCTGGGGGAGAGGGGGTTAAATCCATTCCTCCATCAGATCTGGTAGAATAGCTTAGAAGCATGTCTGTGATCAAAGCACCAAACCTTGGCAGAGGTTTGTCAAAAGCACTAAAGGTATATTAACCCAAATACAGCTTCTAATGGGAAGCTAAGGTTTAAACCCCCCACCCAAAAAAAAATCTGAAGAGGAAATAGCAATGGCTGTGCAATGCAAAGAAGAAAGCTACAATCAACTCTGATAAGTAGAGTCATGGATTTTCCTAAAACACATTTCTATTTATCTCCTATGTTCCATATCCAGAATAAACATGTAGTAACTGACAGAACTGATGTCTCCCTATTTTTTGTTGTGTTTCTGCAAATAGAACATTATGATGTTCAGTACTGACCAAACCTGCTTAATGAACAACACATCCTCTGTGGAACATAGGTCTGCATGACAAGATAGAAAGGGTGATGGCCTACAATTCGGGAAGGTATTGGAGATGGTTGGCACAGAGAACACCTTAATCATAAAATGGTTGTGTTTGTCTGACTTGCAGCTAAGCCCTTAATTGACTAAATTAACTGAATTTCTGCAATACAACCACCTCACTGATCTCTGCCTACAGTGGTTTCCAGAAGAACTAATATAATATATCAGTACTTAGTCATGAAAACATCCATTAATGAGTGAGACTTATTCTGTAATGTATTTGGTCCCCCACCACATCTCAAAAGTTTTAACATTTGTATATTACTCTAGTGGTTTGGGGTTTTTGTTTTATAGAAAAAAGTACAGAGTATTTCACAGTGATCATCTCAGCCATAAGAAGAGCCTGCTGGATCAGGCCAATAGCCCATCTAGTCCAGCATCCTGTTCCCATCATGGCCAGATGAAATGGGATCAGATGCATTAAACTCTGCAGGCTTCAATTTGGGAGACCAAACATTGAGAAAAATGTATGCCTAAGACTTTTACAGGAACATATTCCAGATTCTTGGAGATTCTTTTTTTTTCATCTTCTATAAAAGAGACTATTTATGACAAGCTTATTATATTCAGAGACAGGTAGAGTATAACTTCATATAATGAGAACATGAGGGCCTTTAGATATTCTAATGTTAAGTGTTCCCAGTAAGTCAGAAAAATTCTCTGCTCACAAAGGTGATTTACTATTCTCCATTGCCCAGGGTAGATTGCCCCTTTAAGCAGGTAAGAGCATAATTTAAGGCTGAGGGCAGATAACAGGGCTTTCCCCTCCCCCTTGAGAACAGAGGGGAGCTTGAACATATGTTTAGGGGGGTGGAGTTTGAGTGGTTCATGTGCATAATAACTGGCCATTGTGCACATTCACCAGGCCTCTTAGAGAATGTGCACATAATCCTTTCATGAAGAGGGAATTGTACAATGCGCCCTATGTGGGGCTGCTCTTGGGTCTGGTTCAGAAGCTCCAGCTGGTGCAGAATGCAGCAGCCAGACTGCTGATGGGGGCATCTGGCCAGGAACACATGGCACCCATTGTTAAAACAGCTGCACTGGCTGCCCATTTACTACTGAGCCAGGTTTAAGGTCCTTGTATTAATTTGCAAAGCTTAGAACAACTTAGGTACCTTTGGGATTGCCTGAATCCTTATATCCCAGCTCAGTCGCTCAGATCTTCTGCAAGAGCTTCATTCATTGAGTTTCAGAAGCTCATTTGATAACAACAACAAATGCAGTCTTTAGTGTCTTTGGTCCGGTATTGTGGAATACTCAGCCGGTGCCTTCTGTTTCAACTGACTCAGTATAAGGCAACTTCCTATGTTTCTTACACTTGTAGAGTCCATTCTTTTACTTAAAGCATATGTTTGAAAGTTGATACAGTTCTTTGTTGACACCTTTTTGGTCAATAAATATGAAGCAAACATGAAAAGGAATTAAATTTGTGTAAATATCTTCCACATCCCAACTCTCAAAGTGCAATGGGTTTGTTTGTTTTAAAAAAGTTAGTGTTTGCTTTGGGCTGGTTTTGTGGCACCCTGTTACTGCTAGTGATAGTAACGTAAGCAACCAAATTAAAATGGAACTGATTGACAGAGCTGTCAGGTTACTTATTCTGCTGAGCTATGAGTTTGTCATACCACTTAGATTAAGAAGCCATGCCTAGCTAGAATTTGAATGGGAAGACATTTGGGATCCAGCAAGGGAATGGTGCTGATGATAAATCCACTCCTTTCTGCCATGTTGATCAACAATATGCTTTCAAGAAAGCATTTGAGTGCTCCACTATTTTAATTTGCTTGCTGATCAGGTTTTCCTCTCCTGTACAATCCTTGTTTCTTTTTTTGAAATCATTTCTTCTCTGTTCCTTTAACTTTGCTCTTCCTCACTTGGGCTGCATTCACATGGCAGTTCTGTTTTCACGACTTTCCCTTAACTTAAATTCTGAATTATATTTGTGTTTTCATGTGACTTAAAAGCTACTTCTGGAAACATAGTGGAATATAGTGCAAGTTTAGCGCTCATTCCCATTTTATTTGCTTCTGGGGGAAAAAACATATGCAAATAATATGAAAATGACCATTAAACTTGCATTATATTCCAATATAGTTCCACTATATTCAATTCAGTTCATATTGAAAGGTAAACCCACCTAATTCATGCTTTGTGAAGCAATACATGAACTGAAACTTAACCATCTTTCAAAAATCACACTTTCCCGAATTTTGTAATGCTGTTCTCTAGACACTTTAGTATATGAATTTTGTATCACCATCAATTCTTGCCATTGTGAAGGGTTCCTGTGCTTGTTTTTCATACATCCAGCTTCTCAGCCCATCTCTTTCCCCCCCATTCTGTTGTATCCTTTGCCTCTGTAGAAGTTGATGCCTAACAGCAAGGGAAGATTGCTTCCATTTTTAAGTATGCGTAAAAGAGCATATATTAATGCAAATAACATACAACTGCAGTATATTAGGGTAAAGTCCTTTGCAAATATGTGTATATAGGGAGAAATTTGTACTAACATGCAGATGCAATTTTATGTGGACTTCTAACATTTTTTAACAGAATCACAAATGAATGTGGAAATATGATGAAATGACCTTAAAGACTGGGAAAATTAAAAAATGAGAGGAGCCAAAATCCCTAGCAGCAATATTCTTAAGAGGGTAAATGCAACTCCTACAAAAGCCCATAGCAGAAATAAAACTCCACAGTATTAACCTTCAAATAATACTTGTATTGGCATATATTTGACTAAGTAATGTGCTGAGATCAAAATAAAATGCACCTTAGTAAGCAAATGTAAACAAAGTCTCCCATATTTTATCAATTCAATGCAGTTTTTAAATGGTTGCATGGGAGATTTCCAAATATGTGCTTTGCGCAAATTTGCTACTGTATACAGTTGCTTGAGAAAGTCTTCATGCAGGACTGACTTTAATGGATGCACTGTCTAGTTTTCATAACTGTTTTTGGTATCTGAGGGGTGCAAACCAGTGAACAATAGAGGCCTGAGTTTGCTTTGTGTGAGACTACAAGGATCACTCTAAAAGTTTATTGTATGTTACTAGCAGTACTGTACATCATTAGACATGGGATAAATTGTTGCCAGTTTGCAACACTGCACTGGGGCTTCTTTTAATGTACCATGTAAACTTTAGCACAGTCTTTTGCTTCTGTATTTATGATGCTTTCTTCCCAATAAGTGTTCCAGCACAGTAATTGCTAGTCTTTCAGACAATCCTTATTACAAACAAATTAAGTTGTTTCAAGCCATGGTGCACCTAACGTTACATGGGTTGATATAAATCACATTTAATGAGTTTCCTCATTATTCAGAGTTTGCAGCCAGTGTGAACAGGAAGCAAACAGCCAGGCAGTAATCAATGTTATAATATATTCCCTGTCTATTAATAGCAGCTCTGCTTTGGTCTCGTAAGACTGGACTTGGAGTGTACAGTGGTACCTTGGGTTACAGATGCTTCAGGTTACAGACTCCGCTAACCCAGAAATAGCACCTCGGGTTAAGAACTTCGCTTCAGGATGAGAACAGAAATTGCACGGCGGTGGGAGGCCCCATTAGCTAAAGTGGTACCTCAGGTTAAGAACAGTTTCAGGTTAAGAACGGACCTCCAGAACGAAGTTCTTAATCCGAGGTACCACTGTACTTCTGCAGTGGTAGGTTTAACTACCAACGCTTGGCATGTTATAGATTTTGTATCTTCAGGGGCATTTCTTGAATAACTTTCCCACGTGCTATACCACCAAGAGATTTCAACAGTAGCTTATGATGTAATGTAGATGGTGGATACATGGGACACAGCCTTCTTGGCTGTGGCCCACACATTCAGATTTGGCTCACACATAATGCCAAACCATGAGTCATCAGACTATGGTTTATGAAACCATGGTCAAGTGTTATATGTGTCATGGAATGCTACTCAATATTGATCCAGAGTAGATTCCAATGTATAGTTAGCGGAGTAAAAAATTAAACACGTTGCAGAATTCCCAAAAAAATAGACCAGAGGCAATTGTATTTCATCCAGCAGAGCTTTACTGCTACTGAAGGCAAATGAGCATAATGGTTACAAATCCAGTACATTCAGGATTGGCACTGACCATAAGAAATCCAGTTGCAGCAGAATTAAACTTACAATAACTTATAAGTCTAAATCTTAACACTAAGCATGCTATGTACAGAACACCACACCAGAAGGAAGAGAGATAGAAAGAGAAAGTGAAACCTTCCAGCCTTACTTTTGTAGTCAGCATGACCTTGACAGAAAAGATAACAGAACCAGTTTAAGCCGAGTGTATTCAGCTTCTCTGAAGGAATAACCCAAACATCATGAACCTCCTGCTTGTTTCTTTCACACAGAGAAGCTTCCAGAACCCTCTTGAATTAATTAGAATAGGAAAGATCTCTACACATTATATAAATACTTTATGCACTAAGAAATGCAAACTGACAATATGTGAACGCAGCCCTGCAGCTTAACTATTGTTTGCTTTCTGCCAATAAAGCATTATCTGAAGCCATGGTTTGTTGTTGGCTTAAGAACTTCAGTTTGTTTTAACTACTGCTTGGTGTTACATATGAACCCAACACCCTAGGTTCTCACCAAGCTACAAAGGCCTGAGGCAAGAGCAGCTGGAAAATGAAACAAGCTTTGGAGAAATGAACCATAGTTTGTTTGATCAGCTGCGGGGGACAACTTGGGGTTAACCCGAAATTGGTTAAATGCACCATGACCTAAACAAAGCGTGGCTTAACACTGTGTGTGAACCAGGTCTCAGACTCTTTACCTCAGATAACTCATCTTGCTCTGTCTCTTTCAACTGTTTATAGGTTACAATCATAGAGTTGCTGAGTTGAAAAGTGTCTTGGAAAACATCTAATCCACCCCACCCTCCCGCTCAATGCAGGATTTGCAATGCAAGGTGCAACAGCATCTTCCTTATGCACAGATCTTTTTCCTGCATCTCTTTCTGGCGCTGCCAACAGGAATGAAAAGGAAGATTCAAGGGAGTCCAGGCCTCTTTTAAATGCCAGGGGATTACTCCAGCTGCTTAGTATGACAATCCCCATATAACAGTTAGCACTCCCTTACACAGACCAAGAACGTTTTTCAAAAGATAAAGGTTGGGCATGAGCCATTAATCATGGGACTTGCAGTTATCTTTCACCAGTGAGAAAGAAAGGAATTGGTTGCTCAAGGAGAAAATAGGGAACTCTCGCTGGGAGGGGGAAAATCTTTTTTAAAAATCGGAAATAAAATAGGACACTCCAAGCTCTTTGTTTTGCTTCCAAAAATCTTATCAGAGCAGATGCAGAATAAAATTTTGGCTGTGCTATAAATAATAAAACTTATCTTCTCATTATGAGGGCCACAGCATGGTAAGGAATCCACGCCCCAGGGTGTTACAAAATATATAGTCTGGACAAGATGTTTTCATTCCTAGGTTTTTATTTTTAGCTTTTTATATAGACGTGTTGGTTAGTAAACAAAAAAAAAGTTGATTGTTACGTATAACAGCAACTCAGTTTCTTAAATCTGGCATCAGAGGCATTACAAATGACCTTCTTTTCCTTTCAAAATAAGAGGCCTGACAAATGCTTCTTATTTCAAAACAAAATGTATAGACACTTTGTTTCTCATTGTAGGAAAGGAACTGCAGCACATACATAGTTTCTGGGTATCTCTGGTTCATGGTTTGAATGTAGCTGGAATGTCGCTATGTATTCAGTAGCTGACAAACAGGGAACAGAGAGGTTTGGCTCCCTGAGAAGAGACTGACCAAGGAAAAGGTAAGAAAAAGAAAACTGGCATGACTTAACTATTGCTGGCCCTATTGGTCAACCTAATTTTGCCACAGAATCGTTGCTGTAAGACTAAATAGGACGACCTGCATTGAATGTGCTAGAAGAAGAGTGGGGTACAAAATATAGGGAGAAGTGTAGCATGATGCTTTGGCAACCATCCCAGCAGCTCAAGCTTTTCAGCTTGTCGGGCAGAAAGATCTTCCCCTTTTTTCTCCCACACACCGTTTTGTGGTTCTCCTGACCTACCCAAGTCACTTTCAGAGTGCATGGTGGGAGGAGAAGCCCTCTTGCACTAGTGGAAGTCCTTGCATAGGCTTCTGCTGGCAGGACTAGTTAGCTGAATCCTGCCCAAAACAATGACACCGAGAAAGTAATTTTCTTAAAGTTTGCTTTTTCAAAATAATAAATTAATTTTAATAATTAAAATAATGGGATGGTATTCAGCTAAGTTTTACATGAATAAGTTAGGCCCATTCATTTCAGGAGGTCTGCTCTGAATAAAACTTAGTTGAATACCACCCAGTGGAAGTATACTTTTCCCCCTCTAACGTTTGCTTTTATTAAAAACAGAAGTCATTGTTTTAAATTCATTATTATTCTCAGGCTATATAAGATATCTCCAGCAAGCAGAAGTGTCTGAAATTGTCTCTTAATTGTCTCTAGGAAAAGTCCCATCTAGTTAACCTTTCCCAAATGGACTGCAGACTTGGAGGATAATTGCAGACGCCAAAAGAGTTTGCCAGGTATTAGAGATATGATTAAAATTTCCTGTCTCCAAAGAGGAGTCTGTCAGGTTTTTTTCTCCCCCCTCCCTTGCTGTCCCCTGGACTCAGCTTTGGTATCAACATATGGGACATGACATGCAATCCATTTAAAGATGGAAAACTTAAGGAAGCAATAGATTCAAGCCCAATGTTGGTCTGGTGCCAAGATGAGGGGGGCGGAATCAGGAAAAGATACTGGGCCAGGTACTCGGGGTTTCTTTCTCTCTATCTCTTTTCCCTTTTTTGAATTTGCTTAACTGCATTGGCTTCAAATGAATGAAAGCAACATGCGCCAGCTGAGTGCTGGCTCCTTGCACTCAGATAACCAGCTGTTTGGGTCTCCTGCAAAGACTGCAGAGCTTCAAGCGCTGTCATCGCCACAGTTAAATCTGATTCCCAGACTTAAATTAAAACCACATTGCTTTCTCGCTCCCACAGACTAACCTTTTTTTTTTTTTTAACAGATCTTATCTTCTCATTTTTCACGGACAGGCCCACATCCTCTGTGTTTTCACCATGGCCCCTGAATCCCACTCTGGTACTATAATAATTTATGAAGATGTTGAAAGAGGCTTGGATGCCACACCCACCCCTCGTGTTTTCCTCTGGAAAGGGGTCGGGAGCAGTGGCAGGGGGAGATAACTTCAACGTTTGAAAGTTAAGAATAGACGATCGAGGGATAAGCTTACTTTTAAAACTGGTAAAGCCAAATGGGCAGTTGTTTGTGTTGCCACTGAAGCAGAAGGTAGATTGAAAAATGTGGGATCATTTTTAAGGCATGCTCTCAAATGTTACCAAAATGTTGCATCCTTCTTTTTTTAAAAAAGAAAAGAAAAGAAAGAACACTTTTTTAATGGTGAGAAGATGACATGTTCCATCTTGATGCGCCGGATTTATAATGTTGTGGCATTTATATTCTACTGATAATGAAGCTTTGATCTTTCTAGAAATGTATGGAGATAAAAGAGAGATTGATTCACTCTGAATTCTTACCCCCTTAGGGAACGGAGAGGCAGGGAGCAAGCTTGATGAGGGTTACACAAACACAGACCAGAGTACAATACTGCCAAGAGGGACTGTTTATACAGTGTGTGTGCATTGACTTCATGGGAAAGAACTGTGTTAAAAAATTCTCAGTCACAACTGCAGTAGTATATCCACAATGAAAGTATGGTCCAGCCAGTGCAAGCAAACTCTGAATGGGTTCTTCTGTCAAGAATGGTAAGAGCAACATCCTGGAGTTGGGTTTCTCTCCTTTTTATTTGCATTAGTTCTTAAGAGAGGGCAAATTGTCCATGGCTTTTATTCCTTTAGTGTATGCAGAAGGGTGGGAAGTTTCGAAAAGAGGAGAGAGGGAGCAAGTTGGTATAGAAGAATAATGTATCCACTCACAAGGGATTGGAGTGGGGATGTTTAGAACTAATAGGATGTGGTTTGGTCTACATTGTTAGATCAGTCTCAGGCCTGTGCTGACCTGCTGTAAACTGCATAAGAAGAGCCCTGTTCGATCATATCAGAGACTCATCTATATCTATCTATCTATAATATAATATAATATAATATAATATAATATAATATAATATAATATAATAATATAATATAATATAATATAATATTTTATTATTTATACCCTGCCCATCTGGCTGAGTTTCCCCAGCCACTCTGGGCAGCACCCAATCAAGTGTTAAAAACAGTACAGCGTTAAATATTAAAAACTTCCCTGAACAGGGCTGCCTTCAGATGTCTTTTAAAGGTAGGATAGCTACTTATTTCCTTCACATCTGAAGGGAGGGTGTTCCACAGGGTGGGCGCCACTACCGAGAAGGCCCTCTGTTTGGTTCCCTGTAACCTTACTTCTCGCAATGAGGGAACTGCCAGAAGGCCCTCGGTGCTGGATCTCAGAGTCCGGGCTGAACGATAGGGGTGGAGACGCTCCTTCAGGTATACAGGACCGAGGCAGTTTACGGCTTTAAAGGTCAGCACCAACACTTTGAATTGTGCTTGGAAACGTACTGGGAGTCAATGTAGGTCTTTCAAGACCGGTGTTATGTGGTCCCAGCCACCAGTCCCAGTCACCAGTCTAGCTGCCGCATTCTGGATTAATTGCATAGGATAGATCGTCATCCTGCTCTGAGTGGTCACCAAACTGTTTATGGCAACCAGCTAAGATACCAAATTGTCTGGAAGCACAAGATGGCTAACATATAAAGGATAGTTAGCCAAGTTTTGCACAGTGAAATTAATCAGTTTAATTAGTTACGTTCCTTAATTTAAATAAGCCTACTATGAATAAAACTTAGTTGAATGCTGCCCAATGGTACCAGTGTTGACTCAGGGGGAAAAATGTGGAAGAGATATACCACGAGCCCAGGTTAAGATGCCACAGTAAGGGTGTGTTCACATTACTGCCTTAGAGCACAGTTAAGTTGTTGGGTTTCATGCCTTTCCCCACTCTCAGCTGTTCACATTAGCAGAGCTTCATTGGTGTCAGACCAGGAGTTGTTGACAGGGTGGGGGTATCTGTATCCTATGCAAATGTGGGATACACGCCTTATTAAAGGAGAATTAGGAAGTGACGCTGGCTTAAGAAACACTGCATCAAACACTAGTAGAGGATACATATACATATTGGATAACATTGTGTGAACACAAAAACCCAGTAATGGAAACTCAGCGAGTACCTAGTAAGCAGGCATATGAACACAGCCATAGGCAAACCACAGCTTAGCTCACAGCTGTGCAACTCCAGCAGGAAAAGCACAGTGGCCACAACCTCCTCCCTGGGAATCATTGGTAAGGTTGGCCCCCACCAAGGGCACAGGCCCAGGAGTGTGTGAAAATTGCACCACTGGTGAGAGAGTGCATGAAGAGGAGAAGCCGCTTGTCTCCTGCTTTATTTATTTATTTATTTCTTGCTTGCTTGCTTGCATTTATATCCCACCTTTCTCCTCATGGTAGCTTACATAGTTCTCCTGCTCCTCATCTAATCCTCACAACATCTCCATGAGGCAGGTGTGTTTGAGAGGTAGTGACTGGCCCAAGGTCAGCCAGTGAGCTTCATGGGCAAGTGGAGACCTGAATCCTGGTTTCCCAGGCCCTAGTCCAACACTCTCACCACTGATGAGGGAAACAGTCCCTTTTCCTCTTGCCTTTATTTTCTATGTGTGGTGGCGATGGTTCCTACTTAACAGAGAACAGTCTATTTGAAAGCTCTCCAGTTCAAGTCTGATTTAAACATAAGGAACACTTAAGAAGGGAGAGCAGGAGCCTTGAAGCTCACCATCCATAGTTAACAGCAACTGGGCAGCAGATCAAGCCAACACATAAGTCACCTGGTGTCTCTTCACTCCTTACTTCATTTCTATATACATCTATATAATAATTAAATACTTCTGTTCAAATTATTGTACTTTTTCTAAATTTGCAGCTCTGCAGACAAATTGCCATATGCAAAAGTTGTACAATTTCGAGCTCTCTTTGGTTCTCCTTTTTACCTGCTGAGGCAAATCCTCTTTTTTAGCAATGCATAACTGGTCACTCCATTCCCAATGTTTAAACTTTTATATGGAGCATGGTGGAAAGAAAATTGAACATCTACACAGAAAGGAAGAGAAGCAGGAACATTTTGTCTGTTCATGAGGGCTGGATTGCCTACATGACAAGAAAAATTAAACTGGGATTTGGAGACTCTTTATCTTTCCCACTATCTCCCCCTCCCCCCAAACTCCTTGTAGAATGAAAAGCATTTAGTGTTTTTCTTTAATTACCTTCTTGTACAACCTTTTATTTGTTGTCTAAAACCTTCAACGAGGACTTTTGTCTTCCTTTTTCTCCTGCCAGAAATCTCTTGAGTAAAATTGCTCCTTTCAGAATAGACTAGGAGACAATAGCAAGAAATTACTGAGGAAAAAGTTC